TAAATAACCAAAGATATTTATATAAGAAGATAAAGCTCTAGCGTATAATTATTATATTTAACAATATATATTTAACGCTACTAAGGTACAACGCTTATTTTAGTATCCTAATTCACCTAATCTTAATATAGTTAAGCCTGTACAGCCTTAGATAAAGCAGAAGACTACAAAAAAAGGAGTACCTAAGTCTAGACAGAAAGTAATTACTGTATAGAATCAAACCTGGCAAGATCTCCCGCAGGAAAAGATTCAGGCTTAGATTAAGCGTATCCTGACGTATATTAAGAAGGTTATTAAATTAGAAGGAGGGAACAAATATAAGGAGGGTAGGTAAATACTATCTAGTATATTAGTGTAATTTAATAGTGGTATGTGCGCTGCACAATACTTTTTGGATGGACCTCTGTATAAAATTTATGAATAAATTATACTAAAATAGGTTGAAATAGGAACCCACTGGGTTATTGGGACTTGCGATAGGGGCAAAGCCGATGAATGCATTTGCTGACGAGTAGCAACAGGTATATCAAACCTAGGATGAAAATTCTATCTAGTCTTTGCGTGCTTCAACCTTGCATTTGTACCATTCATTTGGTTCTTCTACATTGAGACAGCAGGGCTCTCTCTTGAACAAATCGACAATTTTTTCGAATCAAGCTTCGAGAAAGGAACGCACATGTCGCCAAAGCAAGCCCGGCACATGGTCTTGAATCAAGGAATGCAACGTCGCGATAGTCTGAAGGTGGACGTTGCTTCACTCACGGGAGTTGTGGAGCATGCCGAAGAACTCAAATGTTGATATCGAGTACTTGTAGGTGGTCGCGGCGTATTGATTTGACCATTACTAGGCAGTTGGACTAGTTAATCTAAAGCAATGCAAGGCGCACGGTATGAGTTTCTGTGGATGATCACCAGCAGGTTCTAGCAGCTCGTATGTGAAAGCTCTTAAAAACTTGAAAACTTCGGGATATCCGTCTGCTCCGAGCCCCGACACCATTGATACGGAGGTATCATGATGTTAATCTTGAAAGACCCCTCTTCAAAAGATCAATTGAACGACCTGGGAACAGTTCGCATGTTTAATTCCCCGAAGCTCTAGTGAAATAGGAATTGCAGAGATTGAGCAGAATTGAACATCTGAGCAGACCGAGTACTCGAAGCGTACTGCACATTAATTTTATTCCGAAGATGCGACTTTAAAATTGCCACCTCGCTACTAAAAACTCTCGCCAATCAGACTACAGCTGGCGGTTCACGAATGATCACCCGCGAGATAATACAGTCCTTTCGCTAGATTAGTCTTGACGCGTATGGAGCGATGGCTGTCATTTGAAAGCAATCACACGTCGTTCGAGCTGTCTCTGCCACGAGGCGGAGGAAGCATGAAGGCCGAGTTCGTACAAACTGTGCTCATCTGGCAAGCATCATCGGCCTCGCAGCATCGACCGTGGAAGATCAACCCATAGTGGCGGCATACCTCAGCCGTCTGGAGCACCTAGCTGGATCACGGGGCTCTGCGTTGGTTGAACGGCTGTTGGAACGTGCATGGCAGAAGGGTGGGCGGGGAATGAGCGTCGTCGATGTACTCTTTGACGAAGACCCTCTCCGATGTCTTCCTCTGAACTGGGAATGTTAGCCATGGCCCTCGCAGAGTAGTGTCCTTGCTTTGTCCCCGCATATACCCACTTTCCCCACAACGCGCAACATCCGCAGTGCGTCCTACGCTAGGACTGAATAAGCCTCCCGACACGCTAAAACTAAAACATCAAAAGTCTGGGAGTCCCGAGAAATGGTCGGATCCATCTGTAAGGGAAGTGGAGTCCCGCGCATTAATATATATACCACCACGTATCTACACGCTTTTGAACGGGTCTCATAAGGAAATTCTTCTATCCTGTTGCCAAACCCAACTATATTTTTCTCATTATTAACATAACATCATCGGGAGATCTTCCAGCACATCGCCATGCCCCTCAGCCTCGATATAGAGAGATCCGACACGAGGCCGTTCCCGCCAGGCACCGTGCAGCTAGAAGACCGTAAGCGAGGCATCCTCCTGAACCATCCTGTCCATTACCTTACAGTGGAACAGTCTCCGGCCACCGACAAGACGGGCGGGTCATTTTACAACCGGTCCCGAGCGATGACCCGAATGAACCGCTGAACTGGTCGCGCTCGCGAAAAAATGTCAATTTCGCCCTTGTTTGCTTCTATGCTTTGATTGTCTATACCATCATCGATATTGGCACGGTTGTCTATGGCCAACTTCACGAAGAGCTTGGCTTTTCGTGGGAAGAACTCAATCAATCCTTTGCCGTCTCCACTGCTGGCTTAGCAATTGGCGCTATCATGTTCATCCCATTTGCATTCAAGTTCGGTCGGCGTCCCGTTTATCTCCTCAGCATCGTCATCATGGTAGGGACGACCATCTGGCAGGCGCGTATGCGGACCATTGGCGACTTGTTCGGGTTCAACATAGTCTCCGGGTTGGCAGGCTCAATCACTGAGACAATATGCGCAATGACGATAGCCGACTTGTTCTTCGTGCACCAGCGCGGCTCGCGGACAAACATTCTCACTATAATGATAATCACCGGTACTTACCTGGCGCCTGTTGCAGCTGGTTACTCTGCCGCTTCACAAGGCTGGCGCTGGTAAGCAAATGCGTGATCATTCCGTCCTGCCTCCTCTCTCCCCAGGTCATTCTCTTCCTCCTGTGTAAATGTCGAAGCTGACACGTTGTATTGGAATCTAGGATATGGTGGTGGAGCTCTATTCTAGCTGGAGTGACACTGTTCTTGTTTGCTTTTTGCTACGAGGAAACCGTATATACACCCATGGTTCGAGGTGACATTCCGGACGACGTTGATGGCATTGAGCAAGTCCGGAAAAGCAAAATCACTGACGCAGACACGTTACATATGGAACAAAGCAACACGCTAGCCGAAATTCCACTCAAATCATATTGGCAACGGATGTCGCTCTTCACCACAGCTAGTGCTAGTGGTGGGAGTAGTGCGCTCTTCATACATATCTACCGGCCCTTTATCATTCTTTTTACCTTTCCCGGAGTTGCGTTTGTCGCCCTGGTGTACGGGTCACTGCTTGCCTGGCTTGCCATCCTGCTAAATGTGCAAGCGATATACTTCACTTTGCCTCCATACAACTTCTCCTCTTCAGGTGTGGGGCTCCTCAACATCCCCACCTTCATCGGCTCCATTCTAGGTGGTTTCTTCGGTGGGCAGTTGTCCGATTACAGTATTCAATGGCTCGCGAGACGAAACGGTGGAGTTTACGAGCCCGAAATGCGTCTATGGCTTGCTCTGCCTGCTATTCTAATTACACCTGCTGGGTACTTCATGTTTGGGTTCTCTGTTTCACAGGCAGGCTACACGAATCTTCCTAGCTTGCGAGATGTGGCCGCTGACAGGTTATATAGGGCATGTCATGGTATATCCCCGCTGTTGGCTTGGGAATCTTTGGCTTTGGCAGCGTAGCCCTGAGCAATGTTGTCGTCGTATATCTCATGGACTCGTACAGAGATGTAAGTAAAAGATCTCGATCGTCATACCCTGCCGCCGGGGACAGACTAATGACCGCGTACGTCCTGTAGGTAATTGGTGATGCAACCATCGCTGTCATGCTTGTCCGCAACGGCTTTGGCACTCTCACTGCCATGTGTTTGAGTCCCTGGATTGCGAGGATGGGCCTGTATAACACGATTACCCTTTCTGGCTGTCTCTGCATTGCCGTTAGCTTGCTCACGGTGCCGATGATTATCTGGGGCCGCCGATGCAGAGAGTGGACTGCGGCACGATACCTTGCTATGGCATAAAAGCAGTGTGATTCACGGGAGCCAATAGAGGCGCGAACGTCCGCGCCCCGTGGTGCCCCAACAGCTACGAACACATCATCGGCGGTAAGAACACCGAAAGACTATCCGCATTAGGCATGGCACCATCTAGTCTAGAATTATTATATAAACGGGGGTGGGGGAGCCCGAGTAATGATGACCTTTATGGTCAAACAATGACAGGACTTTGACCCTATCTTTGACCATCTGCAAGAGAGTGACATGTCACACCGAGAATACTACGACAGGAAAGCAGAACTTGGCAGAAAAAGCAACGCTATTGTAGTATAGTTACCGCCGGGATCAGAAGCATCATCAGTATCGTACGCATCGCCTGAGGAATCTCGCTTGATCACCGAACCATTGAAGAGCCGAAGCACGAAGCAGCCCATCGGACGAGCACTTCCTTTACGGAACCAGTCATTGGGAAAAATAGGAACGACACCTACCGAGCCCAAGTTACAGGAATACCGACTACAGCAGTCGAAGCATCACCCGTCAGAGTAAATGACGAGATATCCAAGCCCGTATTGTTCTACGGCAAACCAAACCAGCTTGACGACGTGCTCACGTATATTCACGTCAAGAACCTCGTTGACCAAAACACGACGAGCGAGGAGAAATCAGCCAGCCTAGCGTCAACATTTCGCGGCGCAGCCCTCCAGTGGTTGACACAACAACTACGCGACAACCCTGACCTGCTGAGTGACTACAACGAGTTTGTAGATAGAGTCCGAGCCACATTCGGTCTCACTGAAACGGTGAAGTTGAGCCAAGCATCGCACAAATACACCGACTGCCACCAAAAAGCGTATGTACAGTTGTACGCTTTAGAATTTAATCAACTATCGACCCAGCTTGGCATACCCGATATCACAGCCATAGCACAATTCCAGAAGGGTCTGAAAACACACCTTCGAGAGGCACTCATCATCAAAGGAGGACTGATAGCGTATCAACGATATGTCAAGCCCCCAAGCTGCAATATATGAAGTATATTGGAAGGAGAAGGTGGCGAAGCTTGTGATGAAGACGCTATAGGCTGACTCGGCATGTGCGTCTGACGGAGCCTAGTGATATTCGCCAAGCTTCTCGAATATTCGCGATTGAAGCACAGCGAAAGGTGCCCATCCTTGGGATACAGAATATGATCGCAGGTGCTCCTACAGTCCGCGGACTGCCTCCGAGTGGAATTGCATCGCCGTGTCTCGCCATCGACTGTTCGTCGCAGACTCCTGCTGGGCGATCTGAGGGAACGGTTGCCATCCAGTGCCAGCCACGGGTTCATATATGGCCGAAACTCGGCAATGATAGGAAGACTAGGCCCGAGAAGGGCGAGGCGGTCGTCGAAGTCGTCGACGTAATCGCCGTGAATGGCGCGGTTGGCATGCCGGAACAATTCCCACACGGAGCTGGTCGGAGCCAGGGCATATCTGGCCGTCTGAGGACCACAGTGGCGCTGGTCTGGTTTAACCAAATGGCCAATGCATCAAGCGGTGAAGCTGTTCGCATAATAAGCCGATGGTGTGGCGGGTATCACGGGCCTCGGGGCGCATAGTGTAGATCCAGTTTCCGCGATGGGCAGGATCTACGCCTCTGGATTACCCCGGGGAAGCACGACGATCCGAGTCGTGGCCAAGCGCACTCGCACCGGCCTTGACGCATGCAATGCCCGCAAACCGGCTACTACTCATCACACTTCTTCCTAGTGCGGTGTGGGGTTAGGAGACTGCGGCCAAGACGCTGAGTTTACAACAGTTACATGTGAGGCAGGCCCGGTTGGACCGCGGTCGGCGGGACTTGGCCGAGTGTTCGACCATGCCGCCTGACCACAGCTAAAAGTTGGCAAACATGATGTTGTCTGGTGCTCCTTTGCTGGCAAAACGGCTTGGCCAGCTGAGCGACTATGTACATTGTACGGCTGAGTTGCCGCTGACGGGTGGAAGTTGGAGATGTTGAGTGTCTGGATATTAGTGCGGCGGCTGTTCTTATTTGGATTAGTGCGGCGGCTGTTCTTGTTTGGAGTAGTACGGCGGCTGTTCTTGTTTGGATTAGTGCGGCGGCTGTTCCTGTTTAGATTAGTGCGGTGGCTGTTCTTGTTTGGATTAGTGCGGCGGCTCTCCCTGTCTGGATTAGTGGCACTCGTGAGGCGCAAGTGCCCTGTGGAGACGGAAGCTGCCGTGCTATTACCATATCATCTCGTGTGCTTTGCGTGCTTTCCTGTGTCCTTTTTGACGTGCACGCATTGCCGTTTGCCGCTGTTGTCGGGCGGTATCCATGTTTCGCTCTAGCGACGCGTGCCCCACGGGTCCGATCAAGGGTTTGTAACTTTTTGTTATTGGACTCTGGTCGAGTAAGTGGCCTTATGCCAGGGGGGCGAGCCGAGGTGCGAGCCAGTCCAATATCAGATAGGAACGGGTATAAATGTAACTGCCCCCCGGTGTTTCAAGTGCGACTTGTTACTATGTACTGCTGCTTGTTACCCTCGTGGATCTCCAACGACGCAAGTTTGACGACCTTCCGATACACTTCAGCGCAATGGCTTCCAAACTAAAGATTGCCCTAGTGCAACTCCACTCTCACGTCTGTTACCTTCCAACTGCCCTCAAGTACACATCAATTAATCCAGACGCACAGCCAGACGACCTGTCCAGCAATTTCAACCGCGCGGCCGAGTACATCCGCAACGCTGCCCAGGATGGTGCCAGTATTGCAGTCCTGCCCGAGTACCACCTCGCAGCGTTTTACGAACAACTGCAGGATCCCAAGGCAGCCACACGGCAATCCGCCGAGCACCTGAAGCGCTACCAAACGCTGGCAAAGGAGCTGCATATCGGCATTGTCCCTGGGACGTTGCTCGAGCCCAAGACGCAGGGTGGAGTTGCCGGCGACCACACAGGGCCACTGGCAAATGTAGCATACTTCATAGGCCCAGACGGAGAGCTGCTTGGACGTTACCAGAAGAAGAATCTGTGGCATCCCGAGCGGCCTCATATCGCCGCTGATACCGAGTCCCCGCACCGTGCATTCGACACGCCGTGGGGTAGAGTAGGTCTACTCGTGTGCTGGGATATAGCTTTCCCGGAGGCCTTTCGCGCTCTCATCGCCGACGGGGCGCGCATCGTCATCTGCCCATCATACTGGGTGGCCGGTGACGGCGGCGAGGGCCGTCGATTCAACAGCTCATGCGAGGCGCTGTTTCTACAGAACGTGTGTGTGGCGCGAGCATTTGAGAACACCTGCGCCGTCGTCTTTGTGAATGCCGCTGCTCCACTGGGAAGCACCGACGGCAAGGATCTTCTTGGCAAGGAGTACGTTGGGCAAAGCCAAGTGGCGATGCCGTTTCAGGGTTCCCTGGTTACGCTTGGTGCTGCCGAGAGTTTGAGTGTCGTCGAGATAGAAATGGAAGCTCTGAATGTGGCAGAGGACGTTTATAAAGTTCGGCAGGATATGGCAACGGCTGGCTGGCACTATCCACTCGCGTACGAGACTAAGAAAATGGCTATAAATACAGATTAAACAAAACAGTGGTCAATACAGAAGCTATTGCAATGGAATTGAGTCCATCAACTTGAATTGCAAGTTGAGTGGATTGAATTGTTGCACGTGACTTCAACTTCAACGAGATTGAAGACATTGAAAGTGGTAAATGATGACCAGCCTGAGCTGTATCAGAGTCATTCGCATATTACTCGATGGGCTGAGTAGGTGGGGTAGGTCCTTTACGCCCCCATCTCTCCAGGAGAGAGATGGCGGCATTCATAGTACGTATCTTTGACGCCTTCGTATCCCTCTATCAGACCGTTGAATCATCCCAACTCCACCAACATAAAGCCAAATTATATATAATTATAAGACTTAATTTCATAAGAAATGCGGGAAATCCGAATATTTAAAATGGGGCAGATGGGATTCGTAAATCGGTGGTATTGGACTTAAATTAATACCATATGCTAGTTTTAGTTAGATACCTACTTGTTAGTTAGTTAGTTAACTGAGTGAGCCATGTAAGCGAGCGAACCACCTAACCACTTTTTCGCGTCCTACCGCATTCATCTATCTTCTATCCACCACCATGCCTCCAAATCAGGTCAGGTTATGCCAGGATTCAATCCAGCAAGAAGGTCTCCTTTTGCTTGCAATACATGTTATTAAAAGAAAAGAAATAAGCTCTATACGACGGGCTGTGGATCAATTCCACGTTAACCGTTGTACACTTGCGCGTCGGCTTCGCGGTACTACGTACAAACCGCGCTGAATCTCGCGCAAATTCACATAAATTAACACAAACTGAAGAGGAATTACTTCAGCAGCGGATACTATTTCTAGACCGACGTAGAGCAGCCCTCACACAAGTTCACGTACGAGAAATGGCTAATTTGCTACTCGCGAAGCGTGGTTCTACCCCCATTCAAATTCAAACTGTTGGCGAAGAATGGGTATACCACTTTATCCAACGTCATTCACAGCTTAAATATCGGTTTTCACGACGATATTACTACTTACGGGCACTACAAAAAGATCCAAAGATTATTCAAGAGTGGTTCAACCTCGTACAAATCACGATTTAGCAATACGGTATCCTCGCGGACGACATCTATAACTTTGACGAGACTGGCTTCGCGATGGGTCTCTGCGCGACTCTTAAATTGATTACTCAATCAGAATACTACGGTAGGAGATCAGTTTTACAGCCAGGAAATCGCGAGTGGGTAACCGCAATTGAGTCAATCATCGTATCAGGATGGGCTCTTCCACCAACGCTTATCTTTAAGGGCTAGCAATACAAGCAAGCCTAGTTCAAAGACCTTCTATATGACTAGCGTTTTGAAGTTAGTACGAATGAGTGGATTTCTAATGAAATAGGCCATCGCTAGCTTCAAAAGCAATTTATTCCATCGACAAATAGTCGTACACGTGGAAGATATCGACTTTTAGTCCTTGATGGACATGGATTGCTGCTCATAAAATACAATACAAATATTTAATTCATTACATTGCCTCAAACCCTAATATTCGTTCATGGCTTATCGTAACTCCCTTCTCTCGAGAATTCTCAGCCTCTGGATGACCCTTCCACTCAACAAAATACTCAATCTTTCCTCTCCGTTCTCGCTTCTTGAGTAACTGCTCGTCAAAATAGTTCTCTCGATAGCTCGCCTCAAAGTCATGGATGAGATCTGAACTGATGTGGCAACGAGGTCCTCGACCTTGTTCAGAAAGACCATGATATGGCCCTTGACGTGCTTCCAGTAGCTGAGGCCTGACGGGGTCAGGTTACCAACAGCGGACTGCATGTCTCTGGACCATTGCGGTTTGTCTATCGCGACTTTCCAGTGCCGCTCAGAGTAGTGAAAGCCATAGGGTGGGTGGAACGCTAGCGCGGCCAGATAGACAGGTGTACGATCCGTTTTGACGTAATAGTCACTTCGAGCTACGCCCATCCGCAGTCAATTCCCGACTTGAATGAGAGGCTTCCTCGAGCCGAGTATCCTCCGCAGCCTGCCTGGATTTACGAACAGATAGTCTATTGTCTTCAGGGTCTCCCACATCTGCCCAAAGCCATGCAAGTTCATTGCCATTCAGATAAAAACGTCGCCGAGCGCTTCAAAGTCAAATAGTATATTCGTTCCGGCCGGCAGTTCCTTACTGGTCCTCGTCCATGCAAGGTGCAGAAGGCGCATTACTGATGTAATGGCCTGTGATCCAGACTTGTGGGCTAGACCGTTAATGTACAGCGTCGCTATATCCTGGTCCTCCGGACTCGACGCGGCGAGACTGATGATGGTGGCTGGCCATAACAACACTGGTGATAGGAACCCGGCTTTTGCCAGGTACGTCAGAAGGCGGAATCCGAGGCGGGATACTCGACGGACCTGATCCCTGGACTGCGTTGACTCAGGGTCCCGCAATTTGGTCGTGATTATGTGGCAGGCATAAGCGTAAAGGCAGTGCGCGGCGCAGGCCTGGTCTGCTAGCGACAAGCAAGGCCTGCCACCGCTATCCGTCGGATGATCTGGGTCGCCCATATGCGAAGGCCACGCCTCATAAGGCCCAAGATAGTGCTGAAAGTTGCCCTCTAGCTTGTCCAGCTCAGACCTCCACGAAGGTTGGAGGGGTACGAGACGGAGGAGGACTGATAGCTTAAAGACTGCATTGAGTATGGGCGGCCGCAGACCGATCCAGAGGCTATGTTGCCACAAAACACAAGTGATCGGTGACGACTCCCATATATCGACGAGCTCGTCCAGCGAGGAGTATTCCTCCAGGTAACACATGGGCCCTAGCCGGAAAGTGCTAGTAACGGCGACTCGGTATACCAGGCTCTCTAGCTGTAGAATATGGCGCATGTCTCTCGGAGGCGAATGGGTGAAATGGCGGAGAAAGATGCTTCGCGCCGACTTGACATGTGTATCCGAGGGCGATCGGTACCCGTCGCCAAACTTTTCGAAAATGTGAAGTAGCAGCATGGAGCACAGGGCCCATTCCTGAGGTACTGGGGCAGAGTGGAGGTGTTGGCGCAGGCTGCCTATTGCCTGCGAGTGGTATTCTAGCGACAGGAGTCGCAATGGGTTCTCTGCGGACGGTAGTTGCTGCGCCAGTTGAGCAGCCCCTAGCGCCAGCCATGTGTATGCATAACAGGGAAACTCGGCCAGCAGCGGGAGTAAGGGGATAAAGATTGAGTAGTGATCGTCAAAGTAGGCGCCGTGAATTGCGCGGTTGGCATAGCACATCAGCTCCCAGGCAAACGCAGGTTGGATACCCGGCATGGTGGCACATATGCCAAGCACAGAAACGGTGCTAGGCCTCACTGTGCACAAAGTAGTCTCTCTCCCATCCTGAGGCTGCTGTCCGTCATCTGGGCCCGTGGCGGAAGAGGGCGAGGATGTAGGCCGCGGCCAAGTGCACTCTCCTCGACTTTGCCGTACACAGCGCCCGCAAGCCGGCCGCCTCTCGTCGCACTTTTTCTTGGCGCGGCGGCCTTTGGTCACACGTAATTAGCGCCGTTGGCACCAGGCAAGTTGCGCTGAGAGCAGGGGTCAAGGAACGTACAGGGAATGCAACCGCTTGTGGATCGCGGCAGACTTGCCTTGGTCGAGTGCTCGACCATGCCACCCGACCACAGCTCAAAGTTTGCAAACATGTCTTAGCTATGCAGGTGGTTGTTGAGGGAAGTTACGGTTTAGGGAAGACAATGTCAGGCTCTAGATAACTAGTGTAGTGAGGAGAAGCGGTTGATATAGGCAAAATGCTACGATTGGTCGATTCTAAAATAGCAGGCTAGTCCCTTCTGGATTGCTGAGGTAGATATCTTCGTTTCGGAGACCAGGAATAGCTTCAATACACACTCTACGCTCTCGCATTTCGTCCCTGTTCTCTATACAGATTGTTGCATGGTGGTGGTGATGGTGGTGTTCGATTCCATCTCCGACGTCCCATTCGACCCGCACGTTCTGATCGTGCCGCTTCGAGCATTCCCTCCCCGCTTCACTGGTTAAATACAATCTGTCCGAAAAGTCTGGTCCCATACGGTTATTATATAATATTGTTGCATCCACGGTAAACCCAAGCTTATCCGGTTTCGACAATGGATACCTGCTCCCTTTGAAGTGGCGACGTTATTCGATGTGTTGGACATCATTTCTTGTACATGTCTCGCTGCAGTCTATGGAGAGCGTGCGCGCTGCTGTCGTCTACTAGACAGCTCCACGAACGCAGCAAGCACCAACATTGTCTCCCCAGGCAACTGAAGCGGTGCGGCCTCGATGCTTCACGAATTCGACAAGCTGACCCAAAATCGCGAATTCCAGCTTGAGCTTGATGGAGTAGGTGACAGCTTTAACCCCTTGCTTCCAGAGGAACAGACTCTTGTATTCGATAGCGAGTAGAGCAATGTCCATAGCAACAATGAAGACGTTAATAGCAAAAAGCTGTCGAATAAACCGTAGCTCGCAACCAAACGTCGTCCCAAGAAGTTCCCACGTCTTCCAGATGTAAAACCCGGAGAGTATGAACTCCTGGACACAGAAACAGGTCATTTGGACTTTTTCTAGTACGTTGAAAACGGCATTGAACCCATCTTGGTTTTGCACGGGGCTGTAATTGGATCCGAATACAAGCACCGTAATAGAAGTGTGCCAAATAATGCCGTTAACGATTATCATCCACAGTAGCACGCGGAGAACCAGGTGTAATCGTGAATAGAGTACCATAGACTGGCCTGATACCAAAAGGGTCCATCCGATTTGAGCGAGAATCATACCAGCCCAGTCCGGTGTAAGGTTAAAGAAATCAATAAGCCAGCCAACACAGTATGGAATGATTCCAAAGGACGCGAGGGAAAGGCTCCAGAAGTAGAGGCCTCTGCGCCGTTCAAATATCGCGAAGATGAGGGTGAGAAGCAGGAGGGCGTTGTACATTGCCAGTGCGGAGCATACCTACAGCAAAAATCAGCAAACAAGGCCATAATTCAGAAAAACCGATGCCCGTACAATTACCATGATATCCTCACGGTCATATGTGGTTTGAGCAATCCCTCTCTTCCCCGGCAAAGCTGCACTCGGAGCTACTCTGTATGCCCATCCTTAGTCGTATTTGCCATGTCGTGATGGGGAAAGAAGGGCACTAGATTCAAAATAACGATGTCCGACGGTGGAACAGGCGCGTCTTCGGCGTGAGGATCGTTTGCTGCAACAAGGGGAAGGGAGCAATGGTGGGTCGATTCACCCCGCGTCATTGAACCTCGTCCGACATTTGAGATTGAGGCGGCGCACATCTTTGGGCTGGCAAGCCCTAAATGCTAACTGGGCTTGGGGGCCCATGGACTGTCGCTGGGTATCCATAGACGGTCCACTTCCCCGCCCATTTTCGCACATTCCACGTAAATAGGAAAGTACGATTGGCTTGGCTATTTAGTATAATTCACGCTTGTCATATGTCCCATGTAGTATATGGAACTATACCATAATTTATTTTAAGAGATTCATATGGATACCCGCACCGTCAACGAAAATCGGGCGCTGGAGTTAGACCTGGCATTTTTCTGTCCAATGGCGGGGTTTTCTGCCCATTGACCCAACCAGTAAGTACTCCGCCCCTTTGACTAGACCTGGGCATGGGTCGACCCATTAATGGGGCCCACGAATTGGTCGGACGACCCACCAATAGTGTTATATATGAATGCACGTGATCCCAGCCTCCATGATTATCTTAGTAACCCGGATATTTTAACACCTACAATTATAGGCCAGGCTAACTCAATTTGCAGAGCAGGTGCGCTAGCACAAACCTTAATTGAACCCGCGCCCGTCAGACTCTGCTGATCCAGCCGGCGCGGAACCTCGTAAGCGCAAGTAAGGTTCATTCTAGCGTATATATGTCACAAATTAGGTTAGCCAGAGCAAGTACACAGTTTTAACCGAAATTAACGCAGCTGACTAATTATCGGCGTAAGCTGAGATAGTGTGGTCTAGTAATCGTCTTGGACGAATAAGCATCAAGGCGAGGTCAGGCGGAACCCATTTTGGATGAAAAGGTTGGTCGATTGAAGAAAGAACAAATATCATGGGCAGGTTGAAAAACGCCATAGGAGGCTAAGATACACGATGCATATCTAGGGATCAGATTTGCCGTGTAATTTCGAGCGTTATTATGGCGAAGAATTGGAGATGAATGGAATGGAGGTCGATAAAAGTGCAAGGGTAAAGAGAGCCGATAGCTAGGCATCCAGTATAACGTGTCACATTAACATGTATATTCAGCACTGTAGAGAACTTGTATGACGATACACGTAAGGCCAATCTGGTTTCCCCATATCCTCCCGAATCTTGTATACGGATTATGCTTCCTCAATAAGATCTATGTCAACGTCGATGATTTCCATGCCTTCATTTGGAGTGGAAAGCTTTCCAAGACAACCCATGAATGGTATAGCTACCTGGGAATGACCCATATATCCTTCTGCAGCCGGCCCTGCAACGTTACAGAAAATCACCGCACAAGTGTTCTCAAACGCCCGACTCACGACAGTGGCATCAATAAAGACTTGTTCTGAAAGAGGATTCCTGTTTATCCCGACCTCGTACGCGTCCGTCAATCTCCAAAACGCAGGAATGATGAAATCAGCTTTGCACCCTGAGCGATTAGCTCCTTGAATGCTTCCGGAAACGCCAGATCCCAGCAAATCAGCATTCCGACCTTACCCAGAGGGGTATCGAAACAAAGGTGAGCTCGTGCATTGAACCGGTGACAATTGGCCGTTCAGGATGCCAAAGGTTCTTCTTTTCATATCTGCCAAGAATGGTGCCATTATCGTCGATGAAATACGTGGAATTAACAAGTCTTTCCTCTTGTGTTTCCTCATTGCGATGCAACTCTGCGAACGAGCCGGGTACAATGCAGATACGATACTCCTTGGCAAAGCACAATAGGCATGCAAATACTTCTTCCAGAGGACGCACTGCCTCCTGAAACTTTTGTCTTCCGGGTAGTAGTCTGACAGGTGGTACTCCGGAAGGACGGCAAGGCGGGCTCCGGCCATAGCAGCTTCTCGAATAAACGCCACTGCACGAGCATGGTTCTGGTCAAGCTGACGGGGCTATTTGTAGTGAGTTAGCACTCCCCGTAGTTGACCTCGGAAAAATGGAAGTCACATGCCTCAGGATGCATTTGTATTATTGCAATCTTGCGGGTTGGCATCGTTCATTCGGTGCAGGTGGCCCCTGTGCGAATTCAGGCTGGTTTTCGATATCTGAAGAAGTATTATGTGCCAAATATGAGTCAATGACGACTCAATGTCCCGTTCTAATTTTTGAGTAGTTGAAAGCTATCAAACTATTTATAGTGAACAGCATTGTTAGACGGGACTTAGCCGCGCTCCGATCTCCTTCAGCGATGATAGACTGGACAGAAATCTTCAAATGGGCAATTCACCCGAAGGACTGTTATTGATATGTGGTCTCACTTCACGATTGGCCTGAAGCGCCGAACGGCGGTACGGCTGTCCGGCAGGGGAACCGAGATGGCTAAACAGGGGATACAATGGCGAAGCCGGCCACGAAATCCGCCTATCAGAGCGTTATCGATGCGCTCAAGTGGCCGGCACAAGCTGTATTTGTGGAAGAGGTACGCTCTGCGGCGATAAACCCAGCTTATTTGTCCTATGGAGCATCGCTTCTACGGCTTCAATCTAGAGTTGCGATCAATAGGAAGAGAGTGAAAGTCCCACGCGTTTTCTCGTCGAGAGGCCGATTCAGTGCAAGTTTTCTGATGGCGTCTTTTGTGGACGTTCCTAATGTCCACAGTACAAAACTTACTTAGCTCGATGGTTCCATAATCGATCGTAGGATTTCCGCACATGCTAGTGCTGAGGGAACCAATGAATGTGTTGATTGAAGAACTATGCTGGAGATCGCTATTGAGAGCGTCTCATAGCCTCAGAGGCTGGTATTAGGGAGTTACAACGCGAGTATTCCGAGTTGGCCCGGTTTACCATGCAAAAACATATGGAGAAGTGGGTAGTTGCCGAATCAGCCCGTTCTTAGTGGTACAACACAACCTCTCAGCTCGACATTCCACCATCACATGGATCAGTGCAGGGTTGACTGCCTTGTATTCTTGCCCTTCACCTCAGTACCGATCAAACATTTGGAGACTGTTCGAGCCACAGTCTACATCAGGAAGTATATACGCTCAAGGCGAGAGTTATGTCATATTGGCTGCTAGGCAAAATAGAAAACAATTTTTGCCGTATACGTCAAACGTTTTCCACCAAGTCCTCCCGCTCCACAGCCCGTTTCTCAACCCAAGGGTGGTCTATGCGGGGTCTAAACTCTACAATCGCGCCCGCTTTGCGGGGGAGGCAGATACGAAGTTGACCTGCGCAAGCAATCCTCGGCGCAATGGAAAAATCAGCAGCCTCAATGAGGGCATCTCGTCGCCGAAGCTTCTCGGCGCAATGAACCAGTCAGCAGCCACAGTGAGGACATCTCATCGCCGAAGCTGCCCGCTGAGGAGTTGATTTGTACCGACTGTAAGTCTATCAGTCGAATCTATAACTGCCAGGGTCGAGTGAAGGGCTGTCTGGGATAGCTGTTTCTTTTACTTATTAGCATATATTCGTTTATATCTTAATCTTCCCTCTGTTTAAGAATCAACATAAGCTGGACCGAAGAATCGCTCACCTGGACGTGGCCGCACAATCATGGAATTGGGCTTAACTATCCAGACAGGTCTTTTCTGTACCTCTGACGAGTCCGCCGGATCAAGCTCGTTATAAAAAACCGTAGTGAATGGTACTGGGGATCTTGTCCCCTGTACTGATAAATAATATAGCTATTTTGTGGAATTTGTCCCAAACCACCCCGGCACAACTAGTTGTACCGGTCCACTACACTCTATACTCAACTGCTTCCTGTTTATCTTATATACTACCAGAGTCTCTGGCGATAGAGCTTTCTTAATTGGCAGGTTCTTCTGGTACCAGTCTGTAGAAACGCCCGCGAACGTACCGGAATCTAGCCCGTCGGACTAAACAAATAATCCTCGCGCTATATCCGGCCGTGTAATTATAAAAAGATACTGTAGCGGGACACCTGTCTACTCAATGTTCCTGACCCTCTAAATATTCTTTGTTAGATCTGTGAGTAGGCTTCTGTAGCACTTATGAAAAGAAATGACTGATTTATGCGGCATCTGTCATAGTTGCCCTAGATCTATAGATAAAGGTCGGTTGACAAGCCTATTTACTACAAGCTTCCAGCGATTTATATTTATAACTGGAGCTCCCATATGGATGGTTTAAAATAAATATATATCTGTCGTGATATCTTCTTCTAACTCATAGGGTTTAGGAGGTGGACAGATGAAGAAGCCTTTCGATTAGAGGCGGATAAAAGCCTCACGCTCAGAGTCGCGTACGTATCCTCTGGGATCGAAGAAGTCGACGGAGTGTGAGCACGCATTGGCCATTGTATATAAATTTGGCGTTTCGACAGAACACAGAGAGCGAGTAGCGAAGAAAGATAATAAGCAGTATCCTAAAGAATGGAGTACGATCCCGCTCCTTGCCGCTCTACCCGCAGGTCCCGCATTATCCTTGCGCCTTCCGAAAACATGAGTTGCAGTAAACTTTGATTGTGTCGATCGACACGAGTTAAAAGAGGGAATTATGCTGTTGGTCCTACTTGAAAAACACAATCACTCAGCTTTTAAAATCCGACAGGCACAATGGAGCGTGGTCTTTCCGCGCGAGAGAAAAGACTTCGTGGCTCAGAAGCCATCTTTCCTCGACGTGCTAAGCGACCTATGGGTTCCGCAGTCGAACCCCAATGGGGTCGTAAATATTGGTCTTGCCGAGAATGTGAGAATAATATTCCTTTTTTTTTACTATGCGCTAATAGCAGTCTAGACTCTCATGCAGGCGGAGATGGAGAGGTTCATCAATTCAACCGTAAGATTCATATTTGCTTGTTCAGGTCCACATCACATAACCCGACCACAGCCTGTGTGCTAAGTCTATTTCTGCAGTTCCAAATCGACGCACATGCACTGACTTACGGTGACGGATTCAGCGGCTCGCACAAGCTCAAGAAATCACTGTGTCATTTCCTGAATCGCCGTTTCCGTCCTCGCATAGCGCTCTGCCCCTCTCATCTTACCATTACATCTGGCGTCAGTAATGCAGTGGAGTGTTGTGCCTGGGCATTAGCAGATCCTGGGGACCATGTTCTGGTTGGACGACCATACTTTAACGCGTTCAAGACGATATTTGGAGCCAGGCCCAGGTGAGAGATACCGATCATTTTTCTGATTTAACCAAGCTTATTGTTGCAGAGTCGAACTCCAAGAAGTCAAATTCGGAAAAACAGACCCGTTCAGTATGGCTGCACTCCAGCATTATGAGAGGGCATATGCCGAAGCGAAGAATAACGACGTACGAGTCAAAGCTCTTTTGTTGTGCTCGCCACATAATCCCCTCGGTTTGTTCCCGTATCCTGCTAAAGCATTATTCAGCCATACTAATGGTTTTTTAGGACGTTGCTACTCTGAAGAGGTACTAAGAGAATACATGAGGTTCTGTTCAAGAAATGGACTTCACCTGATTTCAGATGAGATTTATGCACTGTCTGTCTGGGATAATCCCCATCTACCCGATGCCACACCATTCAGATCAGTCTTGTCTATTAATTTTGAGGAAGTGATTGATCCAAGCACGGTGCATGTTGTATGGGGATTGAGTAAAGTACGAATCCATATTCCTTTGACCGATATGAATATTGATGTCTTTGACTAGGATTTTGGCGCAACAGGGTTAAGGATTGGCTGCTTGATTAGCCAATCGAATACGCTGCTCTTAGATGCTGCAGAGGGCATTTCGTGAGTCTGTATCTTTAACTGATGAAAGGAGACTCATTGACCATGAATAGCCTCTACAACTTCCCCTCAAGCCTCGCCGACAATATTGCCACATCCCTCTTACTGGACGACAAATTCACAAGCGAGTATATCGCGACTAATCGGAAACGCCTGGCTGGAAGCTATCGTTTTGCGACGAAGTTTCTCCGATCCCATCAAATACCTTACGTGGAGTGCAACGCTGCGTTTTTCATTTGGATAAACCTAGGAGCCGTGGCGAAAGATCGCACATCCAGTGATAAGGATATTCTTGCGAGGCTCCACAAAGAGAGGGTTTACATTGCAACCGGGGCTATTTATGCATCCGAAGAACCTGGGTGGTTCCGAATGGTGTTTGCGCACCCACAGAACGTGCTGGAAGAGGGGCTCAATAGAATGCTTCGGGCTATTCAATCTAGGCAGTGTTTGATACAAGAAGCAGATGTAGCGCATCTTACATGAGAAACGTCTCAAGTCAACTCCTAAATCCCTATACAACCGAAGTATAAGAGGGCTTCCTGCACTTCTTCACGAACAGAAACAGTACTCAACCACCTTAGGAGCTTTATTTTATACTTCAAAGTTGTAAACTCTTTGGGTTGGGTCCGGGTTATAGTGGGTTATGGCGGTGCCTAGCTATGTAGTTTAGGAGTCCTATTAGAATTATGCTAAAAATAAATAGGCTTTCCCTAATAAGGAAGAAAGCTATAAGGGAATTAGCTTACAGACTTTCTCTCCTGATATAGTATATATACCCTACAATAATTAACTAGTGTTGGAGTCTGGTAGAGATAAGTCTTAGAATTGCTTATCTGTTCTATTATCCCCCCGTATACAAGGGAGATTTTTAGGTATTTTCTCTGGTAAGATTCGTTTCTCAGAAACCTAGAGTCCTATATACAGTATTTACAGTCCTGTTGATAACCTGTGGTTAGACTACTTATAAGTCACTGGTACGCTAAACCAAATGCTTGTCTTAGAGCCTGGTAGGACTACAAACGTTCGTATCCAGTGGGAATTAATCCACAATGATGTTGACGCAGAGAATTATAACTTCTGGAGAGTTTCGGTAAAAGCTACTAAGCCAATAATGCCGGTTGAACCTCTCGTTCGTGAGGCTGCTCAGCAAGAGAAATATACATTGCACCTTATCTCCTGGGTATACAAAGAGAGGCTTTCTCAAACTTTACAAAACTGACTGAAACTACGTTGAACATCTTGATTGCTATTATTTATAGGGCACGGCGTTTTCAGCAACGCGAGTCTTCGACGTAGTGCTGCTCATCTAACATTTTGCCGAGGCTGGGGACAATTAAGTTTAGATGACCTACACCTTAGCTTAATGGAAAGACCAAAACTCAAGAAATATGAGAAGCTTTCAGATCAATAATGTTCTAGCAGCTCGGTTCTTCATAACTGAGTCCTCATGGCTAAAGGTCCAAATTTGGATCCGGTTTATTGTATACGGTATCTTCATCGATACTCTGGCGAGATAGTTTCCGCATATCAATAAAAGTTCCAACGGCAAGGCCTCTCACCACAGTTGACTTTCTCGAGGCACATCGTCGACCACAAGCTAGGGAAGATGTAGAGCTTAGTCGACCGGAAGTCACAGAAGCAAGAGATGTCCTGGCCGGTACAGATAAGACAACAGAAGACCCAGGGTCAATTAATCAGGAGCTCAGATATTATGTAGCGGTGGGTTCGAGGATAGGACCGCCTAGACGATCGTCAGGGAATATACCAGCAGGTGATTCGCCGTAAGTTTATAGAGGTGTATAGCAAGAACCCTTAGCGGGTACTACTCCTTATATTTTGCTAGGTGCAGGCATTAAGGTAGCAGAGACTCCTAGTCAACCTGAAACAGGTACGTAAGCGGATGAAGGAAGAACAGAATATTAGGTAGAGGGATAGGGCGGTATCTGAGGCTGAGAAGAGGCTACTATATCTGACTCAGAGGCTCTAGAAAAAGAATCAAAAGTGATGATAATATTCTGTATATATAACAAAAACAGTAAATAGAACTATGTTGTTTATTAAATGTTGGTTAACTGATCTGATCTATCTCCTGTAGAAAGAATAGCGGTAAAGAATATATATATGAGTGATTTACTACTTTTTATAATAAAAGCCTGTGCTAGGTAGCCTCTGTGCTTTGCTTTAATACAGCGGTCGAAGATAGAATAAATACTGTCTTTATAACATTGGGCAACGATCTAGTTTACAGTAAAGAAACAATAGATTTGATTACACAGGCACTATAAGATGACAGCGACCGGGATCAAGCGGCGAAATACTGCCAGTAGTGATTATAGGGACAGAAATCAAAAGATTTAAAACAGGTACCAAAGTAAAACTAGAGATCTCAGACAGCTATAGCTATAAAGCTACCTTAGACACCAGTTGGCAGACTGTAAGCTAACCTCGACCGAGAGCTGTAGACCTACGTCCACAGCAAAAAAGACCTGGCCACAGTTCACCCGCCCTAAGGCTGGGTATCTAAGGCCAAAGGCATGTTTCCACAACTTCCCGACCTTGGACACATGTCAGTTGAGCTGGGGCCACCATGGAAGTCAATCACCGGATTGCCATTGCAACTGGCTTTACAACAAGCAACATAGATCTAATATAGACATTTGGCCGCGTGGGCTTGAAATCTTCATCTTTTGGTCCGCGCAGCCTCTCATCAACCTAGTGTAGGTGGTTTTTCTAGTAACAAATAAGTTGCTAGACTGAGAATTGACGCTAATCTGGCCTTCCTCCATCACTAGTATAGGAGGACGTCCGCCCATGCCGGATTCGGCCAATATCCTTAACCTACACCCAACCCTGGACCCATGTCGCTTGAAAGCCCCAACGCCGCATACACATACAAAGCTAACAACCCCTTATAATTCGCAATCTATCAGTATAGCCAGGACCCAGAATATACATATGAGAACATCCCTGATCTTCCTATAGCTTCCACCGCTCGTGCTTCCTGATGGTTTTGCCAAATTTGTAGATAACTAAAGGAACCGGTACAAGTGCTAAAGCTATCAACCCCAAAACAGTATTTCCCCAACCAAGCCCCAAGGCGTGGTACATTTGCGGTCCAGCTAAGGGAAGAAATGCAGCAACTACACTTCGCATTACTGAGAAAGCAGCGAGGGCACTAGCAGCGCACTGAGGGTACGCATCGACAATAAATGCCTGAGTCGGCAGCCAGATGCACTCAAACCCGATACCAAATACCACAAGCCCAAGGACCGGTACGATCCAAAGACTGCCTTTCTCGCTGCTCCAGCCGTACCAAAAGAAGGCAATCGGTAGTAGACAAGCGAAATAAATGCAAACAGGAAGCCGCATCTCAGGTTCGTATACCCCACCATTGGCCTCAGTCATACGGACTATAGTCTTGTCAGACATGGTCAAAAAGATGACCAGGCCGATGATATATCCAATCAAAAGGGCTAGGTATACGATGCCTGTAATGCCAATAGACCAACCATAGTGGTCCTGGAAGACAATGGGGATGGTGTTGAATAGAAGATAGAGACACCCATATGCAAATGCGATATAAAGAGATATGCCAAACACGATAGCAGAACCAAAAAGCAATCTTAGAGGTCTGATTAGACCTCCAAGGATTATATCCTCTTTCGACAAGCGAGGAATCTTTGGATCGGCGAAACAACTCTGAAGCTCGGGTCGGCCAAGCTGCTGGCGTGTTCTGGCTGTCTTCCGTTCGATCAAGACCCGGTGATTGGTTTCACAGTTGAAAATAGCCATGGCTACCACTATGAGAAAGGTAGGAATCAGAGTGATCCAATTAGCCCACCGCCACCCTATCGACTCAGCAACAAATCCACCAATGACAGGTGCACAAGAAGGCCCTAGGATCGGCCCAAGTGACCAGATGCCCAAAGCTCGGCCACGCTCATGAACAGGGAAAAGATCTGCTATCGTGGCCCCTCCAATAGTTTGAGAAGCCGAACCGCCGACACCGCACAGAAAGCGAAAGAGAATGAGTGTGTTCAATGAAGGAGCAAGAGCACAACCAATCAGCCACACACAGAAAAAGGCACTGGCAAGAGTTATGATGATGTAGCGGCCATATATCTCGGACAATGGTGATAGAAATAGAGGTCCCACTGCATAACCTAACAAAAAAATGCTCACTGGAAGGGCACTCTTGGTCAGATCGTTGACCCCAAAGTCCTTCTGAATAAAAGATATCGCGGGGGCTATGATGGATGAGGCAAATGGAGTCATAAACCCAATGGCTGATAGTATGATGGTGATCAGCCACTTCTTTGCAGACGTGAAGTTCAAGGGGTTCTCCGGGTCACGCTCGCCATCCCAGCCAATAAGACCATTCTCGAAATCCATAAGAGTCTGCATCACCGGAGGTTGCTCCGCCACACTACGACTAGCAGGGTTTTCAACAACGGCGTTGAATTGATCGCGGCTAATCGATATATCGCAGATCTCAGCTTTTTGAATCTCATTTCCCTTCTGGAGTTGTATCGTCAGCAACATCAGAGAGACCTAGTAGATCTTTTCTCACATTTTGAATTTGGATTTGACGGTTGCAACCGTCTTGTGAGATACACTCAGAATCGTCCTCTGAGCCATTCGGTCTGTGCAACTGCTGTCCGTCGGGTGATTCTACCGCTTCGTAGACGACCCCTTCTGTGACTACATCTAGCCTGGAGTCCGAGTCAGGATAGCATGTATGGTTACTAGAGGGCATGCCGTCTTGTCGTTCTGTCTCCGGTACTAATCAACGCAAAAGCTGTTGAGTTGGAAGTTGGAGAGCTGGAGAGATGACAGGAAGAGGTAGCAAGTAACCTGGGAAATCCTACCATGACAAGGTGGGAGCGAACGCCTTTTGACAACCCGCCGAAGGAAACTACAAGGCCGACATATTGTCAAGTTCGATCGTACTTAATTCTGATTGGACCAGCAGTCGGCGATTTGAAAGTTGGCCGGCTCCATCCGGAACGGAGATCGTATCGTCGCCCCCACATCCACTGCCATGGCCATCTCTTCTCTGCACTTGCCTCTGTTGCCGTATCTCTTTGTGTTGTGCTTGGACTATATTAATCGACAGGAGTGAGTGGTCTTGTTTGAATCTCCGTTAACATAATGCACCGATCAGAATTTCGACGTCACGACCCATCGAGTGCGACAAGATCACAAAAAAGACCAATCGCATCAGTACTGCAGTGCAGTCATACATAACTAAATTGTTACTCATCTTTTATCCAGTTGCCATCGGTGCCATTCGCAAAAGGTCAAATACTCTGGCGAAAAGCTATGCTCACGATGCCTGAGAGCTGGCTATACAGCTCAGTATCGCTATATAAACCGCAATCATAAGATTCGGGTTGACAAAAGGTGCCGCATAAGATTCCCTATCTAGCAAGCTTTATACTAAGAAACTTCAATTTCTAACTTATAAATTATAGCTACTTAGAACAGCTTATCCAAGATAGCCAAGAACTTCAAGATCAACAGACACGCCAGACTTATAGACCGCCTACTCCTTCAAGTTCCCTCAAGCCAATAACAACCTTGAATAATCCTCTGCAACAGCCCAAGAGTATCAGCTCTACTATTCCCGATTATACAGTTAGAGAGACTCTATAGTTCTAAAGCCTTAGTAGCTCGGCTCTACTATTATATATTAGTAAAGCAGCTTATACTACTTTTGCCACTTATCTTTACCAGTATATAAGCATAACAGATTTACTAGTATTTTATCTGCCTAGACAGCAATATACTGACAAAAATACTCTAAAATCACTGTTCAATATTAAAGTACAGTGGCTAAGTCTAGTCTATGCTAAACTACTGATAAAAACTGCCCTTGGCTATCTAAACCCTGCTTTCTACTTAGTTCTTAGGAAAGAAATATTTAATATTCTTTATAATATCTACCAGAGAAGAGACTTTAATAACCCTGGTCTTCTGTATAAATATTTTGCTTTATTTACTGTTGGCCAGGCTTTCTTATTAGTTTACAATATAATAGACTTAAATATATTAGCTATACTAGGATCTATACTCTTTGCTTAGGTAATAAACCTATTATAGATTATCCCTGAAAGGCCTAATATAAATTATATTAAAAGTATTCTCCTTCTTAGAGATAGGCCCTTTCTATCTCCTTATTCTTGTTTTATTCCTAATTATTCTGACTATCCCAAAGGTATATTTCTATTAATTCCTTATCTAATTTTACTCTGAATATATTTTAATTAATAATGCCCTATAGCTCAGCCTTAGCCTCAGATTAAATTATAATATTCTACAAAGTTCAACATTATACTAAGTAGAAAGAGAGTATTAGGTTTATATATAGTAGACAACTTATATACTTAACTGATTCTGGGGGTTAAAAGCAGGGTTCTCTGTCTAGATCTATAATAACGATATCTATATTAACCTATCTTCTAACTTGCTCTGTGACGCTTATCCTGAGAATTTCTCAGATAGTATATATTAAGTAGTAGCTATAGAGCTTGCCAGAATTATAGGGAATATAACCAGAGAGATATATAGCTATAAGAAATTAACTATAAGCTTCCTCCAGTATAAGCAGAAATTACTTATTCAGCTAAAGCAATAGGTACAGACGCTTCCAGAAAACCTCAGGCTCAAGGTAGATAGGCCTAATTCAAAGTATACAGTATTTTTGCTCCTCTAATTCAGTTATATATATCTCTCGAATTCTAATCGTCGACTGCTTTTTTCTCTTATTAACTTAAACTATTATAGTGTATGATATTGGTAATTTGACCTGTCTTGTTTAATCTACTTATTTATTATACTAAAGATAATTCCTCCCTAGAAAATAAGGAAATTACTCTAATTATGAGAGTTTTAAGTAAAGCTTATATTTACGCTGTATATTAATATTTAAAGCTATATATTGAAGAATATATAAGTAGATCAATGTTATTATCTAGCTATACTTTTCCAGCCTTTCTGTTCTCTTTAGCGTTAATGCTCACCATATTAAGTCTTCTATCCTTAGGGGAATTAGGGGACCCCAACGATATTATATTAGTCAATATTGTAGCTGAGATTTTAAGAGTCCTAAGCACATACAATAGCCTAGCGGCTAAGGATCTCTATAAGTACCTTCAGTAAGTTTGTCTTTGCTTCAGTCATTATATAACTGAACCCCTACTTCCTCCAACAAGTAATAAACATATACCTCTCATCACCGATCCCTCAATGCGGCTGCCTCTTAAACAACATGGTGCCTGACCAAAGAAATGTAACGTCAAAGTCATTCGGTATCTCTGGTGCGTCCCAAGAGCCCACATCGAGACTAGATTAAGCAAGGAAGTCCTTCATTAAGGGGTTTCGTAGGGTTATTTCAGTTGTTAGATAAAGACCCAGAGGGTCGGCAACTTCTTCAATAGGGAGCTGCCTGCAGTTCATCGAGGTCCCGGACACAGGCGAAGGACTATGGTCACAGAATAGATCACGATTTTACTTTTAATAAAATGATTTGATGCAGCCATGCTATTCAGATAAATGGGTCTATTATAGAATCACATGGGAGACACAGCCTTCTGAACCTTACTTCTAGTCTTCGAGTCATTTCATGTGCATTAGTTTGAACCAGCAAACAGCACCATTGTAGTATTCAAGGTGAACGGGGCGCATCAAACTCGCATAAAATATCAATGCTTTTGAACGCTAGATTATAACAGGAATAATGGGGTATCAGAAGTCCAAAGAAAGTTCATCACACGAATAACGCCACGAAGAAAAGAAAGCAAGTTTCGATATACGACGCAAACAAGCTTGCGCGTGAACCTAAATGGTCGTCTCTGTAAAATAAGGAAGTGATTGTGTATATCATGCGCGAATCCCTCTTTGGGTGATAGTTTCCGAATACTCCGGAGGAGCCAAGTTCACGCCTATGACTGGATCACTCACGTGTGGAGTTATAGAGCGTAACGAGAAGAACTTATCCAATTCAGCTTGTGTCACAAACACATCCAACTCAGACTTCATCGTGTTGGTATTGTAACGGACCAGGCCCGATCATGTTTCACGGCTTTGCCGCTCCTGTTCACTTCGCCACGTGCTACTCGCATCCCCTTATTCCATGTCTGTTAGCGTCTCTCCTTTCTTCTCTAAGCTTAATAAAGACAGTTTGTGACATCGCCCTGTTGGATCTAAGCCCGGTCATAGCCCTTCACAAGTATAATCGGACTGGGTTGTGATTTGGATTGGGAGTTGGAGAGAAATGGTCGGGGTGAGGACATTTGTGCCCGGCGTGTGGTAAGATAGGGTAAGATCCAGAGAGTAAATACGAGACATAAGACACGAGTGGAAGGTCGGAACAAAGGTCTTCGAATGTGGAAGACTGACTGGAATAACCACCGATGCGGTATAATAAATGTCGCTATTGAACTCGGAAGACGGTCCAGTGGAGCTTTCGGAGCAAGTAGACTCTGTTGAGTCGTGGCGTTCGCAGTCAGATGTCGAGTGTTTCTGCCACTCTGCAGATCCGACACACATGGTAGAGAGAGGAACTGACTCGTTGAAAAAGCCTTGCGAGAACGGCATGGCTCCAGACTGGCAAGGGAAATCTTCCCAAGGGGTTGCGCTATAGAATGTGCTGGCTTTGAGCTTGCTGGTCATCGAGCCCAGCTTTGGTGGCAGCTCATTTCCTACAGGGTTGAATAGCAATTGAAGGGTGGCCACAGTGCTGACGGTGTCGCGGGCGTCGCAGCTATGAGGCAATAGACGGATCGGTTTTGGCTGGGCAGAAGAAGCAACCATTCGGCCCAGTTTGCCCCTTGAAAAACCACGTTTTACGCTTCTTTCCTTGCGTGTGCAATAGTATGGGTGATCAAAAACATGGATAGGCGGCTCTTCTTCGACTGTTGGGATGATTCGAACCTTTTTGGCAAAGTTGGCCAATGCCTTGACTTGGCGCTGGTCTGTCGATGATCTCTTGAGCACTCCCACGCGGATTATATACGATATTTGGCTCATCTCAGGAGCCATATCGTCCAGCAACGTCCTTCCGTTACCAGCCAGCATTGGGTCTCCCAAAGTAGGCGGGATCATAGTGTGAGATTGGTGAATGGCATTGTACTTGCGCTTGTGGGTGCACACTTGCGGCAGCAGTTGCTCGGGGATGACGAATTGGAAGGGGAATGAGTATTTGCGGCCAAGCTCGAACATGCGCGGAGTTGAATAGTCGCCGTATTCGATGGGCTGGCGAAGTTCCAAAAACATGTGTTGGGAGCCAGTCCGGCCAGGGCAGACGGCCCGTTCGACGGTGGTTCGTGATGTACCTATATCGCCGTAAGTAACTCGCGCATTTAGATAGAGCTGTTTATCGGATACACCCTACCTTGTAGAACAATTTCAACCTCATTGAAGCGTGTTTCATGCTCAACTGTGACAGTGACGGTCCCCTCGATATGGTCCCCAGTCGTATATGAGCTGACAAGCCCAGGTTTCTGGCCAACAAGGTTAATGTCGATGTTTGGCTGCGAACGCCGAGTGAAGACATCTAATGTATCCGATCCCCGGCTAATAATTGAAGCGGCGACCATAGTGGCTGATTTCTTGGAGCAAGAAGGTGCAAGAAGGAGCAAGAGGGGGGAAGAGGAGGAAGTGGTGAGGAGGAGCAAGAGGGGGAAGAGGAGGAAGTGGTGAGGAGGAGGTGGTGAGGAGGGGGCCAGGGGAGAAACAGTAGCACGAAGGACCCTAGACCCGTGCCAGGTATGTGTAGGTGGGTTTGAGTTTAAGGATAATTAATTATACCCGGCTTGATGTTGTTGCCTTTTTTTTGAGCGAAAGTGTCAGAAGAAAGAAAAAAAGTAATACAAAGTGGAGCCCGAACAACCGCGCGGTGTATACAAGGTGTCTGCACCCCGTGAGTGTGGAGTGGAGGGCCCCGTTTTATAGGAGAAAAAGAAATGATGTGATCCTCCTCGTAGGATCTGATTTACAAATATATTCTGGAAATCTCGGTCCCTGCTCGCGCCCTTTGGTTGACATTCCGTTTGTCGTTCAAGACCTCGCCGCGCCCTTAGAAGAACCAATCATTTGCAACTTGATTCGCTTCATTCCCGTGGAATGATGGATTAGGTCACACTAACTTTCTCTTTCCCTCCCTCTTGAGGCAGAGCATCAAGCTCAGCGCAACGGTGGGTCGAACCAGGCCGGAAAAGTCGGTGGACTGCCCTTACGCCGACAAGCACTCCCTTTCGAGGCTCCACTTGGAGGAAGCACAACCGTGGTGGCCCACTCAGGGTTCCCCGATCGGAGCTGCGAAGACGCCCTTCGGACTTTGGTCGTTTTTATATGCTGGTATGCCAAGACAGCAAATACAGAGGACTGATCCTAACCACTATCTCGAGTGTCCCATTCAGCTCCAGTGAAGGTACTATATACTTCGGCCGCGGGCAGGGTGGGGCGATTTCAGTAGTTCATGTTCGAGATAATCTCAATGGAAAGGTGTCTCGGGACCCGCCAGCCGAAGTGGGTCCCAAATTCGGCATGATCGACTGATACCGATTTTCAATGATTCGATTACTTTTCAATAAACCTTGGAAAGAAGACCTAAGAGGTATTATGTTAGTAGTATATTACTTTACATTGTTTACTACTGGCATAATGGAGTCTTCTCCTATGAGCTCTGATGTATCCAACATCTTTGCCCCTGAAGTGCCAGCCTGTATCTTTTATTGAATATATATTAATGCACGTAGCGCCCCCACCTCCCCCAACCACTTTATAAATCTTTAGAACCTTGGAAATTGAGAGTTAGATGTCAAGTACTAATATATTGCGATTTAAATGGGTACCCACTGGGCTATTGGGTTTAACCCATTGGGTTTTGGGTTGGGTTTTTGGGTCGGCATCTCCAACCCAAAATGGGTTATGGCGATGCCTACGCTAGACATATACATTACAAAAAAGGCTTCATATTGATTGTAAATCAACGCCTCCTATTCGCCTACCTTGATCTCTACTTCCCTGAGCCTAATAAGACACTAAGTCTTATAATAATAAACAAACAGAACCATAGAGGACCTACCAACCTTATTCTATAGCGTTATCTACAAATAAGCACTGTTTCCTAAGACCACAATCCCGTTAGTCATATTATATTTGTAGAAATAGCCTAATCCTCCCGCCGTCACATTACGTCAAAGCGTGCTGAATGAAGCGGACACTATACCTTTGCTCCGCCATACCAGCGGAATCCAGTCACTGCGAGAAAACAGGGCTACAACCCGTAACAGAAGCCGGCAAGAAAAATCAAAGCCAGAACACTGGCCAACCCGACTACCTAGCGCTGATAAAATCGCTCGTCCACGAACTCGCTCGGGATATTCTTTCAGAACGTCTTCGATGTGGGGGCATCCATGTGAGAGAGAATAACGATGGTGCTTTCTTGAAAATATTAATCAATGTCCATACCTTACACTGAAATAACAGGGTTGGGGGGAGAAGGACTCGGAATAAAAGTGGTAGGTGGAAGAATGACTGCTTCACTATGTAATTCTTGAAGAGCAGTCAAAGAATATCATGTTACCTTATCGCCAAGGAATGGTCTATTCGAGCTCTCGATTTTCTTTATTCCAGCTAGGCACAGCATCTGCTTAATCTTGTACTTTGGCCCGACTTATGTTGGAACATACCCTCCGTTCGCACAGACCGTGCTTCCACTTACCCATCTCGACTGTTCTTCACACAAAAAGGCGACGATATCTGCGATATCTCTTGGGTTGCCTATACGGTCACCCGTGGCTGTAGCGGTATGAATAGCCCTTTCTACCTCATCGTATCCCGGAGTATTGTTCCACCTGGTTGCAATATTTGGTTAGTTGGTGCAAAGAGCCCCCGAATTGTCGATACATTTTTCAATGCGTAAATACTTTCGATAAGATGAAGCACTCAAAAAACGGCTGAGAGTGATCAAAAGACTTACATATCCGTTCTCACGGGTCCAGGGTTTACCGCATTAACGGTGGCTTCAAACTCTCGTCCTAGAGCACGATTTCCAAGTCAGTGCCTCGCCCTGGTTTCGCTTTCGCTTGAGATCGATCTCGAAATAATGGATGTAATTACCGAGCTCGAACGCTAACGTCCCGGTAATATTTTCGAGTGCTGCTTTTGATGCAGCATATGTGATTGCTCCGGGATATGCTATATCTACTTATCAGCGAAGTCCATTCTCCTATTTGGTTTTGTAGAGGTGCTATAGCGGGGCTATAATGATAAATTACGACGACGTGCTGATGTAGAGCTAATATTCACGATACGAGCCTTCTTTCGCAGAAGTTGTCTACTCTCTCTGACAAAGAGCAAAGGGAACAAGATGTTCGCGTGAAATAAATGTTCATATCTTCTAGACAAAACGTGCAGCCTCTGAAGGTAGCGCGCCCCAAGACACGTACCCCGGGAACCGCCAGTAACAAGCATATTTATTAACAAGCGAGAGTGTCGTGTCGATTGTAGAATTTAGAGATGCGTAACAGCTGAAAAAGATGGTGCGTATCTGAGACAGCAGTCAACGAAGCCTGAAGAATGATGGCAAACTAGAGAAATTATATACGGCAGAGGACAAGTCTCGGGTGTTGAAGTGCTATCTCCAGACATAGAGAAAGAAAGTTTACGAACGGGCGCGGGGTAGGTCCCCGCACTTCTGGCATTATGTCAATGGAGATGAGGTTGTACTCCCTCCATACTAGCATGATTATACACCCAACCTGAGCGGGCGGTGGTCGATAGTCGTTAGTCGGCAAGCGACAATTAGCAATACATTGGAGCTGTCCTAGACTCGGAGCTCACCGATACGCGATCCTGGTCCCAGACTACTATACTTAGCCTTGGTGCGAATTGATTCGCGTTGATTTCCTTGAAATCCAGGCAAGCGCTTAAGCGCTTAAGCGCTTAGATTGGAGGCTCCACTGATAACGGGGTCCGCGGACGCCGGGTCCCACATCAGCTGACCAACTCCCGCAGGCTTGAATGTTCACAGTATTGCACATTTTCTACAGTTCACTTGGGGTACCAACTTGCGTGAAAAACATTATAATACAGCTGTATAGAGAATGCTGGGCTCACCATCCCCAAACCTATCATCCGTTACTTCAGCCACCAGACTTCGGTGACTAGCACCCAGCTACTAGTAAAAGGACCAGTCAATCATAGCGAAGCTCTCTACGCTATAGAGCTGATCCTTTCTCGAAGAACAGTGGCCCTTTCTAGTTTTGAATCATCGAACAATGATGAAGAATTATTACGGGTCCACTAATCTACTTAATCATCTTTACATTGGTCGCCGTGAAGAACGAACGATCTGGTCCCGAAGGAGCGCTAAAAGCCACAATACTAGTATAGCAAATCGTCAACATATAATATCTAACCAGATAAAGCTAAATAATACATCAGACTGCACAGTCTACTAGCAATAATGACAAGCAAACGATTCTCCAAACTTAGGCCCAAGAGCTTCCGTACACGCCTCGCGCCAACGAACAATGCCACCGAAATAATAAAGCATTTCAACCGTCTTGCCCGGAATATTTGCACCCATATACCAAGACTTGGCCTGAGAGAAAAGAGACATATCCCCAACGGCCTTGACTTCAGCCTTCCAGGCCTCCGCCGCATCTGGACACGGATCGATGGAGCGGATATTCTCGTTTTGCATCTTCTGCACCAAATCGCGGATGAAGTCCGCCTGGTGCTCGATAAAAACCGGCCCATTCGTGAACGGGGTTGGACACTGAAGCCCATATGGCATGAACATGTTTGGGAAACCGGGGACCATCATTCCGAGGTGAGTTGAGATCCCATATCTCCAGCGTTCACACAAGTCGACGCCATTGACATCCTTGATATCCATCTTGGAAAGACCGCCAGTCGACGCGTCGAACCCAGTCGCAATAGCAATGGTCTCAGCTTTATATTGTTTTCCGTCATCCGTCACGATGCCGTTCGGTGTCAATTCCACGATAGGGTGGGACTTTGTATCAACAATGTGTACGTTCGGTCGATTGAATTGTTTATAGTAATCTTGTTCTAATGACGGGCGCTTCGTGCCAAAAGGGTGTGGTGGCTCTAACGGTGCCAGCAGGTCGCGTTTGACAGGATCGTGGATACGCTCGCGAGTCCGTTTAGCCCATACATCGTACGTGCATCGATTGGCCTCAGGGCTCGACAGAAGGTCAACGTAAGAGAGGCCCCAGAGACCGAAGCCACCTTCATCGTAGAGCTGGTTCAGCAACTCCACGACCTCCTCGCGAGTGAAGTCGGCAAACGCTTTGGTCGGGGCGTGGTAGGGCATGCCTGACAATGTCTTCTTGGAGAGTTTGAACAGGCCCGCTGTACCTGCTGCTATTTGCTTTTGCTCCGCTGGGGTAAAGTGTTTCTGGTTCATTGGGAGTGCCAAGCATGGGGTTCGCTGGAAGACGAACAGCTCGCCCGCTTCTTTGGCCCATTCTTGGATGATCTGGATTGCTGTTGCACCGGTCCCGATGACAGCAACGCGTTTCCCCGTAACATCCACTCCCTCACGAGGCCAGTTTGAGGAGTGGTGTATCGTACCCTTGAAGGACTCAATTCCTGTCCAGTCCGGGATATGCTCCTTGGCCGCAAAGCCAATTGCGGGGATGAAATAATTTGCGACGGCCGTTCTTCCATCGTCAGTACGGAGAGTCCACTTCGCAGTTTTGGGATTGAAAGACGCCCCGTTTACACGAGTATTGAAAATGCAATCCTTTTTAATAGATAGGACTGAGTCGACATGATCGAAGTAAGCCTGCAGCTCCTTTTGTCCTGGGTATGCCTGCGACCAAGTCCATGTCTTGTAGACCTCCTCAATCCCGAATCCATATACGGGAGACGGGGAATCCACTCGAGCTCCGGGGTAAACATTCCGATGCCAGACTCCACCCAAGTCTGAGCTCGCTTCAATAATCTTGACGTTCAGATCTAGCTGGTCTCTCAGTCGGTGGAAGACATAGATTCCGGAGAATCCACCGCCTACAATGATGGCGTCCGCCTGGATTGGAAGGTTATCTTGGGGCATGGTCATGGTGAAAAATGTAGGTACTAAGCCAGGTCTGAAGCGCCAGTGTGTATCTGAAGGGGCGTTTGGGGGAGAAAGCAACGGTTTATATGTTGAGGGACGAAGGAACAGCCGCTGGTCCGAGAGGATGGGGAATGACCCCTCATCAAGTTCAAGTTGCCCCTAGGATCTCCGCATTTCTTCTGTATGAGGAGCAATCATGATGGGTGATTGGAGATTTTACCTGTGCCAACGGGGGCTACTTGTGATATAAAATTAAGATACGAATTGATTTGGTTATATACAGCTGCTATTAATTCTGTGACCAACCTCACACGCGTTAAGAGATTACTCAAAGGTGGTAACAATGTTATGTCCATGACCGCATAACTTAGAATGCGGGAACCTTGCTGGCGGATGGCTTGGAGAGTATATTGTGTATTTTTTTCATCGGACCTCATTAAGAGGCAACCCTTACAGCCCGCCAAATTCGCGACCAAAGCGCAGGCTTGTTACATCATTAAATTAGTGAGAAATTACCTTATACTCGTAACAAGTTCTGACAACAGGAATGGTTCCAAAAGCCGTATTTCGCATCTCGCTATATCTCTTGCGGGGCTGCGTGTATAATGCCGGATGACTTAGGAATCATCGCGTGTCTAGGTAATATGTATGCCAAGGGTACCATAGCGTATAAGTTCAGATCCATTGAAATTGGATGTCAGGTGCTCTTATCTAGTCTCTTATCTACCCCTCGGTATTCTCTTATCTAGTCTCAGGTCTCTTACCAGGCCTAGTTGTGAGTGATAGAATGACGTGTTTTGGCTGAAGTACAATCTCCCAGTGGACAAAGGAAATAGTAAACTGGTATAAATGGCCCCAACATTTCAGTAAATATTTCCAAGCAATCCGTCCGTTGCCACTTCATACGCGATCTTTAAATTCTGTCAACATGGTATCAAATAGCAGCAAACCAGATCTGAAATTGAGTCCTCGTGTCAAGGAGCTCTTGGACTTAGAATCTCGGTTCACGGCTGGCGGGTTTGACCCTATGCCTTATTTTTTTGAGAAAGGTCAAGGATCTCTGCTATGGGTGAGTTAGATGGGAGGTGGAACGCTTGCAACCATCAAGTCTCAAAGCCTAACTCAGACACAGGACGTCGATGGGAAAGAATACATTGATTTCATTGGCATGTTTAGTGCTGTTAACACTGGACACTGTCATCCCTACATCCAGGAGGCTCTTACAGAGCAGTTAAAAAAAGGTATCCCCGGCGAATCGTAGGAATGGGAGTTGCCGTTTAGCTGACCTTAGATGCTGCCAAAGTGACACTGATAAATCTATCATCTCATAATTCTATGTTTGGTCCTTTCGCTCAAAGAATTTGTGATCTATTTGAATACGACAAAGTCATCGCCATGACGTCCGGAACAGAAGCAGCGGACACAGCTTGCAAGATAGCAAGAAGCTGGGGTATCAATCAGAAAAAGATCCCGGCAAACGATTGTATCATTCTTGGAGTCGGGGGTTCCTATCATGGGCTCTCCTCGGGGGTCTGGAGCTTGATGAATTCAAATCCATTGAGGTCAACAAGTAAGTGAATTTATATTTCATTATATGAACGTTGTGTGCTAAACTATGAGTGGGAAAGAATATGGACTTGATAGCAAGATTCAGATGAATATCAATCCCGGTACGGGGGAGCTTCTGGAATACCTTGACCTAGAGAAAATTAGATCTTGCCTCAAAGAGCATAAAGATAGGGTGGCAGCGGTCATCATGGAATGTATTCACGGATATAGCCGGTGGGATCTTCTCTGACGCTAATCTTATATTTATGCTGATATCAGATATAGAGATATGAATGATGAGGTTCACTACGCCCGAGGTGTTTATGAGATTTGTAAGTCTATGAATATCCTCTTCATCGCGGATGAAGTGCGGCAAGGAGCGGGAAAAACTGGGAAGTTTTTCAGCTTTCAACATCTCGGTGATGACGTGAAGCCTGACATAGTGACGATGGGAAAATCAATCACTGGGGGCTTTTATCCTCAGTCCTTTATAATGGGTATGGATACAGCCATGGCAGCCGTTGGACCTTACGAGATGGCTAGCACCTACGGCTTCAGTCCATTGGCTATTGCAGCCGCAAACGCAACCATTGATATTATTTATCGAGAAAATTTGATTGAACGAGGTGTCCATTTAGGATATCTGTGGAGAAAGACTGTCGAATCTTGGCAACATCCACTTGTGGACTATGTTGCACAGATCGGCGCCGATTCCAACTTGATTCTTCGAGAAGTGCAGCCGTCGCGTGTAGCAGCCCTGTGCATGCATCGAGGACTATTCGTATATCCTAAAGCAGATGGAATTCGGCTCAGTTTCGCCATGAACATGCCTGACGAGGTGCTTTTGAAAGGAGCAGCTATCCTGAAAAGCTGTTTGGATGATATAGACAAATATGGATCAATTGAGGGGGAAATGACCCGTTATAGGACAGTGTAGTTCCAAGGAATTGCGACTGTCCAGATGCAGTTCACGAAACTGCCAAGATGAATACAAAAATCTTTTCAATGATATATTTTTGGTAAAGTCATAAGTATAGAAATGGCAATTGCGTTTTTCCTGCGTTGACCATTTACCCTAACCGGTCATGATAGAATGATTTGCATCTTTACATAGCTCAAGATTGATGTTGAGCATAGATATCGGACCTTACTTTTTCAACATCCCCCTTTACTGTACAGTACCTCTATGTAGCTGCTGAGCTTTGATCCATCTATTCTGCTTCTCCATAGATTTGGAACCATTCTTCTAGATCCACTACCTGGCAGCGATCTCTTGGGTATCTTTATCAATGGATGGCTGGATACGTCCAAGTCTAGATAACATGGGATATACTCGAACAAAAGCGTCTGCTGCGTAGATTGAACGGACTGCCGGGTGACAGACCACACAGAAGACTGACAACCCCGAATAGTTGGGGTTCCTATACCTCCCGTAATCGAAACCGCCTTACGTCCTCCCACATAGACATGATTAGCATATGTTAGTGTCTGACTATTTGTCCTCATATACTGGATTGGTAGGCGGGGTATTCTGGAATAAATCTCAAGAGTGATGAGGGGGCGACGTGTGGGGTATCAAAAGACGTTCTGATCTCAACCAACAGAAAGTCGAAATACACTGCCTGATTGAATAATTTCTTGAAAGATCTTATGTGACGTGATAGAAACCATGATTAATTAAATCCTTGTACTGACGCAAGCTTTCATCGATTATCACTAGCCCATCAGCATTAAAACATCGGACTTTAGACGACCAAGTTGGTTGTTTAACTGCACATGCAATCGTCCTTTCTGGATACCTTACATCTGCTGGTCAAATTCGTCATTTCTTAGTAGCTGGCGAAGACTAATGATATGGACAGCAAATAACCCCTATCCAATATACCACCGATCTAATTGCGCAATTTGGTTGACTTGCTGATATCAAAATATTCTAAATCTCAAATGAAACAACAAAAATCGCGGTCAGTCAATGCGGCGAATTCAAAACAGCGAAGCCGATTCGAGCCACAACAGTCAATAGAGAAATTTCAGCCACTACCCAACTGGCTTTGGGCTTATTGGAGGGTCGGGAATGACTCCATTGAAGTCTGTGTAGAGTTGTGCATATAGGAATCAATCCTCAGTGGTCTTTGATACGAACTTGCGCGATTGTGAGTGAGGTAAGGCCGCAAGGATAGAAGGCAAGCAACAATCAGCCCAGTGTATGAATCGAGCGCGCAGAAAAGTTGAACATTTGTGATGGGTACCTCAGGGTATGATGATATAATAACTAGAAGGCGAGCTAGACAGGTGCCGATGCTCAATATCGCAACTCCAAAAGTAGTGTACAAACCCAGTCTCTTCTTCCAGTCGACTTGGAGGTGACGTAGAAAAAAAGAAGGGCAAAATGAAAATTAACAAGTCCGTTGCGAAATGTAGGGCCCAGGTAATAACCCAGGAAATGAGGGAGCTCTGTAGTCCACAAGAAGCCAGGCGAAATCTAATCTCTGTCAGGGTGATTATTCCCGTATGATTTAAAATGGCATAATACGTACCCATTCACCCGGCTCCTAAGACAAATCAGAGCTATACATAATAGAGATGCGATATATGACAAGGCAGTACAAATGGTGAGTACCCAGAGCGACAAGGAGACTGAGCGCAAAATGGTTGGGAAGATATTGAAAAAGAAGGAGAGAATAGCGGCTTTATTGAGATATTGTGTCGACAAGAGTGGAAACCATGCGACGAAAACTATCTGATAGATGATTTAGCTGCTATCCTTAGATGGTGGACGCGCGCGCTCACCTTTTCCGTCAACGGCAGGCTTTGTGTATTATGAACAAAATTAGACCATGTAGAGCTTGAATTTAACCAGCCAAGTTTACCCAGTTCGATGTCAAGTGCGGCTCCCCATATGCTGCTGAGCCAGGCAAGGCAAATGAGGTAATCACTGACGATCGGCCTTTTCCCCTGCAGATGTAGTCGAAGGTGAAGACGAGCGAGAATCAGCCCGATGCAGAGGCAAAGTAGACTCCATTCAACAGACTAGATAGACAAGATCAGTATCAAGCTTCTCCTGATCATACTATGTTCCACTGAAACCTACAATGACAGTTGCTCCAGAAACAGATAGCATCGTACTTAACTGCGGCGGTCAAGAGTTCTAGACACATAAGCTAAATGCTGAAATGGGACGTCGTGCAAACGCCGTATCAAGCAATGGATGCCGATCCTGTCATTGCGGGCGACTACTTAGGATGAGCAGCACAGTCAGTAAGGTAAATGAAATCTTGACATGAACTGGGGGATGGGAGGCCTTTCCAGTCTAACAATTTCCTACTTATTAAAAGAGTTTATTTTACGGTCTTGGGACTGGTGGCGACAAAAGATTGTCAGGTGGTATGGCGACGAAAACCTTATTCAAATAATGTACCAATCGAAGGGTTTACAACACGATTCGATTCATCCATTGGTCTAAAGCTTTATTTGACTTTCGGGACCCGAGGACACCGAATTCCCGCCAATCACATTTTATATTTCAGTTCAGGTTGTAAGTAACATTCAACTCCATTGCATCTGTGGTTTTTTTCCCCTTCCTATTTTGATCTTCACTTAGAACGGTGGTTTATTATCTTGTAGCTGCGACCGAACCTATATCGAAATCTGCTCTACTAGTATGTCAGGCCAATGTGCTGTATCGATTCACACTGCCATTCCTACTGACTTTTACCGATCATTTTTAATTTGGGGCGTTGCTGCCATATCAGAGTGATTCTGCATGCTAAATTAGCTATTCATCAGCATTTCCTGTTTTCCTTTCGTGTCGCAGCACTCTCGTTCATTTCTGAACTGGATTGATTTGGATAGGTCAAATTCACAGACAGAAACACCCATTTGCGCACAGATTGTTTTGGTTGAAGTATGAGACCAGAAAACCGAGACGCAAGCTTCGACGCGGTTGGAATGGAGTGCGAATATTTCCATGTCTTTGGTGGTGGGGGCCTATCAGACAGGGATCGAAGGAGAGCAACAAAAGCATGTAGTAATTGTCAAAAGTCCCATCGACGCTGTGGTAAGTGTAATATGTTCAACGCCTTTCAACTTGTCTTTATACATTTTGGAGACTAACGGTCAACCTGGTTTTTCAGACAACCCACTGCCGTGCCTGCGCTGTATTGAGCAGGGGAACTCACATACGTGCGTTGAAGCGGCCCGAAAACAGCCTACCTTTATTAATTACTCTGTTGAAGTGCCCGGATTGATCTCAACCGGTTGTCAATTGGACCATGGAACGTTTGGCGAAAGAAATACTGAAAAGTTTGCTACAACCGTTGAAGGCCCGGCATACAACTCAATCAGCTTGCAATCCAAATCCGCTACTGAGATACGAAACCCCCATCCGAAAAGACCGGACAGATCACTGCTTCCAGGCTTCGAATATATCCATAGCCAGAAAGAAAATCCCGCAACACAACCAGTCACGTTTGTATCGGAGAATGTTCCCACTTGGTGCGCTACTGAATATCCGACTCTGGATATCGAGGCATGCGGATTTCGTTCTACGGGCTTTTGCTATCACATATCTTCTGAAGCCTGTGGTCTTGAAATTAAATGCCCGGATCAGATATTTTCGGCGGGGCTAATGCTTCCTGAAATAGAACCTGTTGGCAATTCCAAGGAATTTCTCGTGCAGGCTGAAGGCTCGCATTTATTTCCAGAGCAAACATCATTTTCTGGATTCGCTATCTCTAGCGGTTGGGCTAGTACTTTTTGGTATCCTGAATCTCTAGATGGCCTGTTGCCACGGCACACAAATCTGCATTATTGAATAAATCCAGAGACTACGAGGACTTGACACTGATGATTGAAATCAGATAGATGAGTAAAACACAAAATTCAAGACCATAGTACAAACTATAGCCTCGCCAGTAATAAATAAACTGCTTCCAGTTTCTTCTTCGCACCACCAACTTGCACGAGCGGGTTGGTTATATCTCAAAATTTAATCTCGTTTAGTTACCAATATAGTAGCATTTGACTAATAATCATTAATAACTGACGAAGAGAAGAATACAGAAGTATAAATAACACAGATACTACATCATCATGTCAGTCATATCTGTGGTTTGTCACATCCCAAGTTTTTTAGGTTAGTCATCTGATCCAGACCTAAAAATTCCATGGTCGGGGAGGTATTCGAGCCTCAAAATGCCTGCGATCTCTGACCCATGTCTCTGCTCTCTCTAAGGCCAACGGCTTGTCCTCACAATTCCTTTCTTTGCATAGACAAGAGCCTGAACTTATCTCATTGGACTAGCTTGTATCATTCACCGCTTTTACTACAATTCTTTCATGTGCCTGAGAGTTGTTCCATGATGTGAAACAGACTATTTTGCATGACAGGAGGAAGTTGATCACAGGGAATGCTGTAAGAAAAGTATGATGTAAATACTGTTTTACTCTGCTAGCTATGCGTATAATTGATCATGAAGCTGTAGGTAGGATTGTAATGCAAGTCCCAGTACTCATCCCAGATACGCTTAGTTATAGGCCCAATTTGGCCGCCATTGATCGCGTTGCCATCAATAGATGTAAGAGGCATAATACCTCCGGCAGTGGTGCAAATGAATATTTCGTCCGATTGAAAAGCCATCTCAACAGGGACAACTTGCACATGAACACTTTTTCCATTCCTTTGCGCAATTTCCATGACGGTTCTGCGAGTAACACCTTCTAGGACGCCCCGATCGGGGGTGTATAAGGCATCACCTTTGACAATGACGACATTGTAACCAGGGCCTTCAGTCAAATTCGCGTCCCCATCCGTTAGTAAAGGATAGGTAGCTCCTCGATCAGCAGCTTCCTGTAGGCCACGTATCAGATCTCCCCACTGTAGGTTCTTGACTGTGGGATCCATTGACCCCGGAGGAACACGGCGGACTGTTCGTGCAATAACAGCCCTCCCACCAACACGCTGCAAAGCAGGCGGCATGGCCCAAACGTAAGGCTGCACAAACATGTAAAGCTTGTTGACAATATCTTTAGGGTCGGCCTGGCGAACGAATTTGAGGCCACGAGTAACGATTATTTCCACATAAGCGTCACGAATTCCAGATTTGGCCACCATCTCCACTAATTTCTGTTTGATTTCTGACTTAGGCAGAGGGAGCTGAAGCCGGAGCTTTCCGCAGCTTGCTTCCAATCGATCGAGGTGGTCGTGAAGGCGGAAAAATCGCCCATCCCATACAGCTGGAACGTCATATGTCAGGTCACTATGAAGGAAACCCTGGTCGAGGAGTGGAATTTGTGCTTGTGATAGCGGAACCAGGTCACCTCCAACCCAGGCAATTCCCTGGGCAAAGGGGTTGTTGCTTGTTTCAAGCGCAGATTGCCGGGCTTCGTATTTTGCTATCACCGTATCCATTGACGCCATTTTGTGCTATTCTTGGTTAAAAATTCCAAGGAAATTGACTGTTGAATTGAGCTCAAAAAATGAGAAAAACGGTACTGTTGCAGTGTACCGAATTGGAATTTATTTCTTTGACACTGAGATTCGAATTAAGTTGTCGGTGGGAATGATCCTTTTGTACTTCTCAAGCGACCGTAGTGGTGGTACGTCCATTAGGCACCATGTACTATTCCCTAAAAACAGCATGAAGAAAACTAACATCGGGTAGATAAGCGGCGGTTATTTTCAAGAGCGACTAGATAAGACGCTAAGGGGCCCTTCCAAGGGTTATCACAACTCCCGGTGGCGGCTTCGGAACCCTAGATTGCCGAGCGATCCCCTCTCAGCTGGACCATTTAACAGATAAGTAGAAGTGTTCGACCGGTGGACAGTATATTTCCGTGCCTGGAGATACTATGAAATCTAGCACTTGCTAATACACTGTATTACTTTCCCATCTCCTACGACAATTAATTCACAGATTCTACTCCACTATTGTTTCAGATCTCGCTAGATTGTCGAGTATGACCAAAAAAAAGATCATGGTGATCGGGTATGTTAGCAATAAGGCGAGCCACTTTTTCGGAAAAAAAAGATCTAATTTGCTCTTCAGCGCAGGGGTCGCAGGGCTTACTACGGCGCTCCTCCTATCTGAACGCAGCGGATACCGCATCACGGTAGCTGCGAAACATATGCCAGGGGATTATGACATCGAATACGCTTCCCCATGGGCTGGGGCTAATTACATGCCGTGAGTGGAGCAGTCAGGTATGAGTATTTGTTGGCTGTCATCTTACAGAGAATTGCCAGGGTTTCGATACGTGGAAGCAAAGCGGCCGAATGGGATAAAGAGACCTGGACATGGCTGCTAGATCTTGCGATGAACCGCCCAGAATCAGGCGTACATCTACAGGGTTCGTGCACATTACTCCAAGTTTTCCATGGGCAATCGAAGGCTGATAACATGGCAAGAATGTGAGATCTATAGTAGAGCCAAAGATAATGGCTCCGCCACGGCGGATTGGTTTTCTGAGTTACTGTCACCAAGGCCCTGGTTCAAAGATGTTGTCCCAAACGTGAGCAGAATCTTTCTACAGGAGCGATGATGAGTTCTTAAGCAGCTAATAAACTGCATTAAAGTTCCGGGACATCACACAGGACACCCTAATTCCCGGGGTGGACTCTGCTAAAAGTTTCACTTCGGTCTGCATCAACACAGCTATATATCTCCCCTGGCTTGTTTCTCAGTGCCTGAAGAATTTCGTAACTTTTCGTCGCGCAGATTTCAAACATATTTTGGAAGCTTCGAGAGGTATTCAGTTAGGGGGGGCCCTTCGACTTGGTAGTTAATTGCACTGGTCTCATGGCGTCTCAGCTGGGTGGCGTGGAAGATAAGTCGGTTGTTCCTGCTCGTGGTCAGATTGTGGTTGTCAGTAATGATGCAGGCAAGATGGTCAGTATATCAGGAACCGACGATGGAGACGATGAGGCTTGTTACGTCATGACAAGGGCCGCAGGGGGTGGTACCATCCTCGGTGGATCCTACCAGAAGGGTAACTGGGATTCTCAAGTTGACCCTAACCTTGCTGTCCGAATAATGAAGAGAGCGGTTAAATTGTGTCCAGCTCTGACTGGTGGGAAAGGCATTGAACATCTCGATGTTATCAGACACGGCGTGGGATTGAGACCAGTACGTGAGGGGGGCACCAGGGTAGAAAAGGAGCGCATTTGTGATACATGGGTAGTTCACAATTACGGCGCCGGTGGGGCTGGCTATCAGTCGTCATTCGGGTGTGCACAAACAGCCGTGGACCTGATCGAGGAAGCATTGGGAACGGGAGCGAAATTATGATGTCGAAATGAAATACGTGAAGGTGGCAGGTAGAAATAAAAATCAGAGACATACGGTGCTAGCAGGGCTATGAATGTGTTAGAGACTGCATAATAGAACTTCCAATGAGAATAAACAAGCGCTTCTCTCACACTGCTTATGGAGTTGCCGAAGTCAAAAAATATGTGCCAAGCTCGTAGTAAGTATTTTCCCATCATCGTATTATAGGTCAAGTCGATTTAAGGGTTCATCATGCTTATTCTATACACTCATGTGTCCACTTATGGCAATCTGCTCGGTATAGCGTAGTCGCATACGGCAATTTTCGAGCCCAAGCGAAGGAACTGTCATCAAGTCCCTTCATTATGTAAATAAAGCTGTTCCCTTGCTACATGGTCTGAAATTGATAGTGACTGCCGGTGATAAAGTATTCTCCGCAACTGGATGAAAAGATGGAATGATAATCTTGCCAATAATACTTTTCAAGTTTGTGAGCCACTTTGGACACAATAAAATTACGGAGAAAATAATCAAACCTCTCGCAGTGTTGTTTGAGCTCATTTTGATAATATGCTCGAATGTACTGTTAGAGCTCATTTCAAGTGCTTGCAAAAGGCAGCTTATCTCATTATTTACTCGATGAAAAGTATCGAAATACCAGGTATTTGATGAGATAGGAAGCAAGATCAAGATTTTCACAGAAAGAAAAAGCAGAATAAAAAGCATTAACCAGAATTTAAGCATCACGGATTGTATTAGTGATTGTTGAGAAACGAATGTACTAGGTACGTAGTCTTGAAAAAATCATTTATATTCGAATACACAAGTTATAGAGTGATAAACTGAGACTCTGACCGCATAAGCAGATACATCTTCCATTCTTTATTTCATTTGTCCACTCAGTAGTGCAACTCATGGTCTGCTTAAATGGTCTAGTTGATTCCTTTCATTAGGCGATCAAGGGCATGGTCTTCTCCCGAGAGACCAATAACGTCGCTAAGCTCACTATAGTCGGATTGCCAAAGACCGGGGGATGACTTCGGGAATTGTGAACGGAAGCCCAAAATGCGTTGTGCTCTTGGAGTTAATTCTTTGATGGTCTCCAGGCTGATGATGAACGGATTTGCTTCTTCTGGTGTCAAATAGCTACACTGTAGCGTAAAGGCTAAGCCACGACGAAGCTCTTCCGTAGTTTTGTTCTCTCCGCCACCATGAACAGTCTTACCGCTCATCAGAACAGCGTCGCCGGCTTTCATAGTAGCAGGGATAGTTTGGCCGTGCGATCCCAGATCAGAATAGTTCTCCCATAGATTGGAACCGGGAATAACTCTGGTCGCACCGTTTTCTTCCGTGAAATCCGTCAGAGCAACAAGAAAATTGATAGTCGCCTCTGGAGCCTTCGAGCCTAAGAGGTTGAATACCGGATATTGGCCTTGGTCTCGATGAAGCACTTGAGCTTTGTTTCCGGGTCCAATTTGGATCACCTGAGCGGCACCCATCCAGTACGTCCCGGAGTCTTGGTGAAAGACCCTCTCAGCCACTGCGTGAACCAATTCATTTTCAAGTACTTGGTGACGGAAGACCCTGCTATGGGTTGTAACATTTGTGAGGCGCTTTGTTTGACTGCCGTGAAAATCTTGCACTGCGCTGACATTGTGTTTTGAACCCGCAGTTATGGCCTGCAATGGTTCGTCAAGTTCGAGGTTTAACTCCTTCACCTGTTCCTTAGACAAAAGACCTTCGATAATGAGTGCACCGGCATGATGTAGCTTTTGGACGATTTCTTGCGGATCGTCGGTTGTCGATACACGAGGAACACTGGCTGGAGTCATGAAGGGCGGTATTTGGTGATTCTGTTGAGTTGGACGAAATCTTCACTTTGAATTTTTTTGAATTCGATGTACTGAACGACTTTTCGTGTCGTATGTGCTATTTATGTACAATGAAAACAATATCTTTAGCTTACATTGCACTAGCGAACAGCAGGCAGCATTCCAGAAGCCGGATCGAGCAGCCAAAATGATGGCTCTCTGCCTAGCTCGTTTGAACGTAATGGGTGGCATTTTTATCCGACCGGGTATCATACGTTATCTAAGCGCTAACCACTAATGATTGATAATGAAAATGAACAAACATCCAATTGTACGTGTCTTCTCCATGGCCTCCAAGATCCATGCATTTGTATCTCAGGTTGGTGGCAACAACCGGGACCCATGTTTCCAACATAGTTACCAATGGACAATTAGTCATCAATGGTCTGGAAATCACAAACTTTATGGTCAAGAGGCGTCCGGCCACTCACAGCTTGCAGTCCACTTTCCACTGTCGAACTCTATTTGCGTCGACGCAGTAGTCATTCTCCGATTTTCCAGTTTCCGCGGGTCCCCGCGGGCCCCGGCCAATCTACTGTGGAAGTTCCATTCTGGGGCGGGGTTTAACAGCGCTAAATATTCGAGTTTCCTTTATACGCGACTTCTCCGCCCGTCTTATCTAGTCGTCTGGAGATTCTCCCTATCTTCGCCTCGCAGGACACCCCCCTTCTTTCAGAAATCAACTATCGGTTATCTTAGTGATGTCGCCTGAAGCTCGGCAAATCGCCGTCAGCTATCCACGGCAAAGGGTACGACTTCCCTACCCACGTTCGAAATCTGGCTGCTTGGTTTGTCGGCGTCTGCACAAGAAATGTGATGAGCGTCGGCCTATATGCACACGCTGTTTGCTGAAAGGAAAGACTTGTCAATGGCCACGTACTGGTCAGCGTGATCGTGGTCCCGATCCTGATCCCGATCCCGATGACGATAATGTACCGTCTTTTCATGACACTACACCACCGGCTCAGGGTATTACTGATAATTCTAATCCCTGCGGCAATGACACATCGTCTCCGGTTTCAATATTCGGTGGAAATGCCAGGTCTGGAGACAGAGGCCTTCGTCTGATCGAATCACCGAGTTGCTCTATGGGCAATGTGTCTTCTATGTTTCTTGCCCACTTTGTCGCGGAGACTAGCAGATACTTGACTACTGTTAGCCCAGAGAAGAACCCATTCTTAACTCATTTGCTACCCCTGGCTTTCTCGGATGAGCTAATACTCCACTCACTGCTCGCTCTTGGAGGGACCCATTTAGAACGTAGACAAAGCTCCCCAGAAATCAGCACATGGGTTTGCCGACATTATGGGCATGTGATTTATCTGCTTCAAGACGTCATTTCTCAAGAATCGATTGAGCCGCTCGAATGGGTTCGAATACTTCTGGCTCAGCTAATCCTTTACTTAATCGGGGTATGTTCGTCCTGCCCTATGTGATCAGTATTCCTCCGAAATTCTTGGTAGCTGTGGAGTTACACGTGGATACAGGATTCTCCTGAGTGGAAGCTAATGCATGTTTATATTTTGATACGTATTTTTGGTTCTGACTTTCTATTTCCTAGATTTTCGGTCCTGCTAAAGATGAAGGAGCAATGATGCATATTCGAGCAGGAAGAAAAATTGTTCGTCGGCTGCTGAGTGCTTCCTCAAAAACAAGTAGCGTGCGAGTACTATGTGGCTTCACCTTTGAATTATACACCTACCTGGCCCTTGTAGCCAGTCCTACGCCTTATAACAATGGGACAGACTCTGAGCTAGATACTCGCAGCTCTATACTACTTCCCTGGAACATCCTGAAGAACCACGAGAATTTCGGCGTCATTGTTTCCCCTATCTACCAGTCTCTAGAGCTTATCCCGCGGGTGATTTCACTTTGCACACGACGCCAAGCGGAGATCATGTTTCAAGAGTGCTCATCAGAATATTGGGCAGAATTCGTTCAATTAATGAGCGCCATTGAGAGCATTGGATCCCCTGATGATTTAACAGAACCTGCAGCCAACCTTGAACAGGAAGAAAATCTCTCCATTTCAACTATTTATCGTCACGCACTGGCAATTTTTGCATACGACGCTATGTGGTGTGGTAATATTGTGGAAGATAGGAGCCGATTATCAGTCGTCCGTGGGCATGCCCTGACTGCATTGATGCTTCTACCAACTGTGTTGGACACACATTTCAGGAACGTTCTTCTTTGGCCAACTATCGTGATCGGGTCATGTCTTCTCAATGAGACAGAGTGGGACGTGATTAGAAAGGGATTATCCATCAAAGAGCCGTTCTTCGTGGTAATGAAGATGAAGACGATGCTTGAGAATCTATGGGCTGAAAATGACCCTATATATTTCGGACCTTACGGCCTGCACAAACACATGCTGCCGCATCAGAGTGTTATTTATCTTGCGTAATATAAAATTACAATTTGTTTACGTTTACTCATGTTCTACGTTTAGCACAGGCACGACGTAGTAAGAGTTTGGCGTATGGGAAAGGAGTGAAGCCTCTGCTCGTGATTGAAAAACGGCCAAATGATATACTGTATACAGCAAGTTGGAATGTATACGGCGAACGCACACTATGAATTTCGTCTTATTTATAGTAACAGGATGTACATGATCACTTCCTGCAGCGCCTAAATACTAGTATCATTGGACGCAAATTTAACACGATGGGCCGTGCCTCAGACTGTGAGGCGGCTCATAAAATGACCTCACCACGAACCAATTCGCAAGAGAAATTATGATAACAATCCCGAACACGACCGGTGCCCAATTCATGGTCCCCAAGTCAACAGGTACATACTGGGGGAAGCAAACAAACAGAGTACCTATCATCATCCAGCAGGCTGCCAAAATATTTATAACCGGGCCCGCTCGCCCGAGGTTAAAATATCTGGTTGAAGGGATACTTCGACGATTAGCTAAAAGAAGACAAATCGGCATAGCATATGAAGTCGTAAAGCAAACCGCCGATGCCCCAAATAGACCGTTCAGGGCAGTGGAAGGTGCAAAACAAAGGACAGTGAAGATAGCACATGCTATGCATGATGCAAAAACGGCGTTGAATGGCGTATGGAAACGATGATTGACTTCAGATAGCAGATTTCGCATCGGTAAGCCACCAGCTCTGGAAAAAGACCATATTACCCTGCTGCAACCTGTGATAATGCTGACCAGGCCATTAAGGGTCATAAAGCAGTATATGAGACATATGACAACCACGAATGCCGTCGATGGCAAAGCGTCCCAGCAAATTTGAATTATTGGCATACCTGCCAATGGTTGAAGAAGATTCTCCGGATGAGTGGTGCAGAATATTAGGCAAATCACCATCAACAAACCACCCAATGCAGAAAGAATAGAATTGGTAATCATCACAATTGGTACTTGACGCTCGGGGTGGGGGAGCTCTTCCGCCATGTGGGCTGCTGTATCAAAAAGGCAGACGGTCATCATGCCAGGAAGAAGGCCAAGAAAGAAAACCAGCCCCTCAGAGGACCACCCAGTTTCGTTAACAACGTCAAGAAATGCTGTGTTTGCAGATGCTCTTGGTTGTACGACAGCGAGCAAGGTGATGCAGATAAACAGTGCAGCCACGTTCAAAAAAACTACCATAAATATTGTTAGGCCAGGAAGGCATTTAATGAGCAGCGTGTTGAGTAATAATGCCACTATTATGCTAGCAAGGCCTAGCAGAAATATCTGCCATGAGGTAGGCTTGTATGCTTCCGAGACCAACTGCCCAAAGCTAGCGAAGAATTCTGCCGCAAATACGGCGTTGCCAGATGCAGCGAAAGTCCATCCAAATGTGGTCATTATACCATTGAAATAACTTAAAAAGGGCGCTTGTTGGCGGGAGCTTAGGGTGGCGGTCCAAAATATTTGCCCTACAGGCAGGAATAGAGAACATTAGTAAATCACACAGGTTAGAATCTGAACTAGGCCTTACCAGAAGTATGTGGATAGGCACTCGCGAGTTCTGCCAAGCTTACAGCCACGAGTATTTGGCCAATTGCTGCAACTAGGAATCCCCAGAAGTAGAAAGGACTGCCTCCGACCCCGGTTATGAGTGTGGTATAGCTGACAATTGCAAGTGGTGCTGCAGTAACTGAAAATTGGATACCTATGGTGCTCCAAATATTAAACCGGTTTTGATCAAGCTGTGTCGCATCGCATATCTGCCCCTCTTCCCTTGTCTCCATTGGCTGGAGAATGGGGTCAAGCGAGTACTTTGTGGCTGACATCCCAGGATTACTGAATTATCTTCTTGGAATCTTTTTCGATTACAATGCTTCGTTCAAGTTGCCGAAGTTGAGAATAATTTCATGTGCGTCCAGTAAAGAAAATAGGAGCGTATTATGTCGATGGTAATGGGATGTACTGTGTTGAGAATTGTACTCCCAACTTGAATGATATCTCATGGCGACATTGAGACCAAACATATATACCCCCTCCCAAACTCATCTCAATTTAAGATAAGCTGGTTGTAATTTCGATGTACTGTGCCCCTCTTCTGAATCTACAAGCAAGAGGCTTATCTACGCGCCAGTGTACTCGATAATTCTAGCATTGGTCGGGTGATGTCGAGCGCCACAGGTAGTACCAAACTCTATTCTCATTAGCCCCAGGTCATTTGCGGGCACCAATAGCAGCGTCAGTGAATGACTTCAGAGCGTAAAGTTGAACTTTCATATTATCCACCAGATGCTGGCCTAAGTCCCGCTCAGAAAGTTCTCAATCCATCTTCGGGGGACTGAAGGGATGGATGCCCTAAGATTTTAGACTAATCCAGACGTATTATTCTGACCCATCAGAAGGGACGCCTCAGGAGGGATGTGTTTAAACAACGAATTCCTGTCTGTACAAGGAGCGCATCTTATTCTAACAGCTCAGTAATGAAGATGATCAACCCGCAAAGTGTAGTTTTCGAACGCATTACTAAGTGTGGAAAAGGATCAGGAGAGAGCCAACGAAGAAAGAGAACCTCAATACTCCCTCGGTTGCAATGCCCAAGACATGCACCATATAAGTAACCTATTAATTAATTACTTACACATATTACCTAGACATAACAAAAAGCCGGCAAGTTCCTGGTGGATAGATTACTACTTGTTCCCTTTACCTTTTGCCCCTAGTCAGTAAATTTATTTACATACCAGAACTAGTACATCATGAGAGATTCTAAGAGAGCTCCATTCTCCACGCTTACCAACTATATTCAGAACTTCCTTGTGGATATGCTAGCGCTACTAGACTCAAGCGTTGGAAAATAGGAATGATAGATATTTTTGCGCAGATTCATGAACAAACAGGGGGTCAGAATTCAAATCTCTTAACAGCTGACTATGCAGAAACAGAATTCGCTCGCCCGTTTCTTCTAGATATTCATATCGTGCTCTATCCAAACAAGAGCATTTGTGAAAAATAGAGGTTTATGTATATCGACAGATCCACCATCAGGTGATTTGATCGGTGAAAGGGGCGTGGTTTCCCTATCTTGGCGGAATCCTTCAAGCTAAATTTCGTAAGACCCGAAATGTATATCTCTTTATATGAAAGATTTTCAGACGAAAAATTAAAACACATACTTTGAAAATGTCAGTAGATAGTTACAACTGTCAATATGAATCGGAAGATTACTGGAATGAACAGGTAGGGGACTTCTTTCTCATAGCGCTTCCAAGCGTCGCCGTATTTCCTTCGACATCTTTTGATATCTCTCATCGTGCGGTGGGTGATCATAATCATGAAGAAAACGAAATAAAACCAGGGAAATGGACTCCTAGTAGTTGACGATTAATTATGGCAGTCAACGACCTTGCAAAGTGGAAAGGCTTACTTGAACCCGGTGATAAGACCCCAGGACATAGCAAAAAAACATGTCAGGAACATAATTCGGCTTCCTGACTATTGCAAACCAGCCATCAACCATGATATTATCGCCCGTATCAGTTTCAATTAGTTTCGGATTCTCAATAGCCTGCCACGGTACTTGGGGGAATGTCTTCCGCTTCAAGTTGGCAAACCGACCCTTTTCTGCATGACGAAACGCGTTCTTTTGGGCATTTGCACTATCCCACACCCAGTAGAAGAAGATATAAACCGTAGCAAATATAGAAAGGAGATAAGGGTTCCAGTGATATTCGGAAGGCTCATGGTTTGCCAGGTAAAGAGCGCAATGGCAATAGGTGAAAGGCACACCAGCCATATTCCAGAAAGTGAGTAGAAATCCTAGTTTTTCATAGTACATATCCCTATATTAGATTAAGATAACCTTAGAAGAGAACACACCATTTTTCAAGAGTTTCAGGTAATCTTACCAGCTCGTGATAATCATTTGCTCTCCTTTACCACAAGCATTGGCATATAAGAAATGCACACCAATCAAGAATAGTACCTCATTCGAGACGAAGCCATATTTTTCGTATTGAAAAGCGGCGACCGAGCAAGTGATAAAGAACAATATAAACCATGGGATTCTGACTTCGTAGAACATTTTGAAGTCCATGATGCCGATACGAGGATTTAACTCAGCACCCATGAAGAAATCATAGATAACGGAACCAGATAATCTGTGAGTCCGTCCACGTAATATAGCCTGGATGTAGACTATAACGCTATTCAGAAAGCCAGACAAAATAGCGACACTCATAATAGGTCCGAATTCGTCAACCAGAGTGTATAAGGGGAATATATGCGTAATATGCAAGACTGTAGCGATGGCTATCGTCGCATAAAAACTGCAGTACGCGGAGCAGTAGTAGGGAAGACATTTACCACCTTCGTGCTTCAAGGGACGGCCAAAAGTGGAGACTCCAGGCAAGTAGCAATACATAAAGGCTTCCATAATGAAGAATGTCCAGTAGATTACCCATGCCTTCCCAGTTGGATACGCTCCCTCATAAACCAAATTGCATAGGAAAATGACAAAGTCAGCCCAGGTCTGGTTGGCAGTGGGAAGAGGAAGCATGCCATCATAGTAGGTTGCACCAATCCACATGTACCACATCAAGAGGGGGAAACCTATCATCAACAGCGCAGCTCCAAATGAGCCCCCGAACTCGAATTCATCGGACGGGCCGTCTGTGAATTTGAGGGTGGCATGTGCTTTTGATTCAATCGCTTTGGCCCCTTGACCAGGTGTTTTAGCGGCACCGGAAGTATTTCTCATCAGAGACATGGCTAGTGATTGGCTTGTGGTCGAAAGAGAAGATTGGTTCAAAAGCTCTCTAACGATTTTTGTCGTATGCACTGCTCTTTAAGAGCGGCATGTGGCCATGGGTGAATTGAGTTTAAATGCTGAATTACCACGCGCTAATGAGACAAGTCTTTGCATTGCCGCCCAGCCTCGGTTCCTTTTAGTCCCATCCCAGCAAATACTAGTACCCTGCTCAGCTCCTAGTTTGACCGATCCAGGAGCTTACAGCCAATGAAGGACTGAACTGAGCATGAAGTCTAACCAAAATAACCGCCCGAAGTCTAAATAGTCCCACTATACTTGCGTCTAGATCTGTCGGGTGGCGGGAAATCCGTTTGCCTTGACATAAGACCGAGCGGTTAGATAAACGATGATAAGCAGCAACCTGAAGAGGCCTGTTTCACAGGCCCCACGTGGTGAGTTACGACCAACGCGTCGCTGGTCCTGGTGCTGATGACGTGTACTTGGCAATTCTCGCAAATGATGGATCGAAAATAAGGGGTGGCATGACTCATTACCCTTCCCTAACATTCAAACTCGAGAGACTAAGTTAGCGGTACACTCTGTCAGTATTTAAGTTCGTTCCAGCCCTCGTTATAAATATCGCGTATAAAATTATCAAGAAAGAACCACAGCCATCATCAACTATTACCATAGTAGATGAAATATTTGCAACAATGGCCGTACTTCAACAGCTGAACTTGCTGACCGCTCTCCCAGCAATTGTTGTCATTTATTCTTTCTATCGGGCTCTGTTATCTATACTGCATAACCAACGAGCTCGGCGAATGGGCTGTAAGCCCGCTTTCACCCGACCGTACAAGCTCCCGTTCGGTATTGATATCTTGAAGCGTTATATTGATGCAACGCGGGATCAGATCCTCCAGAATGATGAGTTGGTACTCTATCAGGAGCTAGGTCTACGCCCAACATGGAATGAGAATATCCTGGGTAGTTGGCATCACGTCACGGCGGACCCGAAGAATGTGCAAGCCATGCTTGCAACACAGTTCAAGGACTTTGAGCTTGGCCCTACGCGGCGTAACTTGTTCGGACCTGTTATTGGAAAAGGTATCTTCACCACGGACGGAAAAGAGTGGTACGTTGCAAATTCAAATAGCCGAATTAGTACGCATTAACATTAAATATAGGCAACATTCTCGCGCCCTCCTTCGTCCACAATTTGCTCGCGGACAAATCGCCGATTTAGGGCTTGCGGAACGCCATGTCCAACATCTTTTGGATAGACTCCCAGTTCAGTCCGATTCTTGGACAGACACTATCGATTTATCACCCTTGTTTTTCAACCTTACTCTCGACTCTGCCACCGAGTTTCTCTTTGGACACAGTGTCAATTCTCAGATCCTTTCATCAAAATCAAACGAAGGTCTTGATCCTGGGACGGTTACACCAGATTCAATGCCCAATGGTTTGTCCTTTGGAAAATCCTTTGATCGAGCAAATGAGGTAGTTATATTACGAAGTTATTTGATGGATCTCTACTTTCTCTACTGCCCTGCCAATTTTCGAGAAGACTGCGCGAAAATTCAGGAATTTGCCCGGTATTATGTCGACCTCGCACTCGCAGGGGAACTTCAGCCAGGGGCGAAAGAAAACATTCCAGGGAATCCCAATGAAACTGGTTACGTATTTCTCCAGGAACTCGTCAAGGAGACAAAAGACCCCGAAATGCTTCGGAGCCAGCTTCTTAACATCCTGTTGGCAGGGAGAGACACAACTGCAGGCCTTCTAGGATGGACTTTCTATCTACTATCTCGACATCCTGAGGTCTACCGAAAGTTGCGTGCCGTTGTGATTGAAACATTTGGAGAGTTCTCCAATAACACTGCCATCACTTTTGAGTCCCTCAAATCCTGTTCCTATCTGCAGCATGTTCTATCTGAAGTTTTGCGACTGCATCCAGTCGTACCGGAGAATAGTCGCCGCGCGGTTCGAAACACTACCCTCCCTCGAGGAGGAGGTGAAGATGGAAAATCGCCAATCTATATCCGCGCCGGAGAGGAGGTAACATACAATGTGCACATCATGCACCGCCGTGAGGATATCTGGGGCAATGACGCCAATGAATTTCGGCCGGAAAGGTGGACCGGACGCAGACCGGGATGGGAATTTATACCATTTAATGGCGGACCAAGAATTTGCCTGGGACAGCAGTTTGCTCTGACAGAAGCTGGTTATGTCGTTGTGCGGCTGCTTCAGCGTTTCGACAGAGTGGAAAATATGGACAAGTCGACTGTTGTCAAACATAAATATACGTCGACCACTGCTCCTGTTCAGGCTCTCTTGCGATTGCACAGTGCATCTCAATAGAAGTTTTTAGCCTCACGAGGATCAAATGCAATTGTCTTCTTAAGGAACCCATTGAGCTATATTGCGGGCTTTTCTGTAGATGATTGTAATTGCTAGATCTACCTAAATCAGGATACTTTCCCACCGTGCGTCGCTCCATTTATACACTTGGAAGTTGAGTCTGTGTACATAAAATGGAAAGCAGATTGCCTAGCGCGCGCCCAAGGTATTCATGCAAATGTTGTTACCTGATAAAATCTGTCGGAAGGATGATGAAGTGGTCAATACAATCAATCCTTTGCATCGTGCTTGAAATTCACGAAATTAGTTTCTACTTTCAATTTTGTAGCGCAACTGGCTCGTGGACTACAATTAGTTTCAATCATGTTGCTTTCCAATATCCTTTAACAAAAATTGCTCGCAACTGGTATTGAAATTGGATTCTACTTCTTAATATTGTTCTAACCCACGAAAGGATTCTTTTCATCATGCCAGCAGAAAGTGTGTCTCACGTCGTTTGTCAACAGCCTCGGCAAGTCCCTTTCTTTCCGGGGCCCGAGGACACCGAATCTCTGACTGCTATGAATCGCGCGGAGGGCCTATGACTCGGCTATTGGTTAGGAAAGGAAATTCATTGTAGTAATAGAATAATTTTCATTACCATTCTGTTCGCAGTTCAAAAGCCCAGAATCAGTTCGATCATCAAGCAGACATTCAAAATATTCTATATGAGAAACGGAATATCTTGTCTCTTGAGCACTTGTTTTCTAACTACAAGCTAGTTCAGCGTGACTGTCTAAAGTATTCAGAGACTATTGAATGAGCTAAGCTGCGCTGACTAAACCATTGAGTCATGGTCAGTGTTTCCGGTCTTGGATAGAAAAAACGCTATAGAGATTGCTCTGGTATAGCTTCAGATCATTTTAATTGCCCGATTTTAGCATCAACAAATGAATTGATGTCGCTTTCAATCCTTACTGTTTTCCCCCTTACTAATAACCAATCGCGGTGCCAATATGGTCATATTGTTGTTGGATTGCTTCAAACCACCCATGGTTGATACAAGCGCTATCAAAGACCTTTACTGATTTTGACGTAACCTCGAAGCCTTCCATGGTAGGTAAAAAGATCGACTGTAGAGCAGGATTATCAAGCCTGGTAACTTTGCCTGGTGAGATGGACAGGGTAGACAGCCGAGGAACGAATAACTTGTTTAATTTAGAAAGTTGTCCTCTAACCAGTGCAAACTCGATTGGTTACAAATGAGATGGCAGTTGTCATACTGACTTAAATCTCTCATTCTAATTAATAATACATTTGTTGGGAATTCCTTCCCAGGGTCAAATGACTGGAAGAGAAAAGTCTATTCTGTCTGCGACTAGATAACGACTTGGTACCGTGGCCATTCCGTGCATACGATAAGACCTTTTCTTAAAAATAGAAAGGAAAAGAAAAAAATAATCAGACTAGTTCCGATGCAGTAGGCTGTACTCATTAAATTCTGCTCCAACATCCATCTACTATCGGATACCAGAAAGTGGAAACGGTCATCTATCTGTGAACACCCATTGTCGGAGCCGAAATGAATTCAAACGACGCTGAAGTCTTCCGAAACAAATTGAATAGACATGCCTCCGATGCAAAATCTACTAGGCGTCGGAGAACGCGAGCTGGAGTCGCTTGCATCAATTGCCGGCGGAAAAAGATTCGCTGCAACGTACAAACATCGGAAGGCACATGCACAAACTGCAGCTTGGATGATATTATTTGCCAAACTCATCTTTCTGGTTCCTTGATCATGAAACATGATAGCCAGGGAACAAGTGATTTATTATCATGTCCCCACGTCGACGGCTCAAATGACAAAATATGCAACTTGGGGGGGAAAGAGGAATCTTCACTACCTGGTTTGTCGATACCGTCGCCTCGCGACGTCGAAACTGGGGTCCGATGCCTTAATGATCAATTTGAGTCATTCAAGCCTGATTATTTGAGAAAATATCTAGTAGGATGCTTCCTGCAGTTCATCTATCCAACGTTTCCTGTCACAACCTTCTTTCAAATGGCCAGTATCGCGGCTGTGAACGAAGGAAACCTTCCATCTTGTGGTCAATTCGTTCTAAATGCTTTCCTAGCGGCAACAATTAGATTCGGTGACAGGAAAATCCTTCGCACTTACGGAATACATTCAAAGGAGCGAGCATTCGATTTTTTCTACTCGAATGCAAAGGTTAGGGCTGATTCCCATACTTCAACATCACAACTAATCAATGCGCAGTCTCTTTTCCCTCCACAGATGAACGAAAGGTCTTATAAAACAATACAAGGACTGCTTTTAATGGGCTATTGCGAGACGAATTCTTCACAAGAGACCTTTTTCTGGTTAGGCATGGCACATGCTGTTGCGGTTTCACTCCGGTTAGACAACGAATCAACCAACATCCCCCAGCCGGAGAGAGGGCTTCGAAAAAGGCTATGGTGGTGCCTCTTTAGCCAACTTACGCTGTTGGAATTCACGACAGGGAGCGCACCATATATTCAGATGCAGCATGCTACGGTCTGTGTCTTAAATGATGAAGATTTTGAACACATAATTCCCTGTGTGCTGTTAGAAGATGTGAGAAAATTTGCCAATCATCACAATGGTCGTGGGCCTCTCGGTATCGGAAGTCAGTTTTTAAATTTGTTGGACTTTTTTCAAACACAGCAAGGGTTTTCAAGTGCCAAGTTTAGCAAAAATTTGGGTATTAGGTGGGGAATCAAGGCTCCTCCCCACAGGACCCACGGCGCGTGCAATCATACGGAATCCGGCAGAGACAGTCTGTTAGCGGAGAGCCTCGAGACAGAAATACAGAGTTGCACATTTGTACCGCCAGAAGATGATCCAGAAAATGCGGATCTGCTTTACGGCATGGAACAAAAGCTGTTTGACTCAATCTTTGCATCAGGGGAAAATATCTCAAAGAACGAAAGATTGGATTTATACCAGCCTCAAGATTATTTTGGCGATAGCGGGCCAGCGAATGAGGTACTGTAAGCGAAACCCTTAGAACTTTTTACAGCCTGCAATATACGAAGTACCTATATCCTTCCAAGCTTGTCCTTCTTGAAAAACAGGAGCTGGCACAATAGTAATTCTTAGAAATCGGAAAGTTGTCGCGCGACCGTGTAAGTCGTTAATGTAACATTAACTAGTCTGTAATTTGCTTCAAACTTCAAGTTTGACAAATTAACCGGCGGAGTCATTATAGCAGTATCGCGTGATACACGACTACATGCTCACTCCGAGTCCTGGACTAGAGCGGCGATGAAACCCTGTATTTCAAATGTATGGCGAGTTTTGAATAGGCGCATAGACGCGCTTCTACGCTAGTATAATTTCCAATGACTTCTGCCCTTGACGGTTTAGGAAAAATTGATATGCAGTTGAGCATTTTAATCCAATAGCAGGAAAGGGGCATTCAGTCGGAGGTCAAGCTCTCAGCCAGATGTTTTTTTGAAGACCTCGGGAGCCATCGATGGCTCTTTCTATATTGCAGATCGTGGCATAATATACAAGGACTTGGCCTCTGCTTTGAGTAAACCATTTTGGTCCAGAACTCTTGCTTCAAGGAACCACTTTCTACCCTCCTTCCGTCTCACCCATGATTTAATCATAATGGCACTAGGGATGGGTACGGGTGAACGGTATGACACTTGAAGTTCGCCCGTAAGCAAAGACGCCAGCTCCTCCGAAGCAAGCATCCGGTATGTCTCGACGCAAATGCCTAGTGTTTCATCTAGCAATGATGCCAGGAGCCCTCCGTGGGCGGTGTTGATAAAACCATTCACACCCGTTTCAAGCTGAAAAAATGCGACGAAGTGTGGCTCATCCGGATATTTTAATGGATCAATACCCTCATTATCATAAGCTGGGCCTTGCAAAGAGACTGGTTTCCGCATAAAAGCTAGGACTCGTGAAATGGTGTCACATGTGTTGATCGTTTTGTTGAAGAACATGTCCGACAAGTCACCTTTATCGTATCGCGTAATGAAGGGGACAATCTGATATGGACTGGAGGGCTTTAAAAAAGGGTGGGCGAAAGGCATCTCGCTGAAAAAGTCAACATCTGCCTGGGAGACCGGAAGGGCTTTGATCAGGCTTCGAAAGCTGTGGTTATACATCATGTTTCAACTGTGTTTGATTGATGAAGTCCAAGAAGAAAACTTGTATGGGTAATTTTGAGGAACTAATATTCTTAGAAAATTCTTCCTTCAGAGCAAAGGGTAGATTATATACCTCAGCTTTCCAAAGTTATTCGCCGAATAACCGTGATTCCGGCCCGAGGTCCCTGTAATGCTGTTCCACTCTGACAATCAAGTATATTTGTGGATAAGATAAGTCCAGACGTCTCTTAGAAGTATAAAAGCTAGCATGCCTTCAAACTCTATCCGCCAAGTCAGAGCTAACACTAACAAGTTCAAGTTAATCCTTAGAAAGCGCGACCTTTTAGGTAGTGGCCCCGTCTATCTAGTCGCATACGTAATACTATTAGTAAATAGGACTCAGATTAGTTTTACAACAAGATACTTGACGATCTGCTTTTAAACTTGAATGTAACAGCTATTCTGTAGGCTACTGAGATGACACAGACATTACGGACCAATTGAAGGGGAAATTAACCATTATAGACAAGCTTAGCTCGCGGTAAAAAAAAATATGGCAGTTATCCACTGGCATATCACATGTGATATCGTGTAAGTCAGCCCTAGAATAACCGAGTAGAATGGTCCCGTACCGCATATCGCGTACCTATCAGAATCGCAGTATTATACTACTAGGCCCATGGATAAGTTCCTGTGCATAGTATCGCCGTTCGCGATGTACTAGTAATGATACTAGTACCTAGTGAGACGGGGTAGGATGCTCGAAGCAGCACGATCGGAACGTGCGATGTGAAGTAGCGTTGGGACAGGCGCCAAAACCACCACCAAAGACAGCATATATAGCAGAGCGCTATAGGACAGAGGAAGCAACGGGATGGGTGTATATTGAAACCATTCTAGTCCTTCGAGTTGAAGGTATTCGCCAGCCTTACAAAAAGGGCTTAGCCTGCTGTTCTAGAATCCAGCAATCAAAGCATTTTGCCAATAATGACCGTTCTTCCCCAGTACACTAGGTACGCCTTCTATCATTAAATTTCTTATCTACGTGCTTACATCCAAAAATTTACAATTTTCGAAATCGAATTGGACACTCTTCACTGCCAAGCGTTACCTACTTGCCGTTCCAGGATTAGAATATCATTCATGGTGCGCAGCTGGTAACCTTTTTTCCATGAAATTGAACCGCTATGGAGTGTCCAGATGGACATTTTTAGCGAGGTATAGGTGGCGAAACCATGTGAAAGGAATCCATAGTATTGAAGTGGATCAAAATCTTCCTGAACTCTGGCTCGTGAAAATATGATGAACAATAGTGGTTACAATTTCGGTTGCTTTTCTTCCTCGGTCCCCGCGGGCCGCGAGAAGTGCTCATGCCAAGCCGTTGAATCTGGGCTGGGAACGGTTTGGCCACCCCCACTCCTTATCTGACACGCGCTTATGCGCTTATCTACACGATTGCCAGAAATTGGATTGTATCGCCCAGGACCGCCTACTTCCCAGAAACCACTGGCACAAGCCTGGTAAGCCTTTCTGCACTAATTCAAACGATGGTAATTGCCAGTGAATTATCCGAATAAATGGAAATACCGAAGCTGCATATAAGCTGAGAAGATCAAGTTGATTTAAGTTTTCAACTTGAATCTGGGTAGATAGTTTTTGGGAACTACTGCTGGTAGTACTAGTGATTCAAATGATGCGGGTTCATTCCTGATCCGAACCAGTATCATATCACAAAATAATAAAATTCTAGCTTAGAGCAGAAATTTCGACACCCGCGCGCTTGTGTATATCACAACTCGGAACCCACTTCATCTGCGGTGATTACTCTCAAAGCGCAGAACATGGCTACAGAGTTACTTTATGAGTGTCGTATTAAATTCAATTGCTTGGAACGCAAATATAAGAGACCTAATATACCTCCAGCAGCGTCACCCACATTACTGTCATCAAGTAAATCCAAAACTGGATGAACGCCTGCCAGGCCTATGATACTCGCAAATAGCTTAATGGAACCTCGCCTACGCAGTCAGGCGGCAGCCTATTAGCCTCTGCGTAGTAAGGAAAACCATGGGATCTAAATCGACAATCGCAATTCACCCGTTTTCAAATTAAGTTTTTGCCATTTCTGTGGCCCAAAATTTTCCCCTATCTAGTAGAAGCCCAAAAATATCAAGAAGACTCTCCACGGACTATGAGCCACAGCATCCCCAGGGCGAAGAAGATTGAGGCGATTGCCCACTGGCGAGAGACAATCACTTGTTCAGGATGAGACCCAGGTCCAATGTCACTGGCCTTTTTCCGAGCAAGCTCAATACTACTTTTTGACACTAGACTATTCGCAAAATGCTCGATCTTATCACGTCAGCATACCTCATCTACCCATCGTTCCATTGTGGCAGAACATACCTGTTCACATGCGACTTTTATTCTCACGTAGTTGGGATCCTCCTTGTCATTCTTCTGTTGGATCCGATGAACGTAATGACAGAAGATTTTCGCCACACCCTCAATGTTCCGACTAGAATGAATCATCAAATCCAACGAATCCCTCTTTGTGAGTTTGATGTTTTGTTGAAATATTGCCGGATTGCGGAAACATAGCTCAAGTGTAGCCAAAGCCATTGTTTGAGGAATCGCGCAGAAATTGAACACACTCTGCTCCTTCAAGGCTGTAAGATATGACAAGCAGTCCCGGCAATGTACTATGGCATTCAGAACCATTTCGGAACTGCAATTGAGGGCACTTTTGAGGAACTTTGGGTTGAACAGGTCTTCGAAATTGTCGATGTGTTTAGACCAGATTTCTCTAGGCCAGAACTGGCGATCGTCGTCAAAATCCTCACGAACATCGCGAATGATGTTATTTTTTTGCAAGAAAAGACCCATTGATCTGTACAGGGGTTGGTTTATCAGATTTTTGTCGCCCATTCCCGCCTTCACGAAGAGATGAGTCAAGCCCTCGCCAACGATCCCGGCTACATGCCAGCAATAGATATCATATTCCTCCACTGAAGTCACTTTTCCATACCCTAGAGCGGCCTTTCCTGCAAAATCAGCCATACCAGTACCCATTCTTTGAGTTATATCCTTGATAATATCCTGGTAGGTCTGTTCTAGCTTCCAGAACTCGGCGATGACATTGTGGAATTGCACCAGGAGCTCGCGATCCTTTTCTTCAGGTCGATTTCCCGTGAAATTTCAGTCATAATGGTCAAGATTTTCCTTGAAGCTTCGAAGGAGTGATTGTTTCACATCTAGAGGAATCGATGTATCGTCTTCTATCGTATCGAGGCCACGCAATATCAGGTAGAACACGCACACTGGCATGAGCAGCTCCCGATGGAGCTCTTTGATAACAGGGCTGAAGCTGCGGCTTGTCTGATCCAAGAATTCAAAACAGACCTTGGCTGTTACAGACTGTTGCGTTTCGTGCCTGCTTTGTAGAGAAAATTGTCGTAGTTTCCTATAATAATGATGAATGAACAATAATTAAGTATTTGTGGTCATCATGTGGAAACAATTGAGACTTACCATTGAAATAGCATGCCCCACTGATTGGGATGGAGAGCAAAGTAGAGGCCATCCAAAGCGAAGCCCATGATAGCCAGTGGGAGGACTAGATGGAACACGCTCAGACAGGGGAGGGGTATTGAGGACGTGGAATCCTATGATATATGATTACCGACAATAAATTAAAAAATGAGATTCGATGTTCTGACCGGGGTTTGATGGGCTTTCCTGGAGTGGCAGAGGCTGATTATCCCTCCACGGTTGGATCAGTGACCGGGAAGAACTTAATCCGGTTATTTGGTATAGGTCAGTTATGTGGTACTAGCATCAATCCAAGAAATGCGGCATTTCCAGGCATACGCTACATGCTGATGCCTAGTTTGTCTTGGAAGGTAGTTCGATTTTGCGATTGAAATGGCGCATACATTAGCGGCAGACGACCCTTGAGCGCCGGACCGATCATCCAGGATGAATAGACTACCCTCGGAACCGCTATCATGATAGAAAGTGATAAGCAAGAGTTTTATTGAGTCTAAGATAAATGGGTGGAGATTACTAGTACTGCCTATCTAGCCGCCCCCAAAAATGGTGGTTGCAGGTGGTTTTCCGGTAGGGCGGGAGACAGTGTAGAAAATGCCGAGAACGAATCAAGGTGTAACATCATTATTTCAAGTTTAAAAATCAGAATATTCGCTTATAAACCTCGGGAGACTACACCTATATGCTATTGATGTAAATCACATTCTGATATGCCAAATTTTGTGGTACATGTAAAGCATGTGCAGACCTAAGCAGATGGTGGTTCTGCGTCACGCAAGATAAATCCGACTGATGTACTACTAGTAGTAATATCATGTATTCCTGGAAATCATACTATTAAGGTCCGAAATAGCAGAACATTATTGTCAGAGAGATGATGGATATAAAAAACCTCGGAAGCCCCACAGTGGATACAATGAATTAATAAATTACTGCAACCGATTCTGCTATCTGACTTCCATTATAACCTCTGCCGGCCTTTACCCTGCCAATAGTGGCTGTTAAACCCTATTTCTCAATATTTTGCTGAACTAATTCACTTATAAGATAGTAATATCTACTCTTATAACCGTGTTTCATACTTTTCAATCCGCTTGATAATCTCTTTCACATCTTTCCAGATCCGCTGTCGATTCTGTAGCCCCCCTAAGACTGCTCCAACTTTTCTTGATCTGTGTGTAAACCCCGTGCCAATTTGTATTTCTTCTCGAGAGCTGCAGCTGGTTGGGTACCTCTTTTGGAAATGGAAGCAGGAAATCAACTACCTCGCTAGTTGGAGTATAAACATCTTCCAGGAGTAAAGAATAGTGCTCTCGTTCTTCTTTGAACAACTTCAGAGAACTTTTTGTCACTGCTGTCCAGAATGAAGGAACGTGGACTTCCTTGCCGTCGTCACAAGACTCCCATAGCCAGGGCATCTCCTCTCGGACAAGTTGATGCCAAACACTATTTGGAAGTCTGGTAAACGTCTTGGAAACTATCCTTAGGCTATTGAGGTCGCTACCATTCAGGAAGCTGACTATTAGTAGACATATCTCAAGTGGCATAGAATCAAACACATCATCACGACCAATCAGCAATGAAGCGTGGGGTCTCTTCAGAAGTTCGGATTCCTCTATTCCGCCGTGAGATAAGTCTTCTTCCTTTTTGGCTGCATTTAGCAAAATGGTCGGTAAACCTGGCACGTAAAGTGGATTGGCGGCTAGATACTCCTTGCCTGGTAAATGCTGCCAGAACTGGTCTCGGCTTTTGCGAACGTCTTCTGACCGAGGAAACTTGCGAAAGTCGCTGTAGGAGAACTCGGCATTGCGCCACGTCATAAGTCCTGGTATATTGATACGGTTGAACCGAGCTTTGGATTGACGGCAGAAGATATCGAAGCACCAAGGATGGAACGGCATGGCCCATTCTTCTGAAGGTGTCGATTCTGGCTGCTAGCTGTTAGCCCCTTTGAAAGTTGAATGGCGGTTCAAAAATATTGAACCTGGCTTTCAGGAAGATAACCCACATCAAAATTGATATTCTCGGCTCGTGGCTCGTCAACTCCACCTTGCGCGGGCCAGACTTCTGGGTAACTACAATCACGTGAAGGCATTCCGTCACACAACCCTGACAAGAACCAATCTTCAGAAGCCTCCCAAGGATCAAAATATTTGATATGCTGCTGTTGTCCTTGTATTGCGCTTTTGTGCACCAAACACTGAGCCGTGCGACACCCTATCATCTCTTCGGGCGATATCGCATAGCCCGAGTACGCATTCGCCTCTCTGCCTCTCTCACTGGGAAAATGCTCCAGCTCCGGGCTGCATCCACCTGACAAAGTATGTGGCTGGATAGAATGTCCATATACGTCATGAGAACGATTAATTGAACAACCAAAGTTCCCAAAGGTCCCAACGGGCTCTTCGGGGAATCTGGCGTGCGGATTCCAAGTTATTGCCAACCACTTCGAGTAAGAATCGACTTTAGTATCTTCCTTTTCGTCATTACCATTCGAGTCGCTCTTTGTAACATCCTCATCATCCTCCCCAGAGAGGCTCATGGAATCGACTGATTCATACTCTGAATCGAATTCACCAGGGTCGCTGTAGTCACCTCCTTCCGGAGGGATGTAATCTGGATCTTCGAGCATATTGTCATCATCATCCCTGGGGTAACTGATTGCCGCGAAGCAGCCGTTTCGAGCACATAATTCCAAATCTACCTCATCGGCCCCCGGCTGACCGCATTGCCCGCCAGTGTAGTCCCAGCTAGCCAGATCCGGCTCTCTCAGTTTTCGGCGTCGGACGATATTGAAGCTGACACCACAAATGTGGCAGTAAACCTTCTAGGCTGTCAGAGAAGTGTTTTGTGTTTCTTGTCAAAGGCACGATCTAGCTGTACCTCGGAGTAACCTAAAGATATTTGTCATCAATGCCATTCGTTATCTCACTCGATACAGCTGCAACGCACCCATCAGAGCTAAATTGAATTTCAATTGATCGAGTCTAGCAAGAAAATTTACAGACTTCTGCGCCAAGGATCTCTGCAAGTAGTAGCTTTCTTTATAAAGCACGACGAGGAGTCACGTTTGGTCACCGTTGGTGCCTGGAAGTCTTCGAACTGTCGCTTAGCGTAAGGTGGGGGCGGTTCTGACAGGCTGCAGGCCGGTGAGTTGCCTAGTAATGCGGGACTGTCGGCTAGAGATGCCTACGATGCCTGGGTGCCTATGGTACCTCCTGCTTCCTCTTCCTCTTCCTCGTGTGCTATATTTTTTCATCGAATGCTGCGATATATTGATTACTTGATCCTCATTGTATCTGTGATGTTCACAACCTTGACATGTTTAGTGATACGATCATCGAGAGAAATGATCAAGATACATATCAATTTTATAACTTAAGATAGGATTTTACCACATCCTGACAGTACTCAAAAGTCTTTGTGATCTCAAGTAGGCCGATCGTTACAAACAAAAGTATAGAGTAATATTCACTACAACTAAGAAAATGACCCTTTCAGAGACCATCAGCATATATAGCATACATAGCATATACATCTATACATCAACAAAGAAGTGCGAGAGATAAGAACTAGACCCAAGGGCAAGGAGACTAGCCCTGATTATGTCTGAATAGTCACCCCTTTCCTGGTCATTGCCTCCTCTATGTGAAACCCAAAGACCAGCCGATATAGATCCCGCAGCCAAGAGTACTGCCCATTCTGAAGCATCGCCTGACATGCCCGGCCCACTTCAACGGCACTGACACGGGCCTGTAAGCCACAATTCCTGAAAGCAGGATCATAAGCCACCAGCTTTCGGTAATTCTTCAGCAGCGACGTCTGCCAGGGCGCTGAACCAAAAGAATCCGAGGACAAAGATTTGACAAAGGACGACATGTTCTGAGCACCACCTTGTTGATAACCACTATTTATAGCCGCCTTGGTAATGAGAACCTTGAGCCTGGTAAAATTAGGATCCTCCGGGATTGTGGTCACCGTGTTTGCCGAGGAAGCCGTTTGCCCAGATGATCGAGACTTCTCCGAGATACTCGACGCACTGGAGGGCCAACCCGAATGAGAAGCGTGGCCATTTCCATGGCCTAGAACAAGTATGTTTGGAATCGTGGCTTCATCGGGCGAAACAGTGGCTGTATCTTCGAAGATAGTCGTGGGCGTTTCCGGATTTCCCATTTGAACGGATACATCATCCATAAGATCGACCTCGGACTGCTGCGCTACTTGTTGAAAAACCTGCGCAAATGTGGTTTGGCTAGGACGTGGTGTGCCACGGTCTGAATTGCGCATGCTGTGCATAGTCCACCCCTCACGGAAGATATCACAGAGCTCCCAACACGCTTGAACCGCGGAGCCGAGTAGATCCTCGTCCAACGTTTTCCCCTCTCGTTTACTCTGGCGGATACTGAACAGCATTTCAGCCAATGTCCAACAAGCGCTCAGGAGAGAGTCTGTCTCCGTCAAGCGAGTTCGCTGCTTCATGAGTCGGTGGCACAGTGTGATATAGAAATCAAGCGTTCGTTCCCGAAAGGCATCAGGAAGGTTGCGGTCATGCGTATTATAAAGATGGTTATTCAGCTCAAAGCTGACTCGCAAGACCGAATCGGCCAGATCATTCTCGGAAACTCGAACCTCAAACAGCGCTTGACAGAAGTCTCGGCAGAGATCAAGGGTGGGATTAACTTGCGATGCATAGTCGTCGTCATGAGTATCATAAAGCTTTTGACACAGTCTCCAGCAAGATCTCCAAGCATCTTCCTGCATGTTATCTTGATAGGATTCAAACAACCGTTGTCGATTAATATAACTCAAGTTCGCGAGGGTGTTGCATAATGTCCAGCATTCGGTTAGAGCCGCTCGTAGAACGTTGATTTCAGTGTCTTTATTACCAAAAGTTCCTAGGTAAATGTAAGTATGGGAGATGCAGATGCAGATGCTCGATTTGGCTTTAGCCCGTGTGAGTACTGTATGGAATGGGAGCATGCGGTGATCCAAAAATTTACCTTCGGGTATGTCTACTCTATAATTAGCTAGCTAACAAACATTGGATGATCGCGATTAAAAACCTTCTAAACTGCTTGAATGGGTGCGTCGTCCGATTTCGTCGAAGTCATCATTTCGTGTCTGGGCACGCGGAGTCGCCCTATCGGACCATACAGGTGCGATGGTAGTGGTCAACGGAGGCGGCGAGACAGGACTATTGCCAATCTTTGACGAGAGACGGAATATTAGTCAACTTCAAATGCCCCCACTCTGATCAGGAGTCTGGGGTACCAGGCGCTTACCCCGCTGGTGCTCTTCGGAATATGCAGAGGTTCGACATGATCTGAGATCGAAGACGAAGATGATTCTTCATCGTCGCAACCCTCCTCGTCCGATGTATGCCCTGTACCCGTCTAGATGTGACATTTGGTTAGGCACATCTGCTAGCGAATTGGTGAGGGGAATCCTCACAAATTCTCCAAATCCAGGTGGCGCATGTATCACCGACTGCGGTGGTTCGTCCTCGTCTGATCTGGAATGGTTGGGCTGATGCGTTTGCGCGGTTTGGATCTGCTGCCCATCAGCGCCCGGCAAAAGATATATCGCTATTTCGGCCTCCCCCTCTCTGTACATACCTTCAGTGCCGGACCGTGACCGATAGGAGTGTTCGCTGCGATCACGTCGTCGCCATCACCGTTCTTATCGGCCTCGTGTAAGTGATTAGGATCCCCGATGGCCAAAGAGGGGGTCTCCAATGTATCCGCCACACTGATTGATTCAGGATCAAGATCAGGGGCAGAGTACCTCGAACACCCCGCACTCTCCGGGACAGAGGGTGCTTCGAGCGACCTACACATGTATCTGTCAGCGATGGGGTGCGATGCGATCGTTTTTGGAATTCCTGTTCCTGAACGGGGTGCTGACATCAGGTCCGACCCAGCATATGGGCTTGGTGTTTCGCGAAATGGAAGAATAGAAATCGGCGACCTGACGGCCATCACGGCCGAATAGCCAGACAGGAACGAAGTCTCGCACTCGCACTGCGCTCCGGGGGAGTTGAAAAGTCGAAGACGAAGAGCAGGAAAGTCGATCCCCGCTTGAACAAGCACAGGTACAACAGACGCAGAGGGAGCTCAGGCCGTCTCGAGACAAACCATCGGTAATGGCCCCGGGGCTTTCAGCACTGTTGGTTCCAACGGAGCTCGCTGATACGACGATTGACCAACACCAAAGCAAGCGACCCCCAGAACTGGGAGACAAAAGCGCCTGGGGCGTGATGAGCATGCATGCGTATCCACTCAGACGCCGCGGAGCACCGGCCGCCTAGTCCGTATGGGGTTGCCGGGCGCTTGCGATTCTCATTGATTCCCCAGGAACAGTGGGGCTAAAAGGTAGAGAGATGCAGAGATGCAGGCAAGTGTTGGGAGAGTTCGGTGTTCAGGCAGGATTTCATGGGGCTGAAAAAGACAGAAATGCTGGGAGGAAAGATACACTTGGGTGCGTTCCTATAAGTAGAGCTACACACTACATACGTTGATACGCTGATCTGGACACACAATATATCAAATAAGTTTTGATGATTGTAATAAAGTATCTACAAAAAAGATATTTCCCAGTACGCCAAATTCCATATGGTGTCCAACGCCTTCCCATATGCATATCGGCGAGCAAACCCGATCATACCCGCTTCAATTCACTCAACATAGCCCGTGTTGTATCCCGTGCATAGCAGCCCTCACAATGTGAATACACAGATCCATACACAGATCCATAGAAGCCATAGCCATTGAGGTAGAGTTCGGGAACACTGCGGCGACAAAGATGAAGTTGCAGGAGAAAGCAATGACGGCGGGGCTGGTATTGTGATTGTGATCTCCGAAGGGGGGTGGGCGGTGGTTTGTTCTTTTCGAGAGTAGCTTGTAAAATTTGGCAATTCACATAAAATGCAATGCTTTCAGGTCATTCAGGTCGACCTCGAAGTGGATTGTTGGTATTCGATACGATCCTCCCGAGGGGGGTAGAAACCAAGCGGGTCAGGTGATAGGTATGTGACTAGACATGAGCCTTGGATCGGTCCTTCTCGGCGGAATTGTAGCTGAAGAGATATGGGTTAACACAATTGACCAAAGCGATGAGGGTTGATGGGTGTCTGAGCACTAGAACTCACCGGAGAAGCTTCTCGATCAGATCCACGTGGGTCATGATCATTCTGCGACAGCAGTATCGTCGGCAGCCGAGCTGATCCATGGCATCACTAGAACATTGTCAGGAGCTGAGGACGGGGAATCCAAATACCACTATTTCACAAAATAGTGGTAGAGACGCTCAACACTCACCCATCCGGAATACCATCATCCAGAAGCTGCAGGTAACGCTCCCAAAGGTCGCCGACAACCTGAACAATGTATCAGCAAAAAGCTCGAGACCAGGTCAGGGCGAACAATATACCTTTCCACATGAGAAGCAGCGCACGGGGATAATCATCGTGACGACACGCAAAGTTTGAGAGGAACGAGAGGAACGGAGAAAAAGTGAACGTGATGCTATCGGGGCGACGAGTGCTCAGAATGTCATTCTTGCTTGAAGTGAAAATTGAAAGTTGCGAAAGGCGGTGAGTGAAGGCGGTCGAGAGTTTTCGTTTCCTTTGCGGGAAAAAAAAAAGTCGCCGGACTTAAATCGTCAATCATAAACTGTGAACCCCTCAATTCAAGGGTTTCAACCATGGGAAAGGATTCGAATCGACAGCAAAAGCGCTCCCGCGCTAGTGATGCCACCGAGAAGGTATCGCGGCCAACCGATGCAGGAACCAAACGGCGTCGGACTTCAGAAACCCATGAAGCCCAAGCTTCTGCGACAAAGTCATCTTCCGGTGCGATCAAGAAGGTGCGCAAGAGTGATGCCTCTGTAAATGGCGAAGAGAAGCAAAATGATCCTGCGCCTTGGTCATTCTCTCGTCCGGTGGGCGGCCGTTATAGCAATCTGGACCCCATCGTGACTGAAGATGAAGCGTAAGTTTTTGACATATTGTATTGTCCCAATTTTTCGAGGTATTGGTTACTGACATTGCAAGGTAGGTACCTTTTCGTCGGCCTCGAAACAGCTGTGCAGGTTTTTGCAACCTCCACCTCCCGCCTGCTCCGTACCCTGCAGATGGAGACTGGCCAAAAAGTTACCGGATACAAGCTGAGCCCCGTCGATCCAAACATCCTGTACATCTTCACACCTGCGTTTGTCACAACATGGAATTGGGACACCGGAAAGCGACTCGCCCGCTGGGGGACGACCATCTCGACGATCGCCGCCGATGTGTCTGGAGGCGAGGGAACCGATCGCGTCGCATCATACTTCATTGGGCAGCAAAAGGATGGGAAACGACAGGTTCTTGTCAGTGCCCTTGGCGACAAGAAGCTTCCCGATATAGTCGCCCTCGAGACCAGCGAACAGATCAACAATATCCAGGTCGCCTACGAAGGACGTGTTATTGTTGTCAGTGATGGGGTCCATCTCTTCCTGGGAACCACACCCAATGTTGACCTGGAAACCCCAGAGTCTACACAGTACACATGGAGAGAGGCTACTCTGCCCGTGTCTGCAACCTGTGTTCATTTGCGAGAAAATCACGATGGAGTCAAGTCCGCTCACGCACCTGACGTCGTTGATTTGGCGATTGGCGAAGGAAACGGATCTATTCTTATTTACCAAGATATTTCGAGCACCCTTTTTGGTCGAAGTGCAGAGAAGAAGTCTCCACCCAGGAAACTTCACTGGCACCGAGGTGCGGTTAGCACCGTGCGGTGGTCTAAGGATGGTATGATTTTGCTTAATATCCCTGCATGCTATGTTTGAATATGTCTGACAGTCCCGATTTATAGGAAACTACGTTATCTCGGGTGGCCAGGAGTCAGTCTTGGTTTTGTGGCAGCTTGATACTGGCAGGAAGCAATTCCTGCCCCATTTATCCTCGCCAATTTGCAACGTTGTCGTTTCGCCGAACGGCAATTCTTATGTCGTGAAGTTAGCTGATAACTCGGTTATGGTATTGTCTGCGAGAGAATTGCAGCCCTTTGCCAATGTGACCGGTCTTCAATTATCGTCGGACGCCGGAACCCACAAAGACTCTTCCTCGAGAAAGTCATTCCGCGCCATTGCCAAACTACACCCACAGCACCCTGAGCGACTGCTTGTTGCCGTGCCCGCATCCCACCTGTCTAATCAGCATGCTTCTTCTCAACGGCCAAGCTCGGCCATCCTCCAGACCTTTGACATTCGCGCAAACTCTCACATCTCTCGCCAGGCTCTGGCACGAACCAACACAACAACGCTGAATATGAGCCCAGAGGGCTCTCCAATCGTGACCCCCAACGTTCGCCACTTGGATATTGTCGAAGATGGAAAGTGGTTAGCAACCGTTGATACATGGACTCCTCATCGCCATGACCTGGAAACTGTCGATAGCCCCTTGCGACGATCGGAAATATTCCTGAAGTTCTGGAAGTGGAATGCTTCCAACGATAACTGGGAGTTAGTGACTCGCATCGACGCACCCCATTTCAGTGAAAACCGCCACGCTTCGGTACTCGGCCTCACGGCTCGACCATCCAGCCATGAATTCACAACGCTCGGAGATGATGCGATCTTGCGCTTTTGGTGTCCAACCGCTCGGACTCGAAGCGGGCTGAAGACAAATGCCGAGGACTTGCACCAGGATACTTGGAAGTGCCGAAGTGTCATTGATTTGAAGGGATGTCTTAACAATGTATCTGCACCTCTACCCGCAGCCTGCATGAGCTTTTCCGACGACGGCTCAGTACTTGCTGTTTGCCTGCCATCGGACTCTGGTGCCAACGATGGTCTCGTCCTCCTGATTGATGCGCGAACCTGCACAGTGCACTATCGCCGGACGGGCGTTTTCTTCGGAAACCCCTGCTCCGTCAAGTTCCTAGGCAAATACTTGATCGTGGCCTCAGCCGGATCAGTGGCTGTCTGGGACACTGTCGACGACGTCGTGAAGCCAATCCAATTAGCCAAGCCCGGAAGTCCAGTCGACGTCGGTAACTCACCAATGCTCGCAGTGAACGCCAGGACCCAATCCTTCGCCATCGCTACCCGGGAATTGGACGGTAGTGCCAACAAAAGGCGCCGCCGAGGCCGCTTCCACATTCGGATTTACGATGTTTCATCCTTCGATCTCGTTTTCCAAGAGAGTCTGGGAAGCTCTCCGGTGGCTCTGCTTTCGGACGCTTATTCTGGAGACTACATTGTTGTCGATGCTTCAGGTAGCGTTCAACGCCTTGGATGCCTGGACAAGGCGTCGCAGAAGAGCCTGCAGCCTCAAGAAGTGACCAGTCACCTGAACTCTGGACTGGCAAATATCTTCAGCCGTGGACAGGAGAAGGTTTTCGCGCAAGTTACTGATGGCGAGAACGCTGGCTCTTCAGGAAAGGGGCTGGCGGGTGTGTTTGGCGATACCCCGTCATTCTCTTTGCCTTCTATTGGTGTTCTTTTCAGGAATGTTGTTCAGACTTTGGGATCTAGTTAGGACTCTTAAAATGGTGGATATGTTTAGTTGTATAGGTTAATAACCATGTGTATGTTTCTCAAATCAAACCTGTGTTGATAAATGGATTGTTTGATGCGCCAGTGTAACACTATGTGTCTATTTTGAAGCGATGTAGAGTTCCTACAGCTAGTTGTCTTTTAAGGTTCCAATTATTCTCTCGTTGGATAGGGGTATTAAATTATTGTATCGAGATAAAGATAGTAGGTAGTTACGATACACCAGCAAAGCCGCGGTCAAATTTGTCCCAGGGTCAGATTAAACGAAGCCTTCCTACCATTGCCAGCCACATGAGTCAGATAAGAATCCAACTCAGGATCCTCTTCAATAGGAAAAAAGTGTTCAATCCCATGTTCATCTCGATCCATGCCTTCAATCTTACTGACAATTGCGTAAGGGTATTTAGCCGAGATAAGCTGCCTGAGCTCCTCCATCGACCTGGTGGCTAGTTTCTCAATCCAATTTTTAGGCGGAGGACCCTGTAAGTGACTCTGTGGACTTATTTCAAACGAAATGTGCGTATTCAGAAGATTCGCGTTGATGATGGGGTCCATATATTCGAATCCTCCCCCGACAGCTTCGTGTTGATGTTGCGGATTCGTAGTGAATGACGAAGTGTCATTTGCAGCTTGCAGTAGAGAAGGATCGATTTGCATATCTCCAATATCATGGCCTGTTATCGGTGCGCTGGCGAGGGCTTGTGAGGCGAGTGTACTTATCCCATTACTGATGCCGTTCTCATTCATGCTGCCCATGGAGTGGGGGGTGACAGTGACATTCGATGATGTCTGATTCTGATTCTGATTTCGATTGCTGCGAGGAGTAGACCTTTTCCGCGCCGGATCTCGCTTGGTCTGATCATCGCGCAGTCGTTTCATCACATCTCGACAAAGAACCTCCATCGCCTTCAATTTCATAATATGGCCCGGATCAGCTTGCCCGGGCTCAAGGATTCGTTGAAGTAGTGCCGAACTCCGAATCCACTGAGTTTTCAAATCCTGCCAGTGATCATCACCAGCTTCGAGCTTGCTCGTAAAATGATCCGCACGAAGTGTATCATAGAAGGCATTTCGTATCTGCCGACTTTCCTCCGGATTAATGCCCAGAGCATTTTTCGCCTCGGCAATCGTCATCCGTCGCTCAAGTGTCCTCATCCTCTTTGTCACATCAGTGCAAACAACATCCAGGGCCAACGCCTTCGCATCACGTTGATTAGGCTCGGCATTAAAAACCTGCTGTAGATGCGGCGATTCCTGAATCAATCTGTCCTTAGCTGCTTGCCATCTTTCCGGGCCTGCAGCTGTCTTTTTAACAAAGCCCGTCTCTTCACAAATCCCTTGGAAATGATCCCGTATTTGGCGATACATGGCGTTATCCAGATTGAGGTATTGTTTGCTCTCGTCAATCGTGGTCTCGGATGGAAATCTAGGCGGTCCCGGTGGATCAGCTGGCATTCCTGCCCACCCTCTCGTTCGGCGCCGTCGTTTCCTCGAAGCCCATCGTTCTGCACTTTCTGATTTCAGCTGGTCGAGGCGTTCTTTACGCTTCGCCACGACATCTGCTGAGACTCTGGGTGATGAAGGGTCTTCCATAATTGGCGTTACTGATTGGGATGGTGGTAGAGTATTCCCAAGGTTGTTATTGGCGCCTTCAAAATCCGTATCTTGCTTGTACACCTCCTGTTGTAGAGCGAGAAGGCCTTCATCCTCCTCTGGCTGTTGCTGGGCATTTGTATTTGCATTTTCATCTTGGGCCGTGGTGTTCGTGTTCGTGTTCGATTGCGCTTGCAATTGCAATTGCGATTTCATGCCATTAGGAACACGAAGTAACCAGCGATTCTTCGCGCGCACGCGCATCAACTCTCTTTCTTTAATCTCAAAGCCCTCCTCGTTGAGAATGCGGAGCATATCGCGTTGATTCGTGTTATGTTCCCATAACTCCTTGACGCGTGCGACGAGCTGGACATTTTTATGGGCTGGGTTTTGCTTCGAAGGAAATCCCCATCGTTTGAATTGGGTTTGAAAGGCACGTTTGCTGAGAATCGAATACAAAGGTTAGCTAGCACCAAAGACACTGTTCCAGGGAGAGTAGTATACTTAGAGTGTACACTGTACCCTGTACCCTGCGGGATGGGGATACTCACCTTGGTGCGAACTGATAAGCAGTTCGCATGTACTCCATGATCTCTTCCAGAGCCTTTTTGTCTTGGATGTACATGCGGTAGCAGATGTCCCGCTTACCGGCCCAATCATAAACCATGATTGAGGAGACACTCCCCCGGGTGGAGGTGTGCCTGGGGAAAAAGTGTAGATCCACGAAATGATGGAGCTCTTATCAGGCGGTTGTTGTCGCTGCTGTGCGCCGTAGCGGATGGGGGGGAGATGGGATGCCAGAGGTGCCAGAGGTGCAACTCTCACCGCTTACATTCTGCCGAGATGGCAGAAGTTGTGTGTGCCTCAGGAATATGGCACACACTCATCCCCTTGACTACTTTCGAGATTTATTTCTCAGGTTACTAACTGGGAGTGGGAAAAGATGGTAATAGAAAACGCCAATTCAAATTTGTTTCCATGTGACGAGGCGCAGCCCAAAAATCAATGCGCCATTGCCAAACTCCCAATAATATCAGACCCTCCAGCGTGCAGCTGCATGTATGCCCAAATGAAAATAGAAGAGTAGACTCCCAAAAGCAAGAAAAAAGAACGGAAGATCGCTTCATGGTACGGAGTAAACTATGGACAAACAATAACTTATAAAAAAAAGTGGGTGAGATCAATTGACCTTCTTCAGCTTTCGCCGAAACTTGAACACTCGAGTCCGAAGCCAAGTCATGAAAAGCACCCACGTGCTTTTGGAGTGCGATTTCCATGACTCGGATGGCTGTCCCTCTGACTTGAAAGTCTTAGGCTGGGGCTCTCGCTCATCTGCGTTCGTGTTCCCAGTCTTCTCGGAGACCTCTTCTCCCGACTGAAACGCCGGTGACTCAGGTCCCGGTCCCGGCCCTGCCGACTGTGTACGCTTCACACGGCGTCGAGTTTGCCTTTCGTCGGCCTTTATCTGCTGTTTCTCGAGGCGTCGATTTTTCGCAGCCTCCTTCGCCTCGAACGCTTGTCTGGCGGCCTGAACCGTGGCTTGCCGAGAGACCGGATCAGTGCTGGTCCTCGTTCGAGACCGGAAAACAAAATCGAGAGACGGACGAGAGGTGGGAGACGCCGTATCCAACGTGCTTCCATTGTCGCGGGAATAACCAAATGATGGCCGGCTCGAGATATTTGTCTGCGAGATCCCAGAAAGACGAGTCAGGGAGTCGTCTTCGATCTGCAACGAGAGCCGAGGCATTGGCCCCGAGGAAGCACGATGTGTACGATGGGTCTCCATCACCGAAGGTGTCCGAGACTCCGTTCGAGATTCCGACTCTAAGCCATCATCCTCGCCGTCGCTAGCATTGGGCGATGTCTGGTACGATTGACTCAATGGTGGGGTGTATGCTCTCGGGGTTGGGCGCAATGGATAAACGTATTGCGACGCGGCTGGCTTACCTCCACTCGATCCGGTAGCCGAAGAAAGCTGAGATGTCCCGCTCGTGGACCTATGGTGGAGGCCAGAAGGAGTTCTGCGGTAGGTTACGCCAGTTAGAGATTCACTGCGACGGCGATCTCTTTCGAAGTTCATGTAGATGCCCAGTCCCTCTTGCTCAGTCGAGGATCGGGACAGGTCGATCGAAGTGGACGGCGCATCATCGCGTGACATTTTCCGAAGCATTGGTTTAATATGAACCTTTGGTTTCATGGGCTTGCTCCTCAGCCCCTCAGAGGAATCATTGAACCCCGAGGATGACATGAGAAGGGTTGAGTCGGGGTGCCATGCTGACTCGGTGTCGATCGGCGTCCTCCCTGGGGGATTGGTGGAGCGCATGGATCCTCCTTGTCTCTTTGATTCGGGCGAATTTGAATAATCGGAGTACTCTGGAAAAGACGACGGCTCGCGTGAGGCATCTACATCTAAGGGTGACGGGGCCTGCCCGGCGTCACCAGTCCATTGATCCTCCATGCCCGACGTTCTCGAAGCAGTGCGCATCTTCATTTTCAAATGCGGTCGCGATATTGAATCGGTTGACAGCCGACTACCCTTTCTTGCCGGAAAGGCCGGCTCGCGGGCAGAAGGAATGCCTACACGAGCCATGGCGATCTCCTCCGCGATCTTCACGAGACAAAAGAAGCCTTAAGAATGAGATGCACTGCGCATGATGTTTGGAAAATGGAGGTGGAAGGGAATGGAAAGGTGTTCCGATCGTAGGGGGCGCAGGCAAAGAGCGATTTAGTGGGCGTAAATGGTGGTGGTGGTGCTGGCGCTGGCGCTGGGGGCTGAAGTATCGGACAAGACGGAGCGGGGGCAAAGGCGTAAGCGCGGGGGGGGCAAAAAGGTCACGAAGCTGAAGGTGGTCTGGGTTCCGCTGGCGCATGTCCGAATAAGCACTACTGCCAAAAGGTCACACGTTCAGAGAGAACGGGGGAGGGTAGGGGGGTGTGTAAGAAAATAAGGAGGCTAAAGAAGATAGAAAAATCTTTGGGGGGGAAGAATAGGCCGAGCTCTCCTGAAGTTCGTTGAGGGAGACTCACCGCCGCATGCGGGAAGGAACTTGGGGGAATCAACCGTTGCATTGGGACTTCATTCCACTCTAAGACCTCATCTTTATCTACTACTTCTACTACTCATGGGATGCCCATAGATCCAATTAATCATTCATATCTATGTTCCTCTCCTCTCCAGACCCAATTGACCCATTGACCCCGGCAATGTTACAATCCCATCCTTTTCAGCCCCCCCTGATCCTAGGGCTAGATGAAACCACCACATAATGTACCATAGGCATACACATACACAGACACATACACATACACATGCATATACATATACCCTGGACCCCGGCAACATCCAACATCTCCCTTGCGTTGGACACATGGCAATCTCCACTTGCATGATGCGATGCTGATGGGAAAGGACCCGCCAAGCACAGCCCCCTCTTCCCCCCGCCGCGCTGTAGCCAAGCCAAGAAGCCAAGAGCGCGCATCAACACGCCCAACCCCACCAACCAAGCGGGATGTTGTGCTCCTCATTTTTTAAACCTCCTGAGAGCTTGCCCCTCCTTGCATTTTGCATCTCTTTGTCCTTATCTTTTTGAGCCCCCTCCCATCACCCCCACACCATGGGTTTATCTCTACCGAGCTGGGGCTTTTCCCTTCTCATTCTTCTTGCTTTCTCCGGTCAGGCTTATGCCTTTGGTGCCGGTAATATCGCTTCTTTATCCAAGATCGAGGGTCAGAATTGGCGTCATGGAGATATTGAAGATACCCTTCTGAGTCTCGTCCTGGCCCGTGTTGCTGGTGGCCGCAAGTTCGGCAAGCTTGATGTCAAGCGTGTTTACTTTGGTAACTGGCTTCGTGACTACAGTCAGGCTGTTGATGTGGGCACTGTCAAGTACGTCAGTGCCGAGGCCATTCGGATCCTTATCTGGGTCTTGGGTTTCATGAGCTTTGGGTAAGTTTAACTTTCCATCATCAACGGCCCTGCGGGCAATCTACCATTACTCTACCACCCACTCTAGAAACGTTGGCTAATTTGCTGATAGCTATGGCACCCGCGAGTTCGAAGTCACCACCGAGCGACTGGGTTGCTACCAACCCACCGAACACATCGATAACCCCCAAGGATATGCTGAGGGTGATGATGCCCGACGCTACGATCGCCGCCTTCGTGGTCCAATCGACGAACGCCGCGAACTTTCCATTGACGAACGCACCGGTTTGAAGAACTACATTGCCTCCGAGGACATGGGTATCGATACCTCGGCCGAGCTGATTCGCCGTGTTCTGGGCAAATCTATCCAGCTGGGTCGTCGTTATGCTCGCTCTCGCAATGATGAAGATCTCCACGAGGCTCTTCGCTTACTGGGTACCGGTCTGCACTGCCTGGAGGACTATGCTGCGCACTCAAACTATACCGAACTGAGTCTTCTCGAGCTCGGTGAAAGGGATGTCTTCCCTCATGTGGGTCGCAACACCAAGGTCCAGATCCGTGGTGCCCGCAACCCGGTGTATCCTATTGTGACCGGTACTTTCGGCGGTGTGGACTTCTTCCACTCCGTGCTCGGTGAGCTGTCTGATAAGACCAAGCAGTCGGAACTCCAGAACTTGGAAGGTGTCATCTCCCAGTCAGAGGGTGATAGCCCTAGCCTCCTGCAGGACCTGCTTAGCAAAATTCCGAGCGGATTGATTGGCGACACCGATGACGAAGCTGGTAAAATGGACGATTTCAAGGCCAAGGCGGATGATCAGCGACAGAACAATCAAAACATCAGCCCTCGTGAACCAGAGGAATGGACCCGCTATCTTGACGATGTTCAGAAGCAAATCTACCCTGTTCTCGAGTGGCACGACCAGCTGCTAAAGGGCATCAACGAGGCTATTGAGAAGATCCCAGTTCTCCCAGACCTTATTGAACAAGTTCAGGACCAAATCACCGTCTTCGTCTTCTCCGTGCTAGCACCCTACGTTCTCCCCATCATCAAACAAGTCAAGGCCGAGCTGGAAACTGGCTCTTCGGAAGTCATCCAGAGCAGTCGGGAGCAGCAACACATCGTCTTCAACGACGACTCCTCTTCCAACCCCACCCATTCCATGCTCTCCAAGGACCACTTTTCCAACCTCCTCAATGAGCCCGCTGGTCGAATTGCATCCAGCGTGGTGAAGTGGGCTGTTCCCCAGCTGATGCAGTGCTGGGACGATGAGAACGCCGACGTCGATCGAACCCTGACGAGAATCATCACTGGAGTCTTCCACCACCCCGCTCTCCGCGAATATGGAGACGACGGCGCCAACGAGATGCGTCAAATCATGTTCTCCACGGTAGAGCAATGGTGGGGCGAGCACAGCGAAAGAGAGCGTGGCTCTCTTCGCGACCAATTGAGCCGAGACGGCGTTCTCCATGGCCGTAACCACAAAGAGGGCGTTGAAGATTGCGGACATGGCTGCGGTAAGCCTATTGCCTTACCTGGAAAGAAGCAATCTGGCGGAAGCGGTAGCGGCAGCGGCCACAGCCAGGGCCAGGGCCGCCAATATAAGAACGATTCCGGCCTGGAAAAGGTTGCTTCCGAGGCCGTCGGGGGCGGTGCCCTTGGTGGCCTGGTCGGTGGCCTTGTGGGTGGAATAGGCTCCATGGTTCTCGATGGTGGTGGTTCGGACGAGCGAAAGAGCAGTCCTAAGCCGCGCCGAAACAAGGACGACAGCGATGACGAGAAGAAAGAACGACACCATCGCCCCAAGCCTCGCAAGGACGACTCCGGCGATAGTGATGAGGAGCGTGAGCGTCGCCAACGTCACAAGCCCCAGCGTCATCAGTCTCCTAGACGCGAGGAGCGTCACGAGCAGCAATCTTACGGCGAGGCTCCATCGCGCTATGGACGTTCTGAGTACCAAAGCGAAACCCAGACTCCTTCTTATGGCCAGCAGCCTAGTAGTCGTGATGATTACTCTTCGCGTCGTCCGGAGACTGGTGGATATCAAAGTGAGGCCCCGTCCTACGGTGGTTCTAGCGGTGCTTCCTATGGTGGTGGTGCTTCTTACGGTGGCTCTGGCGGTGCCTCCTACGGTGGTGGTGGAGCTTCCTACGGCGGTGGTGGAGCTTCCTACGGTGGTGGTGGAGCTTCCTACGGTGGTGATGGAGCTTCCTACAGCGGTGGTGGAGCTGCCTACGGTGGTTCTGGCGCTTCCTATGGTGGCGCTGGTGGTGATTCCTACGGCGCTTCTGGACGTGACTCCTACAACGAGCAACCAGTCCGTCGCAACGATTACCCACCCGCCCCTCAAAACTACCACCGCGAGGAATACCACCAGTCTGCATCTGGTAACAGCAGCATCTACCAAGAGGAAAGCCGACAGACTTACGGCGGTTCTCGTACCGAATACCAGCGTACCGAAACACGCCATGAGTACTCCCCTCAGCCGACCTATGAGTCTGTGCAACAGAGTTCCTACAGCCGTGGAGGATATGAGCAGTAAGTGTCAGATGTATTGACATTATAGACAAATTCAATGCTAATATAGTTTAATACAGGGATTCATCGTCTGGCTATGGTGGACAGGGACAGCGCGGCAACGATGAATACGGAAGACCCGCTTATCAGTCCCAGCAAGAGAGCTACGGTGGCGGCAGTCGTGGAGGTGTCGAGGTCGTCGAGCGTCGACCTCGAGGATCCGGTGGCTCTCGCTCTCGCTCTCGTAGCCGTAGCGACTCTCGCAAGCGTCACCACCATCACCACCACCGCCGTGGCTCTGGCTCGGGATCGGATTAAGTGGGAAGCTTTTCAATTCGGGTTTATGTGCTTTTTCTTTGGTGTCAATTACCATTTCTTGATCTCGCCAGGCGCGGGCTGTTCAATTCGAACGACCTTGTCACAATTGAGCAGACGCAGAGGATCATAAGCCAATTTTAACTAAAGTTTGTGTGTTAGTCGTCATCCGTGAATAGGTAGAAATAGGTAAAAGATTGAGATTTTTCAAACTTACCCGGCGCATGGCATCAACTGTAGTCTCACCCAGCTCATGGGCAAGATAATCCCGCTTCACGAGACCGACGCCGTGTTCACCTGTCACGGTTCCCTCCATCTCCACGGCACGTTTCACCATGCGGTGAACGACGCCCTCGGCAACATCCTTCTCGCCATCATTAAATAAGATGATAGCTGTAGAGTGTCAGAATCAGAATCACACGGTAAAAGGGATTGTAATGCATTGCAACGCAAGCCTGCTGCCATCCTAGGGAAGACTTACCGTGGAAGTTCCCATCACCAACATGACCACAAATACCAGCCAAAAGACCACTCTCCGTCATATCGGCCTTCGTCGCCTCAATGATATCAGGCAACTTACTCATCGGCACCGCGACATCCGTCGTCCAAACATGATCATCAGCACCACGTCGCATAGCCATAACACTCCACAAGGCCTCCTTCCTCGCACTCCAAAGTTCGGTCATTTCCTCCTCACCCTTGGCAAATTCGAACGATTTTCCAGAAGCCTTGTTCGCAAGTTTCTGCACCATACCAATCTGCTCCTTCACCGCGGCGGGGGTACCAGTAAACTTGAAAAAGATAGTCGGCGACTCCTTCCACTGCCGACTAGTACTCTGACTAGCATTGATACACTTCATCTGGACATCGTCCAGAATTTCCACGCCAGCAACGGGGATACCGGCCTCAACAACACTAGTAACGCACTCAGCCGCGTTGGCGATACTTCCGAAAGACGCAACAGCGACATTCGTGCTCTGTGGCTTAACGGTTAATTTCAGCGTAGCCTCAGTAACAAGACCAAGAGTTCCCTCGGACCCAATAAAAAGCCTCGTCAAATCATAACCAGCGCTCGACTTGCGCGGACGCTGCCTCGTCTTAATAACAGTTCCATCAGCAAGGACGACCGTCAAACTAAGAACCCACTCGCGCATCGTTCCGTATCGGTACGCATTCGTCCCACTACACCCCGTACCAACCATACCACCAATCATAGCGCCGGGACCCGGGTCCGGAGGGAAAAATAGCCCATCCTTGGCAAGTTCCTCATTCAAATCCTCCCATCCAAGCGCCGGTTGAACAACAACGTCCAAATCCCGCTTATGCAGAGAAAGAATTTGATCCATGCGGCGGAAATCAATACAAACCCCACCTCTAGTAGGCGCGAAATGGCCCTCGAGACTAGTTCCACCCGAGTAAGGCGTAACGGGAATGAGACGGGCGTGGCAGATTTTCATGCAGCGGGATACCTCTTCGGTGGTGGAGGGGTAGAGGATTAGGAAGGGCTTTTCATTTTCTTTGGCGGAGTAGGAGGACCAGTCTGAGCCGGAGTGGGATTCTAGATCGCCTGCGTTTGTTGAGACGTTTTCTTTGCCGAGGATTTCGGCAAAGTCTACCCATGCTGCTTGGAGATTTGAGGGGGTGACGTTGTGTCTGGGTGCGTCGAGGTCTTGGAGGGTTGTTGTGGAAGATGTGGGGAGAGAGGCGGGTTTCAGGGAACCTAGGTAATATGCGCCGGATGAGAAGAATACCAGTGCTGGAGAAGGGAAGGGAGGTGTTAGTTACTTGATTCAATTCAATTCCAATCGCAGTTCGCGGAGGGTTTTTTTTGGATCTCAGAAAATTGACGGAGGGTTTGGGACTGGATATCATTCCGACTTACCGAACATCAGGGCGGCATAGCGACCGCCAGGAGATTGGGTCTGCTGGTATTGCGCAAAACGCTCTTGTTCAGCTCGCTCGCGCTTGAGACGTTGCTGGGTGCTCTCGTAGAGCTGGCTTTTGAAGGAGGGCTGTTGCGACTGCTTGTCCTTGTCGTTGGCTAAGCAGCGAGATGATACGCCGAACAGTCTCTGTTGTGGGAGTGTAAGAGGGCGGGCGCGAAGATTGCGGAGGGCGCCTCGGAGGGCGGGGGTATTTGTGCGAGCCATCATTGGGAGTATGGCTGCAATAGAGCTGGTGGAGGAGGAAGAGGTGAGGAGAAGAGGAGGAGAGGAAGAGGAGAAGCTCCGGGTCTTGGCGGAGCGGAGCACGGACATTATCATCGAAAGGCCTGGCGTGCTTCGAGGGAGCGATGGCACATTGTAACTAACCTACAGTAGTAGGTTTATAGTTGATCAGTTAGTGGTTAGATATAATTAGATATAATTAGATATAATTAGATATAGATAGAGTAATTTACTAGATATAAGTCTAGAATTGGGTTAATAGATGGGTATTTCGGAGTCTATCGATATAGGCTAATTGTACTGTCATCATCTGTCTCAGCACCAGTATAGTTAACTACGACAGTACTCCATAGTGGTAACTACAATCAGTTCTCTGCTATTAGGTATGATCTCATCCTCTACCGGTCAGACTATTTGGTAGTTCCGAGTCCGTACCAAATGTCTGTCTCTGTTTCTGTTTCTGTCTCTGCAGCTCCACACTCGGCCGACAATACCGACAATACCGACAATACCCCCAGGCAAAAGGCAAAAATCGGGTAAAGAGCCCCCCCCACGGTTAAAATCCCAATTGGATCCACCGGGGGAAGGTCGCCCGACTGTTAGTTACTAGTAGTAGCTTTGTTACTAACACTACGTAGTAGTAGTACTAATACTGCGGGGAGCTACAGCTCGGTTCAATTCATTTCACACATTTTGCCGGTTTATAGACCACCTGACTCCTCGCTTTTTTCTCTCGACTTTTCTTCTCTATATTCTATATTCTATCTCCTCCTCTTCCTAAAATTCTCCTCTCCTCCATATTCACAATGACTTCAGCTGCCACTGCCAAGGTATGAACACTGCTATGCTACGCAAAGCGCGGGGCTATCCCAGATTTGCCCCGCCGTCCATCTCTCCTTCTTCCCCGGAAAATACACAACGCCATACTCGTACAGGTCACCCGGACTAACAGCTCAATTGAACCAACAGAACCTTTCCTTCGTTTTAGAAGGAATTCACCAGGTCAAGTTCGAAGACCGCCCCATCCCCGAGCTCAAGAACCCCCACGATGTCATCATCAACGTCCGCTACACCGGTATTTGCGGCAGCGATGTACGTATTAACATCCTATCAGTGTTCCTCGGCCTATATCGCCGAAGCCATCTTTCCCCCAAATCTCTTTTATAAGCAAGCTAACCCCCCCCCTCTATAGGTCCACTACTGGGAACACGGCTCAATCGGCTCCTTCGTTGTAAAAGAGCCCATGGTCCTCGGCCACGAATCCGCCGGCATAATCACAAAGATCGGATCATCCGTAACATCCCTCAAAGTCGGCGACCGAGTCGCAATGGAACCGGGCATCGCCTGCCGACGCTGCGAACCCTGCAAATCCGGCAAATACAATCTCTGCGAAAACATGGCTTTCGCAGCAACCCCACCCTATGACGGAACTCTCGCAAAGTACTACACCCTCCCTGAAGATTTCTGCTACAAGTTGCCCGATGCGCTGTCGCTGCAAGAAGGCGCTCTTATGGAGCCGCTGAGTGTAGCTGTTCACATTGTGCGCCAGGCTTCCGTGTCGCCGGGTCAGAGCGTTGTTGTATTTGGCGCTGGTCCGGTTGGATTACTTTGTTGCGCGGTTGCGACTGCGTTTGGGGCATCTTCTGTTATTGCCGTTGATATTCAGCAGAGTCGTCTTGATTTTGCCAAGAACTACGCTACCACGTCGACTTTTATGCCAGGAAAGGTATCCGCGATCGAGAATGCGGAGCGTATGAAGAAGGAGAATAACCTCGGTGCTGGGGCGGACGTTGCCATTGATGCCTCTGGTGCCGAACCTTCCGTTCACACTGGTATTCACGTCCTTCGTAATGGAGGCACGTATGTCCAGGGTGGAATGGGGCGCAGCGAGATCCAGTTCCCGATTATGGCGGCCTGTTCTAAGGAACTTACTCTCAAGGGTAGTTTCCGCTATGGCAGTGGTGATTATAAGCTTGCTGTTGGACTTGTTGCGAGTGGGAAGGTTGATGTTAAGAAGTTGATTACTGGGACTGTTCAGTTTGAGGAGGCTGAGCATGCTTTTAAGGAGGTTAAGGCTGGTAAGGGGATTAAGACTTTGATTGCTGGTATTGCGGAGTAAAGAAGGGGTGCCCTACAGAGCGGGTCCTTTTTGATAATGTCGCCTATGATGATGGTTTTTAAATGGTGTTTTGTGGTTGAATTCAAAAATGGGGATGGGATGGTGTCTAGAATTTGATTGATGAGTTGTGTTTGGGAATCGGTTGGAAGCGAGAGAAGACAACAAAAACATTAAAATCAAATGAAATCAAATGAAACGAAATGAATAATAAAAATAAAAAGGAAAAAGAGTCGAATCAGAACTCAAACTCAAACTCAATCCCCGAGTAAAGTAACTCAACTAAACCAATTCCACCCTCTGAGAGACTAGGGTAATATGACGACGTATCTGCAGAACAATAATGAACGAAAGTGCAAAATAGGGGGTATCGTGCAGGAATATTCAACGAAAGACAAGTCCGAAGGAAGGAGAAGAGACCAAAAAAGAAAAGAAAACAACAATGCAAAGCAATGCAGTGCAGTGCAGGTTCAACCAAAGAAACACATGGGGTGGATCGCATCACATCGTATCGCATCTAGCAACAGCCCTGATTTCTCCGCGATGATGAACCACCTAGACGAAAGACATCCTCCCATTCTCTCATCCCACCCATCCAACCCTGCCCCTGCGTAGGCCCCTTCCCTCGCCGCCGCGACGTCCGATGAAGAGGCAAAGAATTATCATCCAGTGTAGCCCTGCTCCGAATACTCGACGCATCACTCGTCCCATGACCAAATAACCCACCATCACCATATTGAATACCACTCTGGGGATCGTCAGGATCAATCTCCCCCAATTCAATCTTAGTCAAGATGATGCGCGCCAGTCGCTGGAATATCTCCTCAACACCCTCCCCCGTTAAGGCAGAGACCTCCACCGCCACGGGTATATTAGACTGAGCCGCCCACCGCGACGTATCCTCGCTGCTCACGTCTCTCCCCTCCGCAAAGGTAGCAGTCAATCTTGTACCAGCGTTGATCTGACTCGTTGAGCGGATCGAGCTCGATCCTCCGCCTACGCCTATATCGAAGGGCATAAAGGACTGCTTGCTCGAGGTAGTGCTGGACGGAGTTGGCGGCGGGCGCATTTCGTCCGGAAAGTCTGAAGTTGTCGCGTTTGTGTCGGCTAGGTCGGCCTTGTTACCGGCTAGTAGGACGGTCAAGTTCGGGGAGGCGAGGGCGCGAGCATCCATGAGGAAAGTCGGGAGCGCAGCGAAGGAGGCGTAGGAGGATACATCGTAGATGAGAATAGCGCCCGCTGCGCCGCGGTAATAGGATCGGGAGACTGATCGGAATCGTTCGGTGCCAGCGGTATCCCAGAGTTGGAGCTTGATTCGTCTTCGTCTGGAGCCAGTGCCTAGTTTGACTATTCGGGAGGCGAATTCGACTCCGATGGTTTGCGAGGAGAGGATGCGCCCTGGAACGTGGTGGGGATATATTAGCGATGGGTGAGGTGGAATGGAATGGCGGGGGCCCTGGGGTGCTTACATTCATTCTTGACGAATCGGTGTAGTACACAAGATCTGTGAATCGGAAGTTAGCACATGCGCATGGCAGAGAATGGATCCATTTGTGCAACGTACTTGCCGGCACCACTGGGACCGAGTAGAATGATTTTGGCGAGGTAATCGTACATGCTCCCCAGTTCCTGGAAAATGATCAGCGCGGAGCGGGGGTAAGGGGGGCCGGGGGAACCGGATAGGAGGGCACAAGGCGCAAGAGTGTACATACCTGATCCTGATCAGGAACGGAGGAGACCGAGGAGGATGTAGACAGACCTCGAGGACGCATTGCCGCGGAGGTGGATGAAAGAGGAAGTCGAGTGGAAGTCGAAGAGAAAGTCCCGAGGCAGTGCACGTCCTTATCTTTCTTAGTATTGGGGGACTACCACTACGAGTGACTAGTTTCTAATAGTACGAGTACAACTATTGAGTATTGAGTATTGAGTACGGAGTATAGCTAGTAGTATGAGGTAGAGTATTATTTGAATAATTATCCAAGGCATAAAATATAGAATAAAATAATAAAATAATAAAATAATAAAAAATAATGACAAATGGTCACTCTGTTAGTAATAAATAAGCTATGAGGCTGTGAGTGCCAACTGCGCCTTGCTGGGCGCTTTTCTTAAAGGATTAGTGGATGTGGATAAGCAGGAGTACTCCTTGTATCAAACATCCTATTGATCCATTCACTTCTACGCTATACGCTATACGCCACTCTCCACTCTCCGCTCTGTGATTCTTTCTCCAAGGAACCCTCTCGTATTGTTTGGGGGCCATCGCCACCTAAGGCACTACCTGAGGCACCCTCGCATGAAGTCATTCTGACGCTCAAACTCTGGAAAAGGTAGTATTCTGGAACTCTGACTCGTACAAGCTCCTTGACGTGGCGGCGGGAGAATGTAATGGGCTCCGCTCGTTCTCGTTCAGGGTAAAGTTCAGGGTAAACTCAGGGTCCCTGGCCCTCCGGGGGCTGTGCCGAGCCTTTTCTCGTCATCTTTTCTCTTTCTCTTTTAAAGAACTTGAACTTGCTTTTTCCTCTCTGCACCTAGCAAATCCCTGCATCTATCTACACTCACCTTCAACCACTGTCGCATCCATCTCAACTTCAACTTCAACTTCAACTTCAACTTCAACTTCACACGAGTTTCACACTTCACTGTTTACACCATGAAGTTGGCCTGGGCAACCTCTCTCCTCCTACTGGGCTCCACCGGTGTCACTTCTTTGTCGATTCCCCACCTCGACATCAGTCTACGTGATACTATTCTCCCCGCCGACCATGAATACATCGATCTAGAAAAGCGACGCGGCGGTGGAGGTGGTGGTCGCGGTGGCTCCAGTTCCAGTTCCGGCTCTAGCTCCAGTTCTGGCTCCAGCTCTGGCTCCAGCAGTGGTGGCAGCAGTGGTGGCAGCAGTGGTGGTCGATCAGGTAGCAGCTCCAGTGGCAGCAGTGGTTCCAGTGGCAGTGGCAGTACCAGTTCTGGTAGCAATCGAGGCGGCTCTTCCGGCGGTGGCTCTGGCGTCTCCCCGTCGTATGGCGGTGGAAGGTATGGTTCATCCGATTCTTATGGCTCGTCTTATGGCTCGTCCGATTCCCATTCCCATTCACACAACACCGTCGGCCATTCTAGTGGTGGACATTCCTCCGGTTCAACTTCCCCTCGTGGCTCTGGCTCTCGTCCCTCACACGCAGGGTACTCTCCCTCATCCTGACCGTGGACTTTACATAGTCCCGGATCTGGACAGTTCCCCCTCATCCACCTACACCCCATACCCATACGAAGAACGCCACCAGAAGCTAACTGATCCCCACAGGTACTACTCCGGTGGCGCGCGCACTCCCTACTCAGCAGGTCGAGCCTCACCTCTAGGAGTAACTCCATTCCTCCTACCCGTAGCAGCACTGGCCTTCTTCCCAGGAATCTGGCTATACGGTGCCTATGCGTATCCCTACTCACACCCATACCACTACGTCAACAATACCAGCAACCATAACGACACCATCCCCGTGGTTTGTCTGTGCGAAGAGCACCAGGAGTGCGGATGCGACGATAACAACAATAGCACCTACTACGAGTCCCTCTTCAACGGCACCGAGCCGAAGAACTCCACCAACGTGCGCGTTGTGACTGTCAACGGTACCGAGAAGATTTATATTAACGGTACCCTTGCCAACGGGACTACTGCGGATGATGGGTCTTCGTCGGGGGCTTCGCCCGCGGTTATGACCCTTATGCACGCTAGTGGATACTGGTTGACTTTTGCCATTGTGGCTGCTACTGTTTCGATGATCTAAACGACTCGAATCGACTCGACTCGACCTCGCCTCGGCCTCGAGAGCCCTTCAGCGCATGAGCGCACTTTCCCTTGCTGTTTTCTTCTGAAGAGTAAAAAAATTGCTTCTCTTTCCTCACTAGGCTTGTTCATTGCTCTTGGCTGCTTTGCTGGGGCATGCCAAGATTGCTGGCGGCACGATATGACTTGACTTGACTTGACATGACTGGGCTGGATGTCTCTGTATTTTTTAGATACCCCGATGCTTAATGATGCTGAACAATGCCGCGACTCTATATACATAGCTTGAGCATTGCTTTAATATATTCTATTACCCTAATCTCTGCAATAATTATTAAATCAATAATTAAAATTCTGTAATTGCACTCCACTACAACCAACTTCACATTCCGCCCGTCGCGCGGTTACGTATCAAGCTAAACCCAAACAGAAAAAGCCCCCCCCCTAAACACTGGGCCTTCATTTCCCACTTCTCCCGTGTCAAAGGGTAACCTTCTTCTCTTCTCTCCCACAACTCTCCTGACTTTTCGAAGCAGTGCCATTCGTTTCACCCAGACACGGGCTGTCGCATTCCTTTCCAGCTCCATTCACTCTTTACATTTAATCTCTACGAAACCAACCCTATACTCCAATCTATACCCAACTCTCACCAATCTAAACAACCCCACAACAACAACACAATGCACTTCGCAAAGTCCCTCATCCTGCTAGCCACAGCCCTGGCCCCCGTCGCCATCGCCGCAGAGGCAGCAGCCGCAACTCCTTCCTGCGTCACCCAAACCCTCACCCTAGTTCACTCGGGCTACGTGACTCCCACCCCGACCCCAACCTCAACCGTGACTCCCAGCTCGACCAGCACTCCCACACCCACTAGCACTCCTCTCTCCTCGAGCGCTAGTGTCAGCTTCAGTCGCACTCCTAGCTCCTCGACTCCACTGGTCAAGTCTACTGCTGTTCCCGTCAAGCCTAACACCGAGACTGGAGCTGCGCCTGCTTCGACTTCCGCTCCCGCTAGCGGTGCTGCCTCGCTCCAGGTTTCTGGCGCTATGGCTGGTGTTATGGCTGTTGCTGGTTTTTTGATGGTTTAAATGCCATCACCATGGGCTTGTCTCGGCATTGAGTCGCATTGGGCTCGAATTGGAAGTACGTGACGCGCAAATGGATCGTGATCGTGATCGCGGATCTTGAAGATCCCAAACCAGACGCTGGATGAAATGGAATGGACAGCCGGGGTGCTGTTCAGTTCAATTCAGTTCAGAACGGCAACAAATCATCCTTGATTGTCCACACCCTACCCACATCTCAAATTCTCCCATGTTTTTGTGAACCGAACTTCTTTTCTCCCCTGGCCGGGCCGATTTTCTTCTTCTGATTTGATCACATTTACTCTTTCACGGTCCGGCTCTTCTACTTCTTCCATACATATTCTTTTCCACATACGCCTTTTTTTATCCTCGATGACCACGTGAATATTCTAATATTCTCCTTGATGTGTTCTCCGACCCCCCCTTTTTGATGCCAATACCCTTCTACTATCTTACCTTATCTTTCTTTCAAGAAATCCACATTTATTTATTCCTTCCAAGAATATCTATTGCTTAATCTATTCTTTAATTGTTTTTAATGAATGGGTTGGGTTCTGTTTGATATCTGATTCACTCGAGGCCGACATCTCTGTACATTGTAATGAATGTATGTTTGTACTCCGGGCAGATGTACAGCAACATTCGAAATTGGCTTCCATGCTTTACACACAGAAACTATCTCAACCCCTAACACCAAGACAATAGTGAAACGGCCTAGTCCAGATAAGCTAGGTTGCAGATCATCCTTGTTTTGAACAGTGTTGACGTATGGTACGGAACATCGGACATAATACGGCCCCATAGGTTACCCGTTTAGTCGAATCAAACCAAGACTTGTTGGCCATAGGCTCTTACAATCTGATATTAAATGCCTTGATAGATACGAGCTACTTCCTTGATACTACTATGCCTACTGTATTACGAAGCTAAGTATTTTGGTGAACATGACAGAATCTGAAATGCTAGACAGTATATCCAACTGCACGTGAAACAGAGCTATTCAGTTTTGCAAAGAAAGATGTTAATTTGGTTTTTACTTTTCACTATCCCCAAGCAAAAATGAATTCTAGAATAATTGAAGAAGATTCTTAATTTCTGCTAAAGAGGCGCGAGAAGATTGTGCGCCCACCGTCTCCGCCAGTGTCACCCTCCCCACTCCATTTGTTTAAAGTAGACTTGGAAGACATGGTATGCGGATGGCCAGGGCCTAGTTTTCGGTCACAAAGTCGAACACAGTCGGCCATCAACAACAAAGCGGCTGTGTTTTGGCCCAAAGACCTAAGGTCGTGAGCTAGATTGTGCATACTTGTCAGTGTTTCGGGATGATCAGCGCCGAGTTTCGCCTTTCTCATCTCCACGACCTGCACCTCGAGCCGCTTGGCCTCTTGCCACCGGCCCTGGCGCATATAGATCGACGCCAGATTGCCCATGGTTGCCAGCGTGCTAGGATGGTCGGCGCCGAGCTTTGTCCTGAAAGTCTCCATGACCTTTACGTTAAGTTGCTCCGCCTCTTCCAACCGGCCCTGGTTCTGATACATTGACGCCAGATTGGCCATGCTGATCAACATATAAGGATGGTCGGCGCCCAGCTTCGTCTTGCTCGTCTCCATGATCTTTACGTTAAGCTGCTCCGCCTCTTCCAACCGGCCCTGGTTCTGATACGTTGACGCCAGGTTGGCCATGCTGATCAATGTGCTAGGATGGTCAGTGCCCAGCTTCGTCATGCTCTTCTCTATAACCTGCACAAAGAGCTGCTCCGCCTCTTCCCACCGACCCTGATTCTGATACGTTGACGCCTGGATTGGCCATGCTGATCAAAATATAAGGATAGTCAGCACCGAGCTTCATCTTGCTCTTCTCTATAACCTGCATAAAGAGCTGCTCCGCCTCTTCCCACTGGCCCTGGTGCTGATACGTCGACGCCAGTTTGGCCAAGCTTATCAACATGTCAGGGTGGTCGGCGCCCAGTTTTGTCTTGCTCTTCTCTATAACCTGCACAAACAGCTGCTCCGCCTCTTCCCACCGGTCCTGGCCCTGATACGTTGACGCCAGGTTGGCCATGCTTGTCAACGTGTGAGGGTGGTCGGCGCCTAGCTTCATCTTGCTCTTCTCTATAACCTGCACAAAGAGCTGTTCCGCCTCTTCCCACCGGCCCTGGCAACTATACATCAACGCCAGGTTGCCTATACTCGTCAGCGTTTCATGGTGGTCAGCGCCCAGCTTCGTCTTGCTCGTCTCTATGACCTGCACAAAGAGCCGCTCTGCATCTTCCCACCGGCCCTGGTACCTATACGTCAACGCCAGATTGCCCATGCTCGTTAGCGTGCTAGGATGGTCGGCGCCGAGCTTCGTCTTACTCGTCTCTATAACCTGCACAAAGAGCTGCTCCGCCTCTTCCCACCGGTCCTGGCACCTATATATCAACGCCAGGTTGCCCATACTCGAAAGCGTGTCAGGATGATCCTCGCCGAACTTCGTCTTGAGAGTCTCCATGATCGTCTTGCGAGCCTCCATGACCTGCACCTCGAGCTGCTCCGCCTCTTCCCATCGTCCCTGGAGTCGGTGTACGCTCGCTAATATCGCAGTGCTATCGAGGGTCTCTTCACCATCTGAGCCAAACAGTGACGCCCTTTCGTTCCTCGATTTAGATGCCATGTCTATTGACTCTGCTATTTTGCCGCTTCCCCGTGCATACCATGCCCCCTTGTGAAGCAACGTAGCCCATTTTCGTAGACATTCTTCTGATTCCGGTCGTTGTGACATGACTGATTTCACATGTGGAAAGAGCGACTGACATTTTGCCCAGTTTTCAAATTCACCTGTAGGAAACCTTTGCCACAGGATCATAATAAATTGTTCCTTCCATCGCTCTAGATGTCCATCAGCTTCCAACCATATACGTACGGTAAGTTGCACTAGCCGATGCATCGTAAACACTGTGCTGTCGTTGTTGATAGAAATAAATGAAAAGTCTCTTAATGTTGTAATATCATCCTCAAAATTGTGATCCACACTAGAATAGGGTGTACTTTTCGTATCATCCTTACTATAATCGAGCGTAGTCTCCTCTGAGCTCGGATCGTCGCCTTTTATCTTATAATAACCTCGAAAAAGATCCTCTGATATTGCCTGTCGGTCAAAAAAGCTCATAAGAGAGAGCAAATCAGTAGCGGATGGTCTCATTTGTCGAATATGATCAAAGGATATCTTCCATGTGGCCAGAATCGAGTTCCTTGCCTCCCAATCTCGATAATGATGACCTGCCTCATAATCAAGAAGCTTTGTCGCTTCGCAATCATTTTCCCGAAGAATCTCTCAGGTACTGCGACACCGAGCAGCGGGGCGCTCGATGTACAATATAGCCGGCTGCCTGTATGATCGCTAGTGGCATAAACTCCAGTTCTTCCACTAAGTTCACAATATCAGGGGTTTCCACTTGGAGTCTCAGCTTTCGTTGGAGAAGTTCTATCGCCTCGGCCTTTTTCATTGGTTCGATTTTAATGATGTCTTGGCGATCGACAATTTTCAGTGCTACCTCTTGGTTCCGACTTGTGATCATTATTGATCCTTTTTGGCTTCGGGGGAGAAATGCTAATAGTGGCTTTGTCGAGGTGTTGATTTGGCCGACCTTTAGACCCTGCTGCCCCGTTGCCGGGGGCTGCTGAAGGAACCGATCATCATCAACATTATCAAGAATCAGTAACCAATTTCCTCTCTTGCCATCCCGGAGCCAGCTTTCGACCAGTTGGAATATGTTGACTGTTGGATCATGACGCCAAGGAATTTTGGCCTGGTCGGCGATATCCCGGAAACTTTGCTCGAACCGAGCCGCGTTACTTGCGTGGACCCAGAAAACCCATGTCGCCGGCGATTGGCATCGGACTCGATAAGAGTATTCGATACTAAGTTGCGATTTCCTGTTGATCCTGTGAGTACTAATTCGACCGCTGACCTGTGTGCACTGACCCGACGCCGCCGATGCCCACAAGAGATATCCTAGACCCTGGGACTGAGACCTTCTTATGTATCTGATCGAGCAGTGAGTCGCGACTGACAAAGTCTGGGTCACGACGGAACGGGACAGTCGATAGAGGGGTTGGTGGAGTTTCCGGTTGCTCTGGGCCAATATTAGTCAATTTGAGCTTGGTAAGGGTCTTGTGAAACCTACCCGGGGGCGGATATATCGATCCATAATTGACTCCCATCTGGTAACCCCGGTTTTCGTCACCAAACGATACTATATATGAAGGTGCCATAGCTAATATGCCAGTACTCCCTGCCTTGGTTTCTGGGGTAGATGAAGGTCCCAATTTGGGCGGAGACTCCATCCTCAATCTCACTATCAGGTGATCTTTCGGGCGCTAAGATATGTCATGTTGCTCGATTCTATTTTAGAAAAAAGATCTAAAAGATCTAGACGGCTTTTTCTCTTCAACCATGAAGAAATATCATTGGATGCTGAATATGGATATGATACCTGGCAAGTACAGTAACAACTTGAACATTGTAGGGGAGAGAGGACATAAGTAAACTTGGGTAGGAAAGGAAATTCTATCTACTACATATTCCCCAAATCACTGGCAGGAGAACAAGAAAACAAATATAGTACAGAAAAAAAGAGAAGAAAAGAAAGGGCGCTTGATATCCTATCCGTCACTATTGAGTAGAGCGCGTCTGTCTCTGTGTAGGATCCCTTTCTTTACTCCTTGTCACTCATCGCAGCCTCGTATCTAAATGTAAATATCAGGTTAGCCACCGCCACAATTTCCACGAGGGGAAAGAACAATAACATACCTCTTTCCACGGAACCCCCACAACCCCCAATTTCCACACGAAATATCGTGAGGATCCATATCATTCAAATCCCACCTCAAACTTCTGAAGATATTCTCCCCAGGTTCAAGCAACATATCAAATTCGCCCTTGCACTTCTCATTCACCCACTTAATATCCCTCTCCATATCCCACTGCGTATAACCCGTGCAAAGAATAGGAACCTTTGTCTCAAGTAACTGGGGCAGGGTCTCCTCCCACTCATGCGAACTGGCAGGATGTCCAAGACCAGGATGGAACAGCATAAAGACATCGAGATAAGGATCGAAGGGCTGGAAATACTGCGCCTGATACATAGTGTGGAAGTAATCAACATAGGTAGTGATCTTCATCTGGCCGCCGAGACGGTCCTCGACGATACCGCCGAAGGGGTTCTCCGGGGTTCGTTCGGGGAGGGGGAATTCTGCGTCGCGGTTTGACATGCTCTCTGGTCCGATGAAGACGAGGTTGATTAGCGAGCGCGGGAACATGTATTGTAGTTGCAGCCAGACGTCGCGGGGAGGGAGGATTCGGCGCGTGCGCCGAGGATGAAGATTCGGACTGGGGGGGGCTTTGAGGCGGAGGCCTTTTAGGTCGATGCTTTCGCCGGTTCGGGGTGGGTGGAGGGAGTAGCGGAGGGCTGGGAGTAAGTTGAGTTAGCGGGTCGGTTATTGCTGAAGTGTGTACAATTCAATCCCCTTCTCTTCTCTTTTATCCATGAACTGGACTGGGCTGGGCTGGGCTGGGCTGGGAAACACTGAATCAACATACCAGAAACACTCTTCAATCCCTCAGGCGTCAACCGATCCTTTCCCCGAATACTGTACGGACTAAGCTCATGCAAAACACTAGCAATAGTCTGCGGGTAAGTAAGCATGCGCGTAACCTGACGCATGGAGCGATCATCATTAACAGCGTCAAATTCACGGGTATACATGAGTGTATCCCAATTTGTCATGTTAACCACGAAATTATCATCCTGAACACCGGGGTAATTGAATTCCGGGAAGAAGCGACCAGACTGGAGATCATGGTCGTCCTCATTGATTTGTCGAAGCGTGTCACAGATCCCCAGATGAGCTTCAAAGTCGTCCATCCAGTGTCCCTCGGAGCAGTAGACCGGTACACCGCAGTCCGGGCACTCGAAGTGCGAGTGGGCTGGGGGTAGACTGCTGCCACCTGCAGTTGCATCCACAGTCTGAGTCTTTCGCGATTCGGGATCGTGCGGCGAGACGGGGGCACGAGTCTGTGCGTGATCTGGGTGAGGGCAGAAAGCGTTTTGTTTGATGAATGCGGCTCGCTGGCGAATTGCTGGCGAGGGCGAGTTCGAGAAGGAGTGGAATAGATTGTCGGGTTTCAGCAGGGCTCGCGTGTCGACGGAGGGGCCGGTGGAGGTTGAGGCGGATGCTTTCTGCGACAGGGAGGTAGGCGATTGAGATTGAGACTTTGCCGTAACACCACCCTTGAGCTGCTCAGAGGCGTTTCCACCGAGTGGGCGGTTGTTGCGCTCGGAGCCAAAGCTGCGAGTCCACGATGGGCTGATTGCACATCTTCGGCGGACGTGGGCTAGGCTTTGCAGGCGTGCGGGTGTATGGGATGATACCCGCACGCCTTGACGGAGTACCTGAAGGCACTGGGCACAGGTGTAGCCTGTTGCCATTGTGAATTGGTGGTGATGGGGCAGGTAGAGCTAAAGCATGTGGTTGATCCCGGCCGTTTTTCCTCGAGGGCCGCGTTCACGTGACCTGGATGTGGAGAGCAGGTGGTTTGATCGGATTTCATTTTTAGAAAACTACTGGATACTGTGCAGATCTGGGCAATTGCGAAATGCTGCGCTTTCTGTAAGGATCTTGGTAAGCTAGATTTAATCTCGAGAAAGGAAAAATGTAGAAACCGAGAAGAGCCTATGTATAATTGCAATGCTAAGCATGTGAACTATACTCCCAGTGTGTAAATACTGAAACAATTCCACGTAAGAGACAGTGAATGAGTATCTAGGTATATATGAGTGTTCATATGAGTGTTCATACGAGTGTGCACAGTTTACGAGAACAGTGTAAGTACGAAGTCAATTCTGAAGTACATAGTGAATTTGGGAGAAAAAAGATGCAGAGAAAGTACAGGAGGGTAGGTAAGGTAAGAGTTCAAGTTAGCCATGATCATTTATCCGTGTCGTCGTGAATATTAACTAATGCCATGCTAATGTTAATGAGGGACGTGAGTTTGTGCTGTATGTATCTGATTAAAGTATCGTGGAATTATCGTATCATTCGCTTTGCTTCGCTTAGTGGTGTCTGTCGCGCATTTGGACAAGAGTAGTCCACCCCTGGCAACAGGCTCGGGTCATACCATGTCCACACCAATTGCATTGAACAGGCACTAACGCAGAAGCGCCATTTCCATTTCCATTTCGCTGCTCGGGACTACCATTCTCAGTGCCACCGCCAGTACCCTTGTTCGAAGGGGGTTGCACCCTTAATTGGCTCGGTAGTCCCCGACCCGACGGGTCTGAAGAAGAAAAAATCGAGTTCCGCCGCGAAGAAATTTTGCGAGAAAACGTGCGAACGAGACGAGATTCGGATGGGAGGCGCTCTGGACATGCTAGTCGGGCGTATATCTCTGACGGCATATCGTGCCAGTATTTGCAAGAGCAGCAGATGACAAATAGCTTTGCGAGGACTTGGTCCTTTAGTGGCTTTTTTGTGCGTTGGACTAGAGTTGATCTCATCATTGCGATTGGGCCGTCCGGGGCGAGAGGAGGATTTGGATTTGCCCTGGGAATGGGAAAATGAACATTTGGGTTGATCATTCCATTTGTTCCGGCATCTTGCAATTGCATAGCCATAGGTGGGTTTGTGTTGGGGGACTTTGGAGCTTGGAATTTTGATGCTTGAGCTTGAGCTCGAGGGGGAGGGCCTTGGGGGGCTTCAGATGGCGAGGCCTGAGGTGGCGAGGGCTGAGGTTTCATTTTTGTATGAGCCTTGGATATATCCAGAACCTCCTCATCTGCTGTATCGTAGCTCGATCCCCCGTATGATGAATGTGATGATGTTCGACTATGTCCCGGTCGGTGTACGCTTTGCATAGAGGTATTGCCTGGACCTCCGTCTGTGAGTTGGTAGACCCGGCGTGTGGAATCAGTCTTCGAATTCACTTGATCGAGTGCTGGTGTCGACGCCGGTACCGATACCTCCTGTGTCTCTGCCACGACGATTGGTGCCTCCTGTGTCCCGTTGTTTGATTTCGGGCTACCCGACGTGATGATCGTGGATCGTCTGCCAGAATGTTTCAGTGGTGGAACCATTAGAGGAGACATATTTGCGTCTCTTGGCATATGTTCGGCTTTCGTATCGGGTGAGACCATTCTCGCAGGCCGGTTCTCTGTTGATTTTTCATTTGCTGGACGTTGTTGCTGGGAAGTGACGGGAGCTTGCATTTTGGCAGTGACCGAATGGTCCGCCACTGGGCGGGTTGGTGGGCTTGATTTCTTAAAACCATTCGCATTCAAACGGCCTTGTCCTCTCTGTCCTTGACCTTGTTCCTCGGGGAGACGAGACGGTGTCGTATTGCCATGACCATGACCATGTCCAGCGGGCTGTGTTGCAGATTTTGGAGACCGCCCGTGCTTTTGATCGTCATCTTTGTTTGTGAAGGGGTTCAGGGCCAGAGGAGAGGACTTGTAGGTCTTTTGACTAATATCGGCTCGGCCTTTCTTTGGGAAATTCCCCGTTGTTGATGCGGCTATCGCTGTTGAGCCATGGAAAGCCTTAGGGCTAGTTTGAGTGGGAGAGTTCTCCGGGGGGGGTACGTAGCGCGTTGTTCGCTTGACGGGCCGCTATGACTGAAGCTGGTGGACAAGCTTCAAGCTGTGCAGTATTTCTTGGTGCTTTTTTCCGCGGAGGAGGTGTACCATTGGGACTTGATGCGTTGGGGTTTCTGCTTGCCACACCTGGCGCGATTCTCTCGGCTCGAAGTGCTGCGGTGAAAGAATCGCGGTCGAGATCTGCAGATAGTTCCGTCGCCTGCGAAGGTGTGTGGGGAGTTGGATGAGGTGTAGACATAGGCTTGCTGGGGGGATAGCTAGTGGAGGATCCGTTGGGAGTATGCTTATCCGACCTTGTGAATTTGGATCTGAATGATGCCCTTTTCGTTGTCACGGTGTTCTCTGGCTCTGTGCCTCCAGTCTTCTTCTTCCATTCTTCAGCCAGCTTCCAGTTCTCACGGAGATCATCCGACTTGGCCGGAGTGTGGTGCAGCGCCCGAGGCATCTGATGAGACGGTACCAGACTTGTTCCATGGCGGGTTGCGAGTTCACGAGAGACAGCAGTACCGAACTGTTCAGGCAGCGTCAAGGGGAGCGTTGGAGGTCCATTCTCGATCGAGCTGCGCGATTCCCTGTCACTGCCAGTCATTGAACTTGCTCGCGATCGAGAGCGTCGCTTGGAGGAGAAAAGTGAGGTGAAGCTTGATGATCTGGGTCTTTCAGTATTGGCACTTGATGAGCGCGTTGAGCTACCTAGAGGTTGCTTTTTTGTCAAGCGGCGAGAGTTTCTGTCGTAGACGCCTTGATCTAATTTGAGTTGGGCCTCTTCAAGATGAGAGAGGCGCTTTTCGAGTTCTTTGCGCTCTGCCTCGAGTCGCTTGGTGGCGCGTCGTTCTTTGCGATTGACGTCTTTTTCCCAGGTTGGAGATCTGCAGATGAGATCTATGTTTGCGGCACTCGCATTGTTGGTAGTGTTGGTATTAGCATTAGGGGCACTCATATCTGATGCCAGTTGTTTGGGGTCCTCGGCGTCTTCATCCTGAACCCGCACTGGATGAACTGGGGGACTCGAACCCGGCGTACTGACGGATGGCAGCCGAGAATTCCGAGACGAATGTGTAAAAGAACTGGGCTTCGTTTCGCCAGCGATGGTGCTACCGGCACCGACCTCGAAGCCGATGGTGATTTCGGACTTGGGTACCAAGGCAGCGTTCCTCGCCTGATCAGCCTGAAAGCCATCACTCACGCGTTTCTTCGGGTAGGTTAACAACCGCGTGGGATGCAGGGGAGAAGGGATGAAGTTCATTTACCTTATCCAGTCGATCCACATTAAAGACGCGCTGAATATGCTCGGAGATGGAGGATCGCCGACTTCTGCGGGGCTGATCGTCCAACATGGCGTTCAGAGTCTTGGTCGCATGGGGACAGGGGATGGCTGGAGTGGTGGTGAAATCGAGAGCTGAACGAGTGAATGCTCTGCGATTCAAGAGAAGAAGAAAAAGAGAAGAGGGGAAGCCCCCCTGAACTCCGAGCAAAGAGAAAGGGAAAAGGGAAAAATTGGAGGATGAACTGCAGGATCGAAGAAAGAAATTCTCAAGTTGCGAGTTGCGAGTTGCCACTGTGTGAGGTGAGACCTGCAGGACCCGATGATCCCCCAAAGTCTCCTTTTTGTGACAGCTCGCAATAGAAGAGGGTTTCTATGAGTATTTTTTAGATTTTTTAGATTGTTTGAACCAGAATGTCAGAATTATTCAATAATGATTGATGTTACTACTATTACTATAATTATTATTTACATGGTTCTGCCTGTTCCGTTCTACTCTGCTCTGCTGACTGGCTGGATTGGCAATGTGTCACGATAATAACTCAATAAAGCAAGCCTGGTTATTGTATTCACTTACTATATTCTGTCTATATAGTAGTATACAGTATATCTACTGTACATCTACTCTCTGCTGACTAGTACTGTAGTATATCTATTGTTGTCCGTTTGGCACTGCCCCGCTTGGCAACCGTGGGACAAAATGACGAGACAACCTTATTCACTCAGATTAACCACTTTTACACTCTCTACCACCACTCTACCACTTCCTCTCCTACAACGCTCACCTCTCACCTCACACAGTCACTCTGTACACCCGACCCTATCCAACATGGCTCAAAATCAACACTCTGGCGCTCCGCCTAGCTACGAGGACTCACAGATGGCTTCATCCTCAGCCTCAGCCTCAGCCCCAGTTCAACCACCACCATATCACAACTGGCAAGAAGCTGTACCCGATACCACGGTTTTCCCACCACCCCCAATATCAGGCTACTACAGCTCAGGCACAGGCAACGCCTCCGCCTCGGATGCAGATCGAGCCCACCAATTCTGCGACTCAACCCCACTCTGGACTCCCGTCTTACCATCATCAACCGTCTGGAACGAAGTGCACACCCACGACATCCGACCCGTGCAACCGCGTGAATTCAACGGCAAACTAACTACCACATCACGCGGTCATTGGAAGGGAAGCTCGACCGATCGGAACGGCGACTGCGTAGTATTGACGCATTTACCTTTGTACTTTGCCGCGGTGGATTCACCATTCGCGCAGAGCCGGAAGAAGACGATCTATTTTGAACTCAAGTTGAAGGGTCTTCGCGCTGGGCCGGGATCCGGTGGTGATGATGCATCCGGGTTCACGATGGGATTTGCGGCGGGCCCTTATCCTTCTTGGAGATCTCCTGGATGGGAACGGGGTAGTTTGGGCGTGTGCTCTGATGATGGGTGTCGATTTGTGAATGATTCATGGGGTGGGCGAGACTTTACGACGCCGGTCCAGATCGGCGAGACGGTTGGTCTGGGCATGGTCTTTGATATTCCGGATCGTCCGATTTTGGGCACCGGCACCGGCGACAGCGACAGCGACAGCAAGAAGTCGAAAAGGTGCAAAGTGGAGGTCTTTTTCACCCGTAATGGGCGACCTGCTGGTGGGTGGAACTTACACGAAGAAATAGATGAGGATTCTGGCGGGGTTAATGGCTTAGAAGGGGACTTTGACCTGTATGGGGCCATTGGGTTGTTTGGTGGCGTCGACTTCGAGTCTTGCTTTGACCCTGCAGGGTGGCTCTGGAAGCCTACGTAGATTCCTTCGAGAGTCTTGTGCGTCTGGTGCTTTTGGTGCTTTTTTTTCACCTTGCCACACCACACCCCTGTCAGGACCGAGCTTCGGCTTCCAATCCGGGACAGCCTCCAATCCGATTTCAATCTTGCTTCTGCTTGTCATGCCAAGTTTCAGGGACCAAACATCCGTTAGGGCTGAGATTGACCTAATTCTTATATCTTATTGGGGGTTTATTTTTGGCTTTGCAGCTGTTTTGTGATAGGTCACGATGCTTATTTTTTTTGCTAGACCCTGGATGGCTTGAGGGCATGACATGACATGTACAAGTATATCAAATTACGGAGTAAGGTTGGTTACCTAGCTAGCTTAGTAGCTTAGGCCATATCATAGCCATGTGTAATGTACTAGAACAAAGGAAGTGGAGATTTTTCCAATATGACAGGAATTCTGGCTGCATCATTTGAATTTTACTACTTACTCCCGAGTCCCGTATTGTGTTGCGTTATGTACTTCTCCCGCCCCTGTTAGCAATAGCAATACATTTCACCAATCTCTGATATCATATTTCCCTCCGAATCAAGCAGCGCGCATGGAACTATTATCCTACGCTCCGAGGTAACCGCCGAGCACGGCATATGAGAGGCTGGTTCGACGGGCTGCCGAGGCTTACCAGACGCTATGTAGCAGGGGTATATGCCGCCATCGTGCATCCCCGGTTCTAGAAAGCTACCGGCCTCGCTCCTTTGCATCGATTCCTTGTAGATGTGCGCATTAGTGCGTTCGGGGGGGAAGCAACTCCTGCATTCCCGACCTGCAGTAGAGAGTACAGTTGTCGTATGGAGTAGATTAGCTGCTAGCAGGGGGTAGGGGTAGGGGTAGGGGTAGGGGTTGTATGTTCGGAGCACATCCATATGGTATGTACAGTATGCATGTATGTATGTATTAGCCCCGGGGCCCCTCCACCTGTCCTCCATTCGGAATCGAGGATTCTGCAGTATTAGAAAGTAATCTATGTTTCTCTTTTGGGATAGTTGGGATGTACAGTACAGTACTTTGGTTTTCTTTTTCTTCTATGGAGTCTATGTACTATTTTTTTAATAAAAAAAAAAAAGTTCTCTGGCTTTCCCCTTTTCCCCCTTTCGGCCCTTCCTTATCCCCCCCCATCTGATCCGCAGTGTGAATCTATGAAACGAGCTTGCATGAACAGCAGCAGAACCTAGAACTAGAACTACTTCAAGTTGACGTCACAAACTACCCGTCCCGCGGTGGGATCGTCTCTTTGCATACATATTCGAACAGCATTTCATGCTTACCAGTGGGTTTGGCTTGGGTCTTCTTGTGAATATGAAGATCCGGAGGCATCGGCTACGCGAGTCGAGTTGAGTCGGATCTGGGTTCTAGCCCGACCAGGTTTGGTTTGTATTGGCCTAGACTCGCCGGTTTCACATCCTTGACCTGGGGGGATGAGCCTCAGAGCCGCGTACAGACAGTGTGAATTGAAGTGTAGACCACGCCAGGGTTGCCTGACCCAAAGACATTGGTTCTAAAAACAGCTTCGTGCTTCCCGTCGTTCATGGGAGGGAGAGGCCTGAGCCATCTGGAGCTGGAAACTGGGGGGGCGCAATGACCGCATATCAAAATGCATGTCATGCGCTTGGACGAAAGGGGTAGTAGTTACTCGGTACATTATCGCTGTTTCTCGCTTTCTTTTTCGCGCTCTTTATCTGGGATATCTTACTATGTACTTATGTACATGGGTCCTAATTCGATGGAGTCAGCGAGGATCCTCGTGGGGGTTTTTTTCATGTCATTCCTACTTAATAGGCTAAGGTACAGAGGTACTTTGAATTGACATCTGAAGATACATTGTACTTATTGAGTGAAGGCTTGGCAGTATTTAAATGTGGATCACTGGAAACGAGCATGAATCATAGGTTCACTCGGATTATGAAGGGAGTCAAAGTATACGATGGCCATTTGATGTAACTTGAACGGAACGAACACGAGGCGCAACACGCAATGGCATTGCAAATTGTAATCACTTCATCAATGGGAATTGATTGCGCCATATCCATATCCTTCTAGGCCCGAGACCGAGACCATTGTGTCCACAATCCAAAAGGACCAACTGAAAGGGAGTGGTCACTTAGACTAGGTACTTGCTTACAGTATGTACTGGAGTAGCCGACTTCGCGCCTTGGTACAGATCGCACTATGGCCAACGACGGAGTGTAAATGTAATACCGGGAAGAACCCTCCTCTACGAACAGTCGAGTGGGGACCGAAATCGGTGATAAACCCGAGACTATCCTCGATGGTTACAGCGGCTGCAGCCTCGCTGCAGCTAAGAATCAGGGCGTCGGCCGGGCAGGTCCAGTAAGCGAGCAGAGGGCTAGACGGTTGAATCTTGCCCCAGGTATCGAGCCAATGGAGATCGCATAAAGGCTACTCGAAAGACGGAGCGACTCCTGAGCCTCCGGAGAACGGATGTGATATTACACGGGACAGTGCGCAATCCCCTGCAGTGCAGGTGGGGAGAGAGGCTGGCCGTTGCCACCAGATCGCACACGCTACTCCGTGCACTGTACATATGTACCCAGGGTGTACCCATTCGACCAAGATGTGTCTCGTCCCGCGCACATCGATTTGAAATTGTGGACGCTGACAAGCCGACCACGTCGACAATGGGTGGAGCTGAGGAGAAAAGGAACGGCGCTTGGTGGGGTCGATTATCGTCGCAGAAATGCATCAATATGGAGAACGAGACGGAGACGGGGACGGGGACGGGGATGGGGACTTTCTCATTGTCCAATTTACTATGGATACGCTACTATATACTAATACTACTCTGTAGGTCGTTTTCCCCTTCTTCTACTGTTCTAATGTACTTTTCAGTAGGGTGTTATATTTTTTGCATGAGTTTTACGGATTCCTTCTCGCTCGGCCGACGACAAGCGTGGATCTTGCGCAAAGATCCACCCTCGGCGTAACGCCGCTTGTAACGCACTATGGAGTGTGCTCCCGTACCTATGTACGAATATGGATACTCGTGCTTGGAGGGGAAAGAGAGAGAGCCCCACGGCTGATCTACTCGTAAATGGTGTTCTCCCCATTCCCGACCAAAAAGGGAAACACGAGAGTTGGATAGTGTATTTTGTGAGGAGGGGCGGGCGTCGCAGATGTGGGATTGCTAAGCTTACGATTTGTCGGAAGCTGAAAGCGAATTATGGCTAATCGGCTTGCCTGCGCCAAAAAGGTAAACTGAAGAGTACGAGAGGGGAAAGCCG